CGACAAGCAGAGAGAAGCGCAAGGCACCAGACTCGGGAAACTGTCGCGAGCAGAAGGATACATCCAAAATGCCACTACCTGGCCGAACGAACCGAAGAACCTATAGTAGGAACCGGCAGACGCCTCAAGTGCGCAGCCAAGAGCAGTTCGCGCATCAGAATTACTTACCTCCTTCAAGTAGTAGAGCCTTGGACCATGAGGGTGCTGAAAGGCCAGATTCCTCCAGCAAAAGAGCTAGGGTCCCGACCTCACCCCAGCCAAGACGCCTGACAAGAGCTGATTCTAGATGCTTTGAGCGCAAGACAAGTCCTACGAGTCTCGCGTCTGGTAGCAATCGACATTCTTCTATGAATGGTAACCGCAATAGCCAAAGGTGGTCAACTCGTGGAGGAAGAAGAACAAGAGGTAAATACCTGACCGAGTCAACATTGTTAGTGAGGTGCGCTAAGCTCAGTAGGTGATCGCTACAGCGCTCGGTTCAACAGGCAAATTTGAGAAGTTTGTTTTAATTTTAGGTATTTTCATTGATTGTGTATTATACAGGTTGTACGTAGTGTCGTTACTGGGTTGTCTAAGATAATGTGGAGTGAAAGATCTCGGGAGACAGGTGGTTGCAAAGATGGTCGGATCCTAGAAATGGTATATTGAACACATTGATTGACCCCGACTGTACTGCTTTAAACGCCAGAATGCAAACCCAAAATGATATACAGCGCAGCAATATCCCGGAGTTGATAAAGTTCCAAGTAATATCCGCACTGAGGTTGTTTAATGTACATGGTGTATCGTTCGAATAACAGACTGAGCGACAATCGACAACCTGGTGGAGCGTACCGAGTGAAGGTTGTCTCGTAAACTTTGCTGTCCGACACTGCTTCAGGGTCGAAGCAGCTAAGACTTGTATCTCAGCTGCGTATGCGCGGTTGATTGTGTGAAGGCGTGAGAGAAAATGATTTATTTCGCTCTTCCGCCCTTTGTCGCTTCCAAGAATAGCACCTTCTTCTTCACGACGGGGTCATATTTGAGCATGCTCAGGGGGCGATGGGTACGAGGTCTGATCATCGTCCGGTAAAAGCCAGTCATGGCCATAGAGATGAGACGAACGGTGACGGTACGAGACTTGGCTATTGGTATTGATGTCAGCTCCGCATACGATTAGGAACAAACCATCAGCGTGCGCTACTAGCGCATCAAGTCCGTGGTGCAACGATATGATTATATGGGTGCTTACCTTTCTTGGCCATTTTGGCGGCTCTAGTTGAAGGAGAACGGAACTTTGGGGTGTTTGGCACCTAATTTCAAGAATTCGAGATCATCGGAGATGCGGCGGAGAACTTTGGACTCGCGATAGTTACACGTGACCTCTAGATCTGAAAGTGGTATGGTTGGAAATGTGGGTCTTACTTGGCTTTCATTGTTCTGGAGCATCGCCTTTGCGACCTCTCCTCGAAAACTACAAAATATCCTGGATATTATTTTCTTTTCTAGAGATCTGCTAATTAGTAACTATAGACTTTGGCCCTATCACTAAGTGACGATGGAACTTAAACAATGGCTTTTCAGTTCAGTAAGATTTCCACCGAGCGTCTGCACTCACTGTGCATCTGTCCAAAGTTATTGAACCACTACCCTTTCGCGACATTAAATGATCTTTTATCTTTAACTCATCTTTTTATCTTTCGGAGTTTGGTTAGGTGAAAATACTTACGGCAAATCATAATTATATGAACTTTTATTACACTGATACAAAAATCAGGACTACGATTACGGGTGGTACGGGTGCATACAGTACTCTTGGTATATCATTATCTCCAAGAATAACCTGCTTAGACTAACTTTATCTCAAACAGAATTTGGCTTCATGAAAAATTCTCCAGCCGCCTGACCTGCAGATCACCAGTGGATCCGTTGGGATGCTAGATATGTATAACCTACTAGGTCGATCGTCGATGCAGGGCTACCCTACTAAGGACATAGTACATCTACCTATCTTTTGAAAGCTTCCTCTAGTCAATATGACCGATTAATGTCCTTTATTCTTCTACTAATTTCTCCTTTCTTCCTTTTTTCGCGACTGACTTCCAACACTTAGCACGTGTCTCAGCCCACGCGTTCATGCCCTCGAATATCGAGCAGGAGGACAATGTCATAACCATGAGTCAGAGTCCCATATTGGCGGGTTTTGTATGGATACATACACATACACCTGGTGATCACAACATGGTGTATACTGAAAACGGCATGGAACCGTCCCATGATCAACCCCGGTCGACAAAACAAGTCGTGGACCGTGCTAGCGGATTAAATGCCTCCAGCTGCTTTAGTGCCGGCTTAATCCGCCGCGGGAACTACTCTCATGCATGTTAAGTGTCCGTGTGCATCCTTGATGGAGGGTGTTTGCGCACCTTTTTATCCTATCCGGGGGTTTTCTGAGCGGTGTCTGCGTTTTAGTAGTGTCATGTGGTCACATGGGATCTTGCATTTCTCTGAACGGGAGGGTTGAACCGAGACGATCTACGGGTTAGAAACTAAATGGTGATCTTGTTATTGGGAACCTTGTTGACCTCCGATTTGATCAGCGTTTTTTCCATTATTGTTAAGGTGTGGGGGTTTTGTTTTCACTATTGTTAACATGGTGGTGTCTTGTTGCTGCTGGTAATGAATATCATGATGATCGCTTTCGTGGGCGGTTAGGTTTGCGGAATTGTCAGGCGACTTGTATGTGTCGTTGAAGATCTGGCGATGCACCGCCACAGCTTTCGAGTACCGGGCAATCCTGTTTCTGGTTCATTTCGCTAAGATATGAGCGAATTGGTGGAAGGATGCCGATTCGGACTTTGCATGCTGTTAGTGCTGATCAATTCAGCACCAGTCGTTTGATATAGTTCTGTGGATGCACATTGAAAAACAAGCTAGACAACCTCCGAGGACTCTATCCTGGAGGAAGTTATGCCCTAAATACTACTATTGATCGTTGTACTAGCTTGGCGGGGACCAAATTAGATCCCTTGTTATTCACGAGCCGACCCAGCCCAGTATGATATAAGAGATATGACCATCGAAGCTAGAAGAGTCTTGCCAACAGCATCACTCACTTGGTCAATACATATCAGACTTTCCAGTCATTATGCCCTGCATTGCTTCCTATGTTAAGAGAGTCTACAATACAAATTAACGTCCACCACCCAATGCCCGGTATTAGAAATTAGACGAGATGCATCGTGTATCTTCAAAAGCAAGAAAGTAGAAAGGTTATCAGGTGTCCAACACCCTCCAACACACTAATGTACAACTACCCACCTAAAGACATATCTTAGCACCATGGTTATTCTGCAAGAAGATACCCACACATACCACCAGATTAGCGTGGATAGTCGTTACTCCGGATTGGCGAGCAAAGCAGCAAGACGAGCGCTACGACGTCGCTTGAAGACAAAGCCATCGGGAGACTCTGGCGAGGTCTTCCGCTCACGTTTAAACAAAACAGGCTTCTCATCAACTACCATCTCGTCTGTCGCATTGTTGGACCACGCTTCATGTGCCTCTGTAGCAGAATCATTGGTCATCTCAATATCTCCCGTCGGCTGAATACTGTTTCACTGTTCGTTAGAAGACACGCTATTTGCCGGAGGACTCGGCGTAAGACTAACCACTTCCCATCGTCGGATCCACTGTATGAAGTCGCCTTCTCGGTCGCTATCTCGGGCTCCCCCAGGTCATCCCGACGCTCTCTATCGTGAACCGTTCCGGTTGTCATCGAGACCGGATGATCCAAAGCAACATTTCCTTGCCATCTGGATACCTGCTCTTTCTTCTCGATGGTTCCGATTCCCTGGAGCATGGACGCCTTGAGAGATGGTTCCTCTTCACTGCTGTACTGTGCATTTTCGCCGTGGGTACGGTGTTCTTCCTCTGGTGCTGCAGTGGGGAGATGAGCTTTGAGCAAGTATGAAGTTGTAGACATGGGAGAGGATTGGTCGACTGCATCTGGGCCGATGGGACGGTGGATGGCCGGGGTGAAGGGTGAGTAGGAGGTTCGAAAGCGTTGTTCCAGATCTCTTTCGATGTCGGTATAGTTCACCAGGACGTCTAGCTCGTTGTGTAGCTTGTCAGGCTCGAATCTGCCGGCCATCTTCTGGGATGATGAGGGAATTCTAGGTAAGGAGATGGGGTGTTCTTGGTATGTTTGGTATGCTTGGTGATGAGGTTGAGAGATGGAGACAGTGGGAAGTTGAAGCTTTCTTTTGGCGAGGACTGCTTTCAAAGCATCACGGTAGAAAATAGAGACAGAAGACAGGTGAGGGGCTCGATTAGTTTGATAGAATGAAAGGCAAGCCTGGTATAGAACGCGTTGAAGATAGTGGAGAAAATGAGCTCAAGGGCGCTCCACCAGGAACAGAACTCAACACGACAACAGGCGAGATTCTACGCAAAAGGAACAAATCAGGTTAATCACAATGAGGGGAAAGGCCTGGAACTTCCTGACATGGGACGGCGGTAATCTTCTCCACGGCCTTACCACGGTTGATGAGGGTTCAGTGAATGGGAGACGGCGCTCGTTCCACCGTTTGCTTCCTCCAACAGAAACCTAATCAGTTGAAAGATATCAAAATCATTTACTGGGAGGTTTGACTCAGATATAGACGACCCTCAGTGTTCCTGGTCCGGGGCTTTGTAGGTCAGCTTTGCGGGAACTCTCTCATCTTGCACAGGGTAGCAGTAGATTTAACAAAGAAAAGTCTTTTTACCTTATATTCTACTTGTAACACTCAAGGACACTAGTTATGTTTTGTGTTTTGACTAAGTATTATAATGGAAAATGCACGGTCTGGAAGAGGGAATGAACGTAGTCTAGACCTACATAGAAATTCTACTCAGTGTACGGATATCCCCAGAATGAATCAATCTGCGTATAAGTATCAATCTTGCTCGATCAAAATCCAATCCGATCCATATATTTTCAATCCTTTCTTTCTTTCTTTCTTTCTTTCTTTCTTTCTTTCTTTTTTTTTTTTTTTTTTTTTCAAGATACCCCAACTCCAGATATGCAAGGGAAAGACAGATATCACCTCCAAATCAAGGTTGTCAATGGTATGTTCCAGCTGTTAAAGCTTTCTTTGTAGTTATGGTCCCTTACCTATAACTCTAGTCTGAGTTATATGTATGTTCCTTTTCTTCTTCTTAATCTGATATATCAAATTCCAGTTCCAACATTTCATATAGTAATCATTCGGAAGTATACAACCTGTGTCCGGCACAGCCATAATCCACCTGATTTACGGACAGTACTAAGATACTGGGATCTGTATTGGACTAACATAACCATAACGTGCAGGATGCATTAGATCGAAGATACACTCTCAGGGAACAGCATTAAGAAATGCTATTAAAGGTGGGGTTGCAACTTGTATGCATAAATGTATTGGTACTAGTAATTACCTGTGACTCACTGGTCGGTAAAATTCCTATGAAGTCACGTTGTCCAGAATAAGTCTTGTATCTCTTACTCTGTACAAGAAAGTTACTTATACTGGTAGTTACATACAAAAGTAGGACATTTTGTAAATAAATATATATATATATATATATATTTCTTTTCTTTTCTTTTCTTTTCTTTTTTTTTTTTTCTTTCATGTATGTGTTCTCCACAATCTTCATAAATACATCAAGTCATACTAGGAATCATAGTAAACATAGGAAAAGTATCCTCCAATGAATGTCAAGCAATGTTGAGGGTGTGCGGAGAAGTACAACTAGTAAGCTCCATCCAATATCATAGGCTGAAGCCTGAGGTTCGTAGAAAGTAAAAGCTCATGACTCACTCCCTGCATGCATATCCTCTTCCAATCACATCAACTGAAAAATCCAACAGACTAAACTTGCAACTTGTTGTAAACACCACCTTTTTATTCAATTTCTTGGATTTTCCCCGTTTGTTTTGGGTTTTTCTGTAAAGGTGTCCTTTCGGACAGCGTAGAGGCAATGTCTTCAAAGTAAGATGGCTAAATCACATAGGAAACCATTCTTTGCGAGGGAAGAAACCCCACTGAAGATGCCAATCGGCGGGAACATCCGTATCAGTTCAGACTGAAGTCGGATGGACACATTGTACGTGTTATGGATCCGCGCATGAGCTGGGCCCTGCCCGGCTGAATCGTTTGTGTGTCTGTGTGCGCAAAGATGACAGAGATCGAATAGCACTGCCTGCAGCACGGCTGTATGGTGGTCCGTATAGAGGTAGACTGAAAAGATAGATCAGAAGCTGAACGGGCGAAAACGCTCAACGGTGGTATTCGGTGGGTCTGTAGATCCGTGAGGACTCCCTGAAGCGTCTGCGCTCCGCTGCGTCAGACTCGTACAGCGAACCCCGGCTGGGTGAGCTCCGGCTGGGTGAGCTACGAGGAGAGGAGTAGACGATGACCCGACGACGCATTGTGTCACGCGGCTCGCGCTCAATGATTTCAGTGTATTGGACAGGCTGCTGTTGGGGACTTGTCGATCGGCGAGGAGGAACGGGGTAAGTCCGGTCGTAGGTGATGATCGGTGACGGTGACCGAGGGGGCTGGACAGCACCCTGTTCTTTGCGGTTCAGGCGCAGACCATCTTCAATGGCGAGGAGCAGTGCGCGTACAGCCCGGCAGTCGCGGGGGATCTTGACGAGAGTAGGCTGGTTGCGCTCACGGTCAAGGGTCGAGTATGACTTTCCGTTCTTGCTATAAAGGTAGTCGGCAACATCGACGGCGTATTGGTGTCCACGCTCACAGAGAGAGCGGTCTTCTCTGCGCGCTTTGAGGGGATCCGCGCATCGAGTGCAGTGGCTTGCATGGCGCTCGAAGGCGACCATTACATACTCCTCGTCAGCCTCGAGCTCGCGCACGGGCAAGACGGGATCGACGACATCGACTGGGGCAGGCATCGTGGAAGAACGTCGCAATGAACGTCTTCTACTTGGAGTTTCTTGATGGACAATCGTATCTCGTATGGGGAAGAGTCGAGGCAGTGTGAGGAAACGAGAAGACCTTCGGGGAGACACCGTGACGAAGTTTGACGGTATAGTTGCGGAGCTGGTTGGGAGTGATAGCAGAGGATACAGAAGACTGAGGTGGTTTGGCAGCAGAAGGGTTTATATTGTGTTCAGGAGTAGACAGCAGGAATTATACTGGAAGTATATGTAAATATAAAAGTGGATAAGAGGATCAATAACGGTGGGGGGTGAGCAAGATTATATACTAATGACTTGAAGGAGGCATCCATGTTCAAAAGCATACAAACTAGTACTCAGGATGGGTCTGCGCTATGACCGCACTGATCACAAGAAGACTAGGGTGAAAGATCAAAATAAAATAAAATAAAAAATAGTAATTATGTTATACCATGAAATTCAATACGATACGAAATTAAATCACAGTGTGGATGGTAGCCTGGCAGATGATGTGCATGAAAGTTGTTTTGATTTTCTTCAGTGATACAGTAACTTAGGGTCCAAAAGGCGGGTGACTCGACGCTAACCTCGAATGAGACCACGAGAGTGGTTCCTAAGGCTCAAACAAGGCACTCTTATTGGCGGGGGACCTGTGGCTGGTGCGTGCAGGCAGTGCTTTTCTTCCATGACCATACCGTTTGATCGCGAGTGTTGGGGAGGGTCTAGGCCATCTGATTGGACTATCCGTAAGAACAAGTCGGTCAATTCTCCTTTTCACCCGCATTCTGCCTGGCTCCACACTATTACAACTAGTACAATTGGGGTTAGGGACCCTCATCCAGATCCCCTCCAAACAACCCGTGGCTTACCCGATTGAGGTGTCGGGGGACACTTCGAGTCATCGTTGCTTGTCTTTCGGAGAAACGATGACGATGGTAGTCTCGGACTCCTTTTTGACAAGGATCACTGTGGCTTGAGTGGCTTGACCTTCTCGTGTTCTCCTCTGCCTGCGCCTCGCTCACGACATCAATTTCACCCCCCAACTGCCACCACCATCACTTGATCCGTATTACTATTCTGTGATACCGAAAGAGTTCGCTGCGTTACCACCCCTGGAAATGCAGCCCTGAGCCATTGCATATTTCCTGCATCTGCATGCCATTAACTTTATCATAATTGTTGGTTGATAACGCTCTTCTACTCCGTGGGGTAAGCATCAGCAACCGCCGAACTGTTCTTCCACGCTCATTTGCTTCGCAGCCGCCGACCACAATCGCGGATGTTTTCTGAGACAATAGATCGTTTGGAACCATTCTGTTGGTAACCTACAATATCCTGGAAACTCCAACTACCTTATCTCGTCTATTTTGGTTCGTTTCGCTTCTGTTCTAAGAATAAGTCGGGAGTTAACCCTCCTAACACGAACGATGGATGCGATCACCGGGGCCATATTGATAAGGGGTCGCTAGACCTATTCAGGTTTCAGGGGTCGCGCCGTCTCAGCCTCAGTCTTCCAAGTAGGTACCTTGGAATACGGCTCAGCCTCAGCCACAGATGCCACTGGCTATTGTTGCTTCGTTTCGTCTCCCACCATTACGGTTAAGCGCCATATTTGGCCGCACGCAATGTCAGATGCTCACCGTGCATAGGTAAGCTCCCGAAATGAATGCACTTGTTCACTTCCACTGATCAGCAAAAGGCCAAGGTTACAAAATTGAATTTCAATTTGACGCGCGCAATGACGTCTAAACTGTCGAGTTTGTTTCACCCTATCAATCTGGTGTCACACATGTCCAGCGGCAGTTTCCTGGTCCACGATCACCAGTACTCATCGTGGTGACCAAAATAGAATATATTGCGACATACAATCGGACTGTTAAATCCTGCCTGGGCTAGCATTTCAAGAGCCATGAGAACCATATGACACAGATGGCTAACGGCAAGAGCGCGTAACCCGTGCTTTTCCTTGGAGGGAGGGGTCAAATGTGGAGGATGAGCACTGCTGCCTGTTCCAATGTGACCACTCTGTCTTGTAATGGCATTGACCTGTCTGGCCGACCAGGGGTAACTGACGATCACACCAATGGCATCTTCCTCTTGGAACATCAATGTTAGGCTGCGGCCTAGTTCTTTGAAGGCTCGAACGCCCTATTTCACCCTTTGCCACTTCTTGGATGAGCCGCTGCAGCCGGCATCAGCTCCAAGCCGGCGGGGAGGCATGGGTCGCAGACTACTACCTACACAGGACAGAACACAACAGCCAACATCATTCGTCACGATATAATTCGAACTATCCCACTGCTTCAACAACTGAAGCCGGGCTAGCTCAATCGGTAGAGCGTGAGACTCTTAGTCATCACGGCATCTCAAGGTTGCGGGTTCGACCCCCGCGTTCGGCTTAGCTTTTTGCTCTTGCAAAGAGCGCGGTTGAAAATTTTTTGGTGGTTCACCATCGGACGGATGACCCTGGGCTCCACTTTGGATAGGATCCACATGCGGCTACAAAAAGCCTAGGCTGCAGCAGAAATAGGCCACCTTGGTCGAATAAGCCTGCAATTCAGGCGAAATATGCTTTTGTAGTACATTTGCCTAGTTCTGTAGCAGCTGGAGTTTATCAAGGGTTGCCTCATCCGTCACTTGTAATGTGGGCGTGTACGGCACGACCCGTTTTATACATGCATGGTATGCACTTGTATCCAAAATATATTTCGTAACAGTCAACATATTATTGGAAATTATGTCTTGGACAGCAAATCAACCAGGCTCCAACAGGTTTCACATGTACGGCTGTATGGCTATACTGAGATTAACGACACCTTTACAATTTAACTGGAACGCAGTCAGAGACTAATCGCATAACGAGTAACAGAACAATCCAAACTGTTAAGTGCCTAACGCGTTACAATCTTCTGTCCTATTATCACTAAGCTCAATAACAACGTAGACCTAATGAACAAACCGCTTGATTTAAACTAAAGCTAGTACAAACCGCCCGTCCAAGCGACCATGACTATCAAGGCTGGTTCAAGACAAAATCAAGTAGAAGCAACCATCAACCAGACAGCATTATCCGGGTCATCGGTGATGTTTCGATGGATCCAGTCCAGTGTTTCCAGCTGAAGTATCAGTATGGCGCGGAGTGCTGACTCGACGGCAATCTGTTGTTTTATCAGTACTAGAGACGTGTATAAGATCTGGTGTAACCGGACCATTTGAGCTATGAGAAGACTGCCTTCAGTTGCGTGTAACAGTTCTTATTTCGCTTGTTCTATGTCAGTGCTTCAGAGGTCCGCTTGCATAGTTGGAGTGAGACTTGTGGACATACATTTGGGTGCGCAGATGTTGTGCATGTCACAGGGACAGCTCTCTGGGCAGTCGTTGTGTCCGGTGCAGATGTTGTGACATCTGTTGAGGACTCTAAACTCCTTGGGAATAGCAGAACTAGTATCCCGGGAGATGGCTACTGCATTGACCATGCTGAGAAGGGCAGAAAGGGTGAGGATACTGAACAGATTCATTGCGCTGAGACCAATGTTCTTGCTTAGTTAGAAGGTGATAGTGCTTCAAGTGTTAAGACAATGTAAGGATGTCGTGAGGAGTTATGAGCTTAGAGAAGGGAGGAGAAGGAGAAGAAGAGATAGTCGACAATTTATAGTGGGCAACTCTTTTGGGGTAAGTTAATAAACACTCTGCATAGATATACTTTCTGTCTAGTCTTTGTACTTTTGCAAACTAGCTAATTTGAGGATTAATCGCTCTAATAGACGTGCAGAACAAACTTTATTCTGTTTGTGAATTGTGTTATCATAATGCATGGATCAACAAGTGGTACCTGACTACCCCGGATTTCAATGAATGCTGTGGTCATAATAAAGAGAATAATTGTGGATATGCACTTAGAAAACTTTGTCCGTAGAACCGAGCTCTAGCCAAAACCTACTCTACCTATGGAGGAGTACTTAATGATTGATCACAAAGAGAATCCGACAAACTATCAAGGGCCCAGAACCTTAAACTAGGAATCCCTGTCTTGTGAAACCGGCCGAATAGCGGAATGATTCCCACTGGCTTAATCGTAGCAGGGTATGTTCAATAGACTCAATTAGTCTATGTTGAATGAATTGATATATCCTGGCTATGTATTAGTGGGAAATATTCCCAATTTTTATATTTGGAAGGTGAAGTTAACACAATGCATGAGAGAATAATTTCTATGAGAAATTGATCCTAGTCAGCTACACCATGTAGTTATACTACAATAGTGAATGGTAAGAATGTACAATTACCCAAATGAACCAATATCTATGTAGGAAACTAGGATTCATAATTCTTTGAGCATTGACTGACCTCTGTACGTGCGCCTTGAATTAATTGTGCTGTTATTCGGAGTATGTAGTAGTATCTAAACCCACTATGAACTCATGCGATAGATCATATCTGACTGGTGCAACCAATTGTCCAACCGCAATTGATTATCGGCTGTCTCGTATTCCCCGAGATTGGTCCGTTATCTCGTCTATTCCACCAACAGATAAACTGCAGCTTGCCGAGTCGTTTATCACCACTGGGCCCTTTGCCGACGTTGTGGGGACTTTGGGGAACTTATCGGTTCTTGACGCCTCTCCCCGCCTTTCTCTTCTTCCTACTACCGATCTACTCAGCATGTCATTCATAAATAAGAAGTGTCCGAATTCAATCCCGCACATGCGTCCGCAATGTGACTTCTGTTTTAATTTTGCTCTTTTCACCCGCCCTCACTTGACCGTCTCCTACAATCATGCAAGTAAAAGGTGAGAGACCAAGTAGATCCGTTCGTCTTGTATCGGATTGCGATCAGGGTTCGATGCTAATATCCTCATCAGGAGATAACGGCCTAAAGGCCCTTATCGAGAAGTACCGACCAGACCTAAAGCTATTTGAAGAAGTCTATCGCCAGTTGCACAGCTCTCCCGAGCTAGCCTTCCAAGAAGAAAACACTTCAGCTACCGCTGCAGATCATCTCAAAAAGCTGGGTTTTGAGGTTCACACACACATTGGTGGATATGGAGTTGCTGGTATTCTCCATAATGGCGATGGGCCAACTGTTCTCCTGCGAGCCGACATGGATGCGCTACCTCTACAGGAAAAGACCGGCTTGCCGTACGCTAGCAACAAAATCGTCAAAGATAAAGATGGAGTGGAAAGACCGGCAATGCATGCCTGTGGCCACGATACACACGTCACGAGTCTCATGGCGAGCGCTGAGCTTTTACATTCCGCCCGGGATCACTGGTCTGGTACCTTGATCTGCATTTTCCAACCGGCAGAGGAGCTACTGTCCGGCGCAAAAGCGATGATCGAAGATGGGTTGTACGAGAAGATCCCCAAACCAGACGTTGTCCTGTCGCAGCACGTCATGAAAATGAAAACTGGCACAGTCAGTATTCGTTCAGGTCGGCTGCTCACGGCTGCTGATTCGTTCGATGTGCGCATCTATGGGCGCGGTGGACACGGCTCGGCTCCTCAGACATGCATCGATCCCATCGTTATCGGTGCAACAATTGTAACGCGTCTGCAAAGTATCGTCAGCCGCGAAGTGATGCCAGGTGAGCTGGCTGTTGTCAGTGTTGGAAGCATCCAAGCCGGTCATGTAGCGAACATTATTCCCGATCAGCTGGATCTCAAGCTTAATGTTCGGACATACGATCCCAAGGTCCGCGAGCGCGTTATATCCTCCGTGAAGAGAATTATCGAAGCAGAATGTTTAGCAGGAGGTGCCGTCGAGAAACCTCTTGTTAAGCAGATACTTTCTGCTCCCGCGACTATCAACGATGAGGCTACGGTCAAGGCTCTCCAAAATACATTTGGATCATATTTTGGAGAAAACCTGGTGGAGTCAGAGCCAGCGACTGCAAGTGAAGACTTCTCTCTTCTTGCGACGGCGGTAGGAGCACCGTATGTGATGTGGACATATGGTGGAGTTGACCCTAAGACATGGGATGATGCTGTGGAGCAGGGTACAACTGATCAGCTACCTAGTAATCACTCCCCATTCTTTGCTCCGGTGATTCAACCGACTCTTGGTACTGCAATTGATGGGATCGCTCTTGGAGCACTGACTTTCCTGAAGCGGAACTAAGAGCATGACAATGCCACACCGAAAGCAAATCAATGCGGGTTACACGATGATTGCGGCTGTTACTTCTAGATTTGAGCGCCTTTTCCCATTCTCCTGTATATAGTCATTGCAATGTCCTTCCAGGGCTCTTGAACCCCCAATTACCGGCTTGTCTCAGAAGCCATCAGTTCGAATAACTCGTCCCAAACCCCTACTCTAGAAGCCAGACAGGCGTATCTTGCATCCAAGAAATCTGTCATTATATAACACTAACTTTTTAAATATGAATTTTAACTCACAGTATTCCAAATCTTCTCCGGGGTATTTAAAACAGCAATTTGAACAACCGACCTTCCTGCAAGGAGCTTCTCTTGACACTCTACCACTATTGTTAGTTTCGTAAGTGTTGTCGAGTTTCACCGAGCAAAAGGGATAATGATTTTCTACTTGATCAACTATTATTTACGAAGTAGCTCCCAAAAAAAGGGTTGTGCAGCCGCAATGATTTCAGTGTGCAATTTGAAAAAGAGATTTATCATACCTAGGTTCGAGGAATTGCCGGAATTTCCGATGGTATCAATAAAAAGCTGAAAGGATGACGACACCGGGCTCCTAGTATAAAAGGCAAAATTAATGCTTTTGGTTCATTTTTGCTACTTTATTACAATCAAATTGTATTGGACGGATGAATAAGCTATTAAGTACGGAGTACTCTGTACTACGTATGCATTTAGAGTTTATAAATGGGGCCCAAAGCACCGTCACTTTGACAGTGACGGTTCCCCGCCAACAAAACTGTACCAAAGAGCATCCTTCCCGCCAATCCCCTATGAAGGATGACGAGACGAAACACATTTCAACTCAGTTGCTAGTATATATTGGCATATGGCCAATGATCAGCGGCTCAAGGCCCGAGTACCTAGGGTACGGGATCCGGATAGCAAATGCTAGTCCAGTATCCCGCGGCCCGTTCTCCTGGTCTCATGTGGCTACTTCTCCACTATACGGCTTTTGCACAGAAAATCAACGTGTGCGACTCCAGATACCATGGAGATCCACTGGATAAGCTTCAAGCGAGCCGCGAAGCTCATACTTAAGAAATGAACGTGCTGCTCAATGATAAAAGCTTATAGGAGACGCTTGACACGTTGTCAGCTATAAAAAGGAGGAGTACCGGCGCTTGCAAAGCGACCGTTCCAGACTCCGTCCAGAGCACGATCGACAAACAACATACTCCGTACAACATACTGAGTACAGATAGTCGCAATTTGCCAAGACAAGTTAAGAAATTGGGAGCGCCATAACGATTGCCTCTTGCAGTCTCCACTCGCGATACAACAACGCACCGGCTGAGAAGGGAATAGCGTGTCTAATGACATCATGTCCTTGGGTTGATCAATGAGATGCTTCTCCCCCTGCTGTCCGTCCAGTCCAAAGTTGCAATTCTCAATTGCTCATGGCCAATGCCCAATCAATCGTTTTTGGGCCTTGCTGTTTTACTGCTACTATGGGTCCAGTTCGTACCTAGCCAAACCCATCATCCTCGGATCGCATCGTTGCCCGTTCAGCCCCCCTTACCTGCCACATACTAGTACTCAGTGGCAGTGTTGGGCTCTATTTATTATTACGCTATCGCTGGTTTTATTCTATAACCGACCGGTTTTTCTCGTGGACTAGCTTTGTCCCTGTCACTATACAATTCCTAGAAAGACCACCACCAGTGCAGGATGCCCTTGAACACGGTCGCACTTAGTGTGGCCCTCACCCCTGCTGTAATCTCGACATTCTTCTCTCATGTGGGTCGCCATTCTACACCGGGCTTCATTTGGGCTCTTTTTCCTTTCCCCCAAGGGGTGAATTAGCTAACAATGTCTTTCTTTCCAGTATTTGCACCGCAAATCACTCCATCATAAACCAAGCGTCCATATCGAATATGATGAAGGTGTTCGGATATTCCGAGAATTCCTCGCCTACTCGGCCAAGCACTCCGTCGAGGACCTTCAATCCTTCACGAGCCAGAGAGTCCCCAATCCTCACTGGGTGAGGACAGAAACGGTTTCCATACCCACCCAATATCTGTCATCTGCCGCAACGGCCCTGATCGACCAATTAGGTCCCAAGGGGTTATCACAGGTTGGAGGGAAAGAGTGGTGGCAATGGCGCGGACTAGAAGATGAATTGAAAGGTGAATGGGTCGAAATGAGAAATGATTACAACGAGAGAACGCGGGCTAGAAAGATTCACGGGATTCATCCGAGCCAGAAACGTATTATGTTCTACATACACGGTGGAGCGTATTACTTCGGAAGTTTAGAGACGCATCGGTACCAAATGCAACGTCATGCCAGGAAGCTCAAGGGACGAGTGTTTGCACGGTAGGCTCTAGGTGGTCTGGTTGTTTTGTTGTGATCATGCTAATGCCAGTCTAGTGAGTTTGATGATTGCTCCTTGGAGATTTGTTTTTTGGAAGAGCGCTAAGTATGTTTGATGCAGCGGCATACCGTCTAGCTCCACAGTTCCCATTTCCTTGCAGCCTGCATGACTGCTTGGCTGCATACCTTTTCCTTTTGAAGGAACACAAGCCGGAAGATATCATATTTGCTGGAGACTCTGCCGGCGGAGGAATGGCGCTCTCGTAAGTTGAGCGCACCCCGAGAAAAGCTTGCATAGCTAACATTGTAAAAGTCTGCTATGTATTCTTCGTGATCAGGGCCTGCCTCTGCCTGCAGGAGCGATCCTGATTTCACCCTGGGTTGACCTCACTCATTCTTTTCCTAGTATAGTGAAGGATAACCCCGGTGATTATATACCGCCATACGGTTTCAGGCACAAGCCTTCCGCCGCCTGGCCGCCGCCAAACTCGGATGAAATAGAAGCCATCAAGAAAGGCCTCGGGAAGCGGCCTGCTACCGAAAACGGTGCACAAGAGGCGATCCCGCCTAAGGGCAGTCAGGCTCAGGAGACAGCTGTCAAAGGTTATTCGGTTCTCGAAAACCCATCGGCCAAAGAATCTATTAATACAGCGAAGGAGCCCGTTAATCCTAGGATCCTCATTGATGGTAAGACCGTTGAGATCAAGGACCAAATTCATATGTATACGACGAACCAACTCCTATTCCACCCACTCGTTTCCCCTGTTCTACAACCGTCCCTGGGAGGCCTACCGCCTTTGCAGATTTTAAGCGGTGGTGGAGAAATGCTACGAGACGAGCAATTCTACGTTGCTCATAAAGCAGCGAATCCGACTGCTTACCCGCCCAGTGACGCTTTTCTGGACGAGTACGACCCCGAACGTGAAGTGCTACACAAATACCCCGGGACCCACGTCCAGCTTCAAGTTTGGGATGATCTTTGTCATGTTGCGACCACTTTGAGTTTTACTCGCCCAGCGAAATACATGTTTCGATCAATCGCACAGTTTGGAGCATGGGCTCTTGCATGTGCTCAGAAAACTAAGATTGAAATTGTGGACGACACGGAGATCTCACCTATATCGTCCGATAGCTCGGAAGACCCAGAAACACCCGCAAATGCGCCTCAAGCAGAGAGTTCGAAACAGTCTGTGGCACCTGTCGGGAAGACTGTCGGGAAGGCTGGCGCTCAGTTACCTCCGTTCAAAGAGCGCATGGTTCGTCAAAGGGTCGACAAAAGAGGTCATATATATCATTTGGAACCCCAGGCTTCGTATCCAGTCCTTCAAATCCCAAGTACACAAGTCGGGACCATCAATCCAGAACTGGTCAAGAAATGGCTTGCGGCGAAAAAGGAATGGGATGTGAAATTCGCCAAGGACAAGCTTCATGTCCAGCGCCAACGAATTAAAGAGTTGGCTCAATGCTTCCAACAAGATTTTGTGGGCGAGGTGCCCCCTCCCAGTTCACTGGCGGCGAGAAGGTCTGCCCCTGGAGTCATGCCATCTCGAGGTGGTCGAAAGAGCTACCCTATGACAATGTGGAGCAATTGGGCCAGCAGACATGACGAGAGGAGCCTGCAAAGGGAGCACAAGAAGGAGAAAGAGGGACAATCTAGGAGAACCAGTGTGGAAGCTGGACGTGCCGGAGCGTGTATGAAAGCAACAGACGCTGATAAAGGTGGCTCTCCGGATAAAGAACAGGTTAGTCATGCCTAACAGAAGACCATTGTTGTCGATACTAAGAGATTATTCAGGATACATCAGACGAGACAAAGAGCTCAGAAACCCGAACTGAGGAAGATGTCTCTCGCAGGCTTGACGATAAGACTTCCAGTCCTATGATACTCCTGCCCCCATATGACGAGACGAGGTTCACGGAGGAAAACGCGAGCACGCAAGCACTTTTCCACGCACGAGGAACTATAGCCTCAACTTCCGACCTATCCATGGCCCAAAAGCAACGACCGGTGTCCCAAGCGGGGTCAGGCACTATTCGAAGCGGCATCACATCCCATGTTGCAGATGATACCAGTACTCTCGGAGACAGATCGCTCGCTGTTACCAACACCGGCGTCGATGCCGCTAGTACTCGGGCCGTACGAAACTCTGTCGGAGTCGTGGGCCTGATCAACGATGGTGACTCGGCCTATCGTTCCATTGATTTCTACTCTATACGTCGCGACTCGGGTGACCTTGAGACCACTTCTCTTGGTGAGAGGACGACGGAAGGAGATATCTCTCGCACCGTTTCTCGCCCGGGGATGGCCGACCGGGAGTTTTATAAAACTGCACAGGAGCACCCTGTAGCTTGATAATACATAAATAAAACTGCAAAGCAAAGGTTTGCATATACAATATCTGGACATATATGATTTGGAAATACCTGTTATTCTGATTATGTCATCTAATTTCTTTTGAACCTTGAAGATACACGATGGTACCTCATACACGAACGCCTACCGCTTTTATTTTCATATGTTTGAGAGTCTGGTTGGTCTTTGAATTATATACTCTTTCTGTTTGATACGTCAGTCCCTCAATACCCTGGCTCTGAGCCCCCTTATCCCTGTGTCGTATATGATATCTTATTTTATTTTTGAGATAGCTACAATATAGTCCTTAAAGCGTGTTGGACACTCACATCCATCAAGGCCTGAGCCGGGTATATAAATTCTTAATATAGTACAAAGAAAAGCCTGGGTTACACCAAAGATCTTCATTATCCCAATCACCATTCAATCCCAACCTTCCCCGCGACCTTCTCCGCAACATCTAAAAAGGCCTTTCTTCTCACGCTCCGATCCTGACTCTCCTCTGCAACAACCGTCGGCATGCCCCGATCGGCATCCTCGCAGACCCTGGCATCAAGCGGAATATCCCCTAGGAACTCCACACCCAATCTCTTACACTCTGCCACAACACCCCAGTCCTCCGCTTGGTGAGAATGCCCCGACCCATCAATCTTATCACCATGCGAAAAGATCTTCGTCTGATGCCCACACTGCGGACACGCGAAAAAAGCCATATTCCTCACCATGCCCAGAACGGGAATATCCATCTTCTGGAACATCCCATACCCCCTTACCGCATCTCGCAAAGCAATATCCTGCGGTGTGGACACGATCACCGCACCGTCAACGATGATCTCTTGGCCAATCGTTAATTGGACGTCCCCTGTACCCGGGGGAAGGTCGAGGAAGAGAACGTCAAGAGGACCCCAGGAGACGGAGTGGAGGAGTTGATGCATTGCTTTCGTAACCATAAGACCGCGCCAGGAGATGGGTGTTGTGTCCATGGGGATCGTGGAGGGGTCTTCGGGGGAGGGTGTCGGTTGCGGGAGGAGGTAGCCCATAGACATTGATTTGAGGCCGTAGTTTGTTAGCGGGAGGAGGCAGTTATCTGTGTTTCGGGTGGATTGTTAGTGTTGATTTTGGTTTGGGTAAGATGAGATTGGGAATGCGATGCGCACTTTCGTCTAGTCGGGGTTCGCCTGAGAGGTTAAGGAGTGTTGGTATGGATGGCCCGAAGATGTCGGTGTCAAGGATCCCTGTTCTGATTCCGCGGCGTGCGAATGAGAGGGCTAGGTTTACTGTTGTGTTGTTGATTGAGTTAGCATGTTGAGTTCCGGATATACTTCTGAATACATAAAGAGGTGGTAGGTCATGGGTTGATGACCTGTATTGAACGGAGTACAGGGCCAATGGGTCCGTATACAACGCACCAGCGATCGTAGATTTCCCAACTCCACCCTTAGCAGATGAAACAGCGATAATCTTTTTCACATCGCGAATCTTGCGCTTCTCCGGCAATCCGCGGCGACGAGGGAATGAGGGCGGCGTGCCGGAGCGAGGAAGACCCTAGACAACAAGACATTAAAATCCGATCCGGAATAATCTAAGATGTATAAGTACGTACCAGCGGGTTATCATGCTGCAAAGTACGAAAAGTCGAAAAGAACCTCTTCCGTAACATGGCTGAATGCATCATTATGACCTTCTTCAAGGTCGATCGCAAAAGATGTCAACCTTCTTTTTGGCCGATAAATCCACACCGATGTCATTCATATTGCCGGGAATAAAACCTCCACCGCCGGAATAACATACCCTACAAGCAAGGTCCGCGAGCTATTCGGTGATGTTAATCCGTCACCGCCTGCTAACTTTTCTACGGCAGAAAAATAAAAGTTGCTTAAAAAAATTATCCGCAAACAATATTGATACCGGGACACGCAGGTATATTCAAAATGGGTCCCAAGTCTTTGGCGGAGCAAATTGCTGAATTGGAGGATCCGACTCCGAAAGGTGGGGAAATTTTGGCATTGTGCTCTGTGGCGTTGCGACGTTAACCGATTTTCTTTTTTGCGACAGATTTCGATCCGGAAGATTTGGAGCGCGGTGGCTCTGAAAGTGAAGATGAGGGTGGTCGCGCTGCTGATTCAAGTGCTGGAAGGGAACATTATCAGGCTGTTGGGTGAGTTTTGGTCTATTCTGTTTCTGTGTTGCCAGTGCTAATTGAATATAGCAAGGCGAAGCTTCGCAAACAGGACCCGGTTGATCTAGGGAAACAATATGCCGGTGCACGGGTTAGCAGAGATGCGCTCGATGCTGATAGTGATGACGACCCGTTTAAGGCACGGTCTGGCGATGAGGAGGCGGGTAGCGAGGATGAGGATGAGGACGAGAACGAGGACGATCTTGTGCTGGGAAGCGACGAGGACGAGGACATGTCACAAGAGAGCGATGAGGAGCAACCGCAAAAATCGAAGGCAGCTCAGAAGAAGGGGCATAGTACAAGGATTGTGGATGACATGAGATCAGATGACTCGGAGGACATTGGGAGCGACGAGGATTCGGAAGATTTTGACGAGGATGACATGGACGACGAGATGCCCTCCGCCGAAGACGAGGACGAGGATGAAGACGAAGAGGATGATGACGAGGAGGACGACGATGAGGAGGAATCTTCTGCTCGTCGTGTGAAGTTCGCAAAGCCCGCAAAGTCAGATGATCGGGAAGAGCTGCGCAGACTGATGGCTTCTGATCAGAAGACCATTACGGCTACCATATCCCAAGCTGCTAAAGCCGATGCAGTCAAAGGAAAGGCAGTGAAGCAGCAGCGTGCGACTTTCGATGCGCTCCTGAACACCCGTATCAAGTTGCAGAAGGGTCTCACCGCGATCAACCAGCTGTCCGTCGCAGCCAAAGAAGAGGAGGACCTCGACGGTGAAGCTATCAAGTCCGCCGAATCCGCCGCTTTAGCTCTCTGGTCTACTCTCGAAGACCTGCGCCTTGCTCTCGCAGACGCGCAGACTCAAGACGAATCCAAGAAGAGGAAACGGCCTTCCGCAGTCTCCCCAAGTACATCTACCGCTTCATTGTGGAAGCGCATGGCGGATCTTGAGTCCGACTCGGTTGCTCACCGCCGAGCCATCCTTGATAAGTGGTCGCTCAAGGTGCGCGGGTCGAACGCTACGATTCCTAACAGTCGTGGAAAACTCTTGGGCTCGGCCGCTAGCGGGCAACAGAGCATTACTGTCGTCCTAGATGCGCAGGTTGCATCTGAAACTGATCGTGCTGCCAAGCGCGCGCGTACAGCGAATGATAGCTCCACTGATGAGGACCAAGAACCGATCTACGACGATACCGTCTTCTACCAGTCTCTCCTCCGGGACCTTGTTGAGCAGCGCATGTCCTCATCCGACGCTATTACCAACGGTATCGATACATTGCATATTCAACTGCCTTCTCGTGGTCTTTCTATTCACCCTGTGACCGGAATGCGCAAAGACAAAGTCAAAAGGGATGTGGATACCCGTGCGTCGAAGGGACGGAAGATGCGCTTTGATGTCCATGAGAAGCTGCAGAACTTTATGGCACCAGAGGATCGAGGCGCATGGACCAGCCATGCCCGAGAGGAGTTCTTTGCTTCTCTTCTCGGAAAGACGGCAAGTGGGATGCTACGAGAGGGTGATGATGAGGATGTTAGTGCTGCTGAAGAAAGTGACTCGGATCGTGAGGAGGGCGGACTGAGGCTTTTCCGGAGTTAGAAATCCGTGAACCTTGTGAAAATGATATGTTGAAATAGTATATACTGTGGCTAGCCAAAAAGGATTTTTAGACATTTTTTTCCCTTCTTATTTCCAGTTGAGTGCTCAGTCCTCGCCCTTTGAGCAGAAAGGTAGCATGAATAAAGTGGTTTCATCCTTGACCACTTTTCCCGGAGTGTATACTAGGATCATTCCCTTTTGCCTGCTTGTGGTCGCCATCGTAAGTTACTGCTCGATTCGAATGGATGGCCCAGGTTCAAATAATTTTATATTCTTCAACGAGGACGTCCTTCTAGGGGATATCTACCTAGGGTTGGCCATATATGACTGGGACGGGGACAAATAACCGATGAAGCCCGCGACTGCATCGGAAAATCAATAACAATCTCTCTGAACGGAAACTATAGGAAACCATATAGGGACAAAAGCCGGCGATATCTCATGCATTCAGGAGGTCAATACGGTCACCAGTAATATTAAACCCACCGACCAGGCCCAACCACAATTAATCTACACGGCCCGAGTAATAGCCAATCCATCTGAGTTTTTCTTAACTCTAGAATACAGTTTGGTCAATTAATGTCGGTTTATTGAAATGTTTTATTACCAATCGTAATAGCTTGTGCTAAACTAATCCATGGTCACGTCACGTACGGATCCTCGGTCTAAATTGCACCAAAAAAAAAGCACATGAAAACAATGGATATTAAACGGCCGCGAACAATAACTTGAAAAGTATCGACGAAGATCACTAAAGCCCACCCCTGGTCATTCTTCCCGTCCCTGGCGGCCCATGCACCGAATCCGCCCTGACATTGGCTTTGGGATCCACCCTCTCGAACCCCCAGGTGTTCAAGCTAGATTGACAATACCCGGCGGCATCCAGTCGGACATCCGAATAGATACAGTCAATCATTTGAGATGTGGGGATGTGTGTGTGAGGGGACGCCAATCAAGCCGTTCCTTACGGCACGGTGCTATTAGTTAGTAGTTGCGTAACTCTTGCTAGTAGGTATTATTATTTAGGGTTTTATAGGCTGTATATTATATTAAGGTACGGTTTCTCGGATCCTCCATTGATAGTGGTGGGAATGGTAACGTCCCGTCCCGGGAGAATTAATATGTAGAAGATTAAGACCATATTAGGGTATCGGTGAATCTGTAAGGGTCTGCGGATAAGAACGGGTTGAATCTTTTAGCCGTACTCAAGTTGTCAAGTAATTTGTCCTAGGTTGGTGTCTATAGAGTATTGTCTATTGCATGTAGACGCTATAGCTGTATCACACTTATCTAGGGTTGTTTCCATGGCATATCTTACGATCACTGTTTATACTCATTGTCTTCAATAATCTGTGAGAGCTTTTGCAATCCAAGGTAGGAAGATAGAATGTCGCTCTCTCGAGCCATATATGTATAGGGAACCTTTGTAGTTAGATGTATATATTATGAAAGACAGAAAAGAGTAAATTAGAAAAAAAAAACATCCTTTTTGGCATGTCGTAAATTACAGTCATGAATACGCCATACATCTTCCTCAGGCCTCAGGCCCTCTCTCAACTAGAGTGATCGTGTCTAACTCGTTGATCGTGTCCGGAATCCTCTTATGTTTTCGGGCGGATCGACCGCTCTGTCTCGAGGAGCTGTAGGGTTCGTAAGATTTGGAGCCAAAGGTCACAGGTCTGCCTCGGATAATGATCCACAGTGGACGTAACGTGGGAAGACAGGCAAGGATGACAGCGAGCGAAATTTCAATGTTCGTCCAGAAAAAGACGGGAGAGGTATAGTCTATCACCGTACATTAGAAACAACCTCGGAGGTAGAGTTGGTCACTTACATGTTTCGTCGTTGTAGTGCTCCATAAAGGTAGTACCGACATGGAAGTACATGGCCATGCGAGTAATGCTGATTGCGATGACACTTGATCTCTAGTTGTTAGCCTGGACGAGTATCGTCGAATGGGATAGATACATAGGAGAGGGAATCATACGCTGCACCCATAATGAACATGCCTGCGACAGCCAACCTCTGCTTCATGGGCAAGCGTAGCTTGAAAACCAGAGGTAAAGGCAGCACCAGGATAATGACATCGATAATCACGTCGGTGATGCATGAAGCGTACCACATGGAAACGCTATCAATACACTTGTTGCCATAGAATGGCTCGACTAGAGGTGTCACGGGATAGCAAGTGAAGAGGTTGCTGAAGAAGAAGGATATCGTCCAGGCACCCGTGATGCCCAACAAGACCGCCGAGACATGCTTGAATATACGAGACACCGAGAAGATCCCCCGAAGCAACACGAGGAGCGACATTTTTGTGAGGCCCAAACCAATGACGGCCATCAATTGACTGGCAAACTTGCACTATCCAACACAATACTTGATTAACTGACCATCTAGACCTTGCGACAATCATTTCCCACCCGACATACCTTTTCATAGGTGAGAAACCGAGGGTCATTGAGAAGTGGTTGTCCATCGGGTCCTGTTGTCTGATGCTGTCCCAGCTGGCCATCGATGGCGCCTGCATAAAGCGTGAGCCACTATCACCATCGTGCCCACCGGGGGACAGGCGAAATAAGATACCTATGAGTTGCGTGATAGAACATGCGACCGAAAAAGCCTAGGATCCGTTAGATTGCGACACACGCATAAGTATATCCACGCACCAGTGCTCCAAAAATCAGGAAGTCATCCCATTGCACACCTCCGCGCGAAACCCACTTGGCCCAAACCCGAAGGTTCACGAAGATACACGGGAGAATGAGGAAAGTGATTCCCAGCGCGATCATCTGCGCTTTCGAGTAGGAATCAATCGCCATGATGGTGGTGGTAGCAGTAGCAGCAGCAGCAGCAGCAGCAGTAGTAGTAATGAATCGCTGGGATGCGCATTCACTGAGACCCGGAGTTGCACACGGAAGAGTATAAATTCTCTACCATCTCGTCCGTGGATATTAAGACTGCAACCAACGTCAGCACTTGCAGCTCTCACTAGTGATCACCCCCTCCACACGTTTAAGAGGAGTCGAGCGAACTAGAGGAGTTGACCATTTTGTACTATACGGTACAGTACGAACCTTGACAGCAGCAATACAGCGACGCAGGCACTCAATCTCCGCCAAGTAGTGCACTAGGGCATGACCCCTGCCGCCATTAATTAGTTACAGGTCAAAGGTAGCAGTGCTTATATTACTCCGGTAAGCCAACCTCTCTTGGAAAGATCGTCAATTATAGTGCTTCATAACAAAGACTAGTATGTCAGACTGGCCTCGGAGTACTCCGTGGCTCCTGATCGCGGAGACCCATGGTACATACATAGTCAGCACCCACTATGTCCATGTTGAGGTGTAGTCGATGCTCACAATACCCACCTGTGGGCTGATTTGATCGTCTGCGAAGCTGTCGAACGGTTTCTATCGTACTCTATAGTGGAGAACAAGATAGCGTAGGAGCAATTTTACCTAGGTAGTACTGAAAGCGAGTTGAACAAATTGTCATGCAACATAAGGGAGTTGTAAAGTTCCAAGGCCTCTCTGACTTTAGGGGTAGTGGCTTTCAGAAGGTGGCTGTATAAAATCCTCTACAAGCCTGGCGTGCCGCCGCCTGTCACCCCCATCATAATTAATCTGTCCCCTGCGACCTCATGGCGACTCTCCTTGTGTCCCTGTTTCTAACTCTTCTCGCCCGTGAGGTTCTAGGATTATCTCCGGTGCGTGTCTCGCATGAGCTGGGGCCTCACTTATCTCCATCAGCTTTAATTACTGGCCCAAATACAACCGCGTACCCGCGTTGGAGCGAGTTCGATGCTCCCAAGCCCGGAGTTGTGGTGACGGTGGCTGCGGAACAGGATGTTGCCAAAACAGTACGTTCTCCTCCCCATTTCCTTTTTCCTTCCTTCTTTTACTTCCCCACTGCTGCGATATGACAGTTGTTCATATCTCACACTAAGCACTCAATAGGTGCACTATTGCACGTCCAATGGCATTCCATTTCTGGCTCAAAATGGAGGACATGGATGGGCAAATACATTTCATCTGGGAACGGATGGACTGTTGATCAACCTGAAACAACTCAACACGATTGTTTTCAGTGGTAACAAGACGGAAGTCACGGTCGGGGGAGGAGTTGAGATCTCGGAGGTGATTGCGGCTGCGTCCAAGAATGGTGCCCTCGTTCAGACCGGTAACTGTAACTGTGTTGGAGCCCTGGGTGCTACTTTAGGGGGCGGATATGGAAATCTCATGGGCCTGATGGGCTTAGGAGTCGATAACGTCCTGTCACTCAACGTTGTTATGGCAGATGGTCGTTTGCACACCATCACTCCCAAGAATCGGGATCTCTGGTGGGCAATGCTCGGTGCCGGCCCTAACTTCGGCATTGTCACGTCTGCAAGATTGAAAGCGCACCCAGTCTCACCCTCAGGCCAAATCGCTTGGTTTGGTCAGCTAATCTACACGGCTGACAAGGTCGAAGCTGTGGTGGAGGCTATCGATAACATCACCTTGGAGCCGAAAATGAATCTTTTTCTGTATTACATGAACAGTGGCTCTCCAGACTACACTCCTATGCTCGTCGTCACGCCATTTTATTACGGAACCGAGGCAGAAGGAAGAGCTGCATTTGCAACCTTCCTGGACCTTGGCCCAGCGGAGGACACTACGACCGAACTTCAATATCCGCACTGGAATGATGGGGCGGCAGGCTTCTGTACCAAGGGTGGGTATAAGCCGGCATATACCGTTGGTCTTGCTCGGATGAATCCTAGTACCTGGAAAGAGGTTTGGGACGAGTATGTCTCGTATATTGGACGGAACGGCACCGGCAGCAGCCTTATTCTCATGGAAGCGTATTCTCTGGAGAAGGCTCGCTCCATACCGGAGTCATCCACTGCCTTTGCATTGAGAAACAAGGTCAACTTCAATGCGGTTGTTATCCCATGGTACTATGATACCAGCCTTCGCCCGGGTGCCGAAGCTTTCGGTTCCAAGATTCGTGACCTGTGGCGCTCTACTGATGAGCTTGACTCCCCAGCTACGTACGTTCTTCTTTCCCCTTTTTCTCTTTCTCCCGATCCCAAAATAACCAAATTACACAGGTATATCAACTTCGCTCATGGTGATGAGGATTTGACATCGATCTATGGTGCGAATGTGGACCGGCTCAAAGCTATCAAGGCGCAAGTGGATCCGGAAGATGTTTTCAATCAATGGTTTAATCTGTAAAAGCCGGGTGCTGTATCATACCTGTATACTAACTACTACCTAAGGCGAGGTAAGGTGGATTGTACTGTGGCCTAGAAGAAAAAACGTACAGATAGATCGCATGTATTATTGTTGTCTGTACTTCTTGAATCCGTCTCTACGTATTTTCAATCACCGAGGCAAAAGCTGCGCCTGTAACATTGGGATCATTCCAATTCACTATTAGTGTCAATCATCCTTGACTACCACGGCACTACACCTTGAGGGCCATGCACTCTGCCTGGCTGATCGTCCTTCTCTCCTTTCACCACGGAGGCGATAATCCTCGCCCCAACCTCCGGCTCCGTCGCGCCCATTTTGCGCAACGCGTCCGCATCTCCAATAACATCCGTTGCGCAGAACCCCGGATCCACACCCAGCACCTTAACGCTCCTCAGCTTCATATGGTACTGCACCAGTAGCATATTGAGTGCAGCTTTGGCTACGCGATACTCCGTGGCATGAGTGCCGCCATGAGGTGAGTTTGGATCTAGATTATACGTCATCGATCCATTGGAGGAGCTCACAACGATCAACCGGGGGTTCGCGGATTTCAGTAGCAGAGGAAGCAGTGCCTCTGTCAGACTTGCTGCACCCGTGACGTTGGTCTCCAGAGTAAGCCGTAGGGCGTCACGGACAACCTCCGGGTTGAGGAGGTAGATGCCTGCATTATTCACGAGCACGTCCAGATGGCCGAAATCCGATTCAATACGTGCTTTTGCGTCATCAACGGACTGATCATCCGTCACGTCTAGCTGGACTGTTGACACGGTGCCATGGATGCCAGGCAGGGAGCGGAGAGAGTCGACGGCTGCCTCGCCCTTCGAGCGGTCTCGACTACCGATGATAATGTGGTAATTGCCTGACAGAAGCAGGTTCTTGGCTGTTTCGTAGCCGAGACCCCGGTTTGCACCTGAAATTTGGTGATGGTAAGTTATGTTTCCTGTAACCATGCCAATGTTAGAGTCGAGTAGCAAATGGGGCCCATACCAGAGATGAAGACGATTGATTGGGAAGTCATCGATATGGCTAGAGCATAGACCAGAGTAAAGGAGTGTGACTCTCGGCCCTGATATGATCATATGAGAGCCCTCCATCCCAAGATATAAATGCGATGGGATGTTGTAGGGTAATTTTCCTGCCATATTTACCCGTGTCCGAACCATAAAGGATCCCGCCGATCGAAAGTATCGGGACCGATCATTGAGTCTGTTCCCATCAGACTAACAGGGATGGTAAGATAGTAAGCAATAACCATTCCTGTCGTAGTGGCTTAGACATTTAGGCCCCCCAATCTACCCACTCTTAATTTCCTCGACAATCTGGCTTCTTAATATTCCATGCAACCACAACCACATCAGCCATGGGATCAAGAGCATTAGACGCGGATTACATTATAGTAGGCGGCGGGCTGGCCGGGTGCGCGGTCGCCTCACGCCTGAAACAACGCAGCCCATCTCTCAACATTCTCATTCTCGAGGCGGGCAGTGACCCCTCCAGCAACCCTAACACACAATCCTTCCCGGGTGTCTTCTCGCTCCTTGGCTCTGATCTCGACTGGACCTATGGCACCGAGCCTCAGGCGAATACGGGCAATCGAGTGCACACTATCCATAGCGGGAAGGCCCTCGGGGGAGGAAGTGTAATTAATTTCGGTGGCTGGAGTCGCGGGGACGCGACCGACTATGATGACTGGGCCAGAATAGTCGGCGACCAGCGATGGAGCTACAACGGTTTACTTCCGTACTTTCGCAGGTCGGAGTCGTTCTTCGACTCTAAAGCAGACCCCAAGCACCACGGGTTTGAGGGACCTCTTCATGTTACTTCGGTCTCTGCTAGTGACCCCAACAGACGGTATCCACTTCGGGAGCCAATAAAGGATGCGTGGAACGAGATCGGGGTCCAATATAACCCCGATGGCTGTTCTGGAAACTTGTCTGGTATCAGTGAGTTTCTAGAGACCTGGCGCGACGGAAAGCGTCAAGCAGCACACCAAGCTTACAGCTTGGAGGGTGTGCAAGTGGTTACGGAGGCTATTGTTCACCGAGTCGAATTTACGCACGGCGACCAGAATGAACAGAAGACTGCCTCTGCAGTACTTCTGTCGGATGGCCGGCGCTTCAATGCACGTAAGGAGGTCATCCTGGCAGCCGGTACTCTCCGGACACCCCAGGTCCTCATGCTATCGGGAATTGGGCCAGCCAATATACTGTCCCGACACGCGATTCCAACTATCATCGATGCTCCAGAGGTCGGCAAAAACCTAAATGATCATTTTGCGCTCTACCAGCTATACAAGTTACGCAATCCAGAGCGTGGGCTCGCCCTGGGCAGCCCCGTCCTCTCAGATCCCGCCTTCATGAAGGGTTTTCCTGGAGATTGGGTTGTTAACCAGGACGTCCCGAGGGATATTTTGGGGACAGCAGCGCATAATGATAACGTGCGATTCGGCTCCCCTGCAGACGAATCTTTCTTGAAGCCTGGGCGACCGCTCGTTGAAACTTTAGTTGTCTATGCTCCGGCTGGTGTACCCGGAGTTCCCATGGATGGCAGCTTCATCATGACCTCGGTCATGTTACTCGCTTCAACGTCCCGAGGAACCGTCAGTATTCGGTCGCCATTGCCTATGGACCCTCCCCTGGTCGACTCTAACTACTTTGACACGGAAGTTGATCGTGTTACACTGATCCACGGCAGTCGACGTACGATGCAGGCTTTGCTGGATACTTCCGCCTTGGCAGATTATATCGAGACTGAGGTGCCTCCTCCCGGAATGCCAGCTTTATCATCTCAATCGTCGAACGATGAATTCGACGCCCGGATCCGGGCGACTGGTCTGGCCCACCATCACCCAGCAGGTACTGCTGCCATGGGCAAGGTAGTCGATCCGGACCTCCGTGTCTTCGGCGTCCATAATCTTCGCATCGTAGATGCGAGTATATTGCCGCTGAGTATAGGTGGCCACCCGCAGGCGACTCTTTATGCAGTTGCTGAGCAGGCTGCAGACATGATTCTCGGGGCCGACGCTCAGGCATGATTGAGATTCGTGCGGTTATCACCATGTTGGTTTGGTGGTTTACTTTCTCTGTGTACACTTAGTTACCATTGCCTATTCCCTGGATTCATGGCTTCATAGGGTCCTCAGTCATGGAATCACATCCTAGCTCATCATGTACGTACGACTATCTGTATGCCCGGTAATTGCACTAAGTTCGCAATATCAGCGGCAATAGCGGAGCCATATCAGATGAAGCTCCTTCGTCTAGTAGTTCCGGGCATTCATGGATATAGCCGGGTACCTTGTATTAAGCCACCAATCAGCTATCTATGTGACTCGGTAAGGAGGCGTGCATTACTCGCGTATACCCCGTAGCACATACACGGAGTTACCGCAAAGAGGGTGTACGTATGCTAATATCTACCTACCTAGTCATTGGGCGCAACTGAAAGCTCACTTGCGCACTCTAGGATCCTGGGTACATACTAGGGCTACCGGGTGAATCCTACATCGTACTACAAACAATGTACCACCCTGTAATACGAACGGTCGCTGCGTATCATTGCCTCAATGGTCAAGGTACAGATTAAATTAGGGTTCGAGCCTAATTAACTCGACACGTTGATCCCGCGTCCCCGTCGGCGATCGACGTCCGTGCCGTAAATAGGCGAACCACACCATTTACAGTGATACGTGCAATTACAATGAGACGTATACGAGTCATGTAGGTTGTATTCATGATCCTGATCAGGTACAATGAGGTCCAAGCGCTCCGCAATTCAGCGATAACAGAGCGTTGAAGCTTGGATTCAATCTTTCTTCACATCCATCGCTCCTGAAATTGCAAGGATCTACATGACATTATAATCATAGTGCATCGCACTAAGCAAAGTTTCCCTTCTATTCCATTTCTTTGCCTTGCCCCCGGAAGCCAGGCTCGCATCGATTCTGATCCAGTTGACGAGAACTCCAGAACGGCCAGCTATCGCGAGCTACGTTTCTCCGACCAGCTGTTGCGAACGAAATCGTCTGCGTCTTCGCTGCGCTTTTCCGACCAACTGTTGCGGACGAGATCATCGGCGTCGGTGGCAGCTTGATTTTGGGATAGAACCAGTCAGCTCACGAATCCTTTATGGGTTATATTATGTAAGAGAAAAAGGGGTGAGTGTACCGCTCCCAGTCGGGAAGGCCGTGGTTGCGCCCAGAACGAGCATAAGGAGGGAGATGTATGTGGTTGTTCGCATTTTTCTTTGCTGTGACTTTCTCTCTCGTGTCTGTTTGTTGGTTGGGATAGGGGTTTGCTGCGGGCTTATATTTGAGGATCGGGAGTTATATATGCAACTACGGTGAGAAGAACCGGAGGCCTGAGGCCATCTCTTGAAGGTAATCCATTAAACACGTACACTGAAGCAGAACAATGCACTCGAGTGATAGGTTGCAGATCCATCGTGCTTTTCTGGTGTATTGCAGTTAATACTAATTGGCTACTACTGAACGGACGGTCGATTCTACGAGCCCATGCTTATCCGTAATGCTTTGCTCTCGGTGAGCGGTTCCATGCATACAGACATATATGGAATATGAATACGAGTCTCTAGGTCGATACCGAGCACTTTGATTGCTCTCTAATCCATTGTAGTAATACAGCATCAATCTTGATGATCACCGGTATATTTTCCTGGTTAGAATAAAAGCTTAGCGTCGATATTTCCTCCAATTATATGAGCTTTGATAGTCCAGACTTGGGTTTCCGGCCTTATATCTTCTGCTCAGAATCTAAACCCTGTCCCTCAGTTGCTACTACGGTCTGTTTAGGCAAAATCCTTCGCAATGTAACCCCTTCGTGTCTCGGTGAGGGGTTCTCGGGGCCCATTGTCGATCCTTCCAGGGAGTGTAACAGGTTATGACCGGTACTGTATTGAATGATACAGTTCTATCACAACGTATACTCAAAACTGTTATTGTATGTACGTGCTCCGCATATTCCTCCATAGACAACAAAACTAATTAATTTTCAGATCATGACCCCCTCCATTCCCCAAAGAAAGGTATCAGATCAACAACCACTTACACCCCGATGGGGGGGATCAGAGGGATCCATCCCAATCCCTAACAAGACTTCTCCAGTTCGCACCAGAACCGGGGCAGTAGTCATCCAAGTGATAGTAACATTCACAATAGCTCTCACGTTGGGCCTGATCATCGGTCGAAGACTATCGGTCAACAAGTGGGATGGACTTATACGTAAGAAACCCATTCCCCTGCCTCCTCCAGCAGAAGATGAATGAAATATATACTGAGTCCATCAATCATATTAGTACCCCAAGGCAATGTCCAAACAGTCTGGGAGCATAACCTCACCTTTTCCCAACGTCCAACGCCCGAGTCTGAAGCCGCTTGGAGTTCCATAATCCCAGGTAAATTTCAAGGTCATCCCTGCTACATTGATAAAACACACAGTTCTCTAATGTATACGGGGAACAAGTCGGAAGAGGTTTCATCCATCATCCTGAAATCGCACCTTTCATCTCGAACATCGCTGTCTTTCATCAATTGCATTGCTTGGTTAGTGACCTTCCTATATTTCCCCTCCTCGATACTATTGACGGTTCTGACAATCGGCTATCCTGGTTACGTAGCATGCAATTCTAGTGGCTTACTATGCAGCTGTGGAGGAATCTGACGTAGCGAAAGGCGCTCGGCGTCCGGACGATTACCTCCAACAGACGGGAACGAGAATGGCTCCGTCGCATATCCGACATTGTTTCGATTATCTCCGACAGACGTTGATGTGTGCGGCGGATACTAATATGGAGGTTTTGGATCCTGAAACGCATACCACGAGTGGATGGGGCCAGAACCGGCGGTGTCGGAATTATGACGAGGTCGTGATGTGGGCGGAGAAGTGGGCGAATTCGACGGATACTGGGATTGTTACTTGAGGTGTAATGATTTATAAATAAATATTGTTCCGTGGGCAAGTGGCATACATATGTGCATATTTCGAAGAAGTTGGTTTTAAAGTAACAGAACCGAGGTCATCCTATTCATTCATAGGTCCAACATTCCCAATCAGATTTACTGCACCAACATCCCATAGTCACTCATATCCACCATCCTCGATCTGGCCCACTGATCCAGCGCCTCCCAGTTCACGCATTCGTGATCGCTATACACCCGAGAATACGGTAGTCCGTCTACCCAGCGGAAAGTCGCGAGGGTCGTGTCGCCCCGACACATGGCTGCTTCGCGCCAGTACTCGAGACAGTGGTCGATGTGAGCCTCCTCGCGGATACGGTCATCTTCGGTCATATTAGGATAGTACCGGTCGAGGTGGAAGTGGCGACGGATGCGTTTCTGAAGGCTGGGTGTTAGCTGTAATTTCCAATGGGATATAGATAGATGGATGGATGGCGCACGATGCAGTGGAGTTCATGGTACACGGCTAATTCTGCGATGTAGCCGGTTCCATCTTTGAAGGCGATGCTTGGGTCTGGGAGGTTGGTGAGTTCTTCTGAGGTGATGTTGATTGTCATGGCTAGGTTTTTGAGATTAGTGACTATTGGGTTGGATTGGGAGTGGAATGCCTACGCTCTAGTAGATGTTTCCATGCTGCGTCAAATTCGGGTCGAGGGTCGCCGGTGAAGACGTTATCTTTGATATCGCGTTTGAGACGTCTCTTTTCGTAGAATATGACATCCTTTGCAGGGGCTGTGAGAAGGGTCAGTTTTGTTTGATTTATACACAGTTGTGCAGGATTTTCATGTTTGAGGGGAAGCAACATACAATAAGATAACTTTGGTCGTACGCACACCTCACTCAGTAGAGTAGCCCGCCACCAGAGACCAAAGAGGACAATATTTGATAGCAATAATAGGGAATAGAGAGTGTAATGACAGTAAAAGGATCGTCCATTCTGTCTATGGGGGGCCTGCAGCTGCTCATCCGAGGCTCGGGACTCTTCTATATCTGACGAGGCTACGGGAGAGTAATCGTGCTTGGTGGTGTCCATGGTGGCTTCAACTTCTTGCTCTCGTAGTCATCATTCCGAGGGGATGTTGGTTGTTATCATTAACTTCTATTTCCGAGGCGCGGGTTCAATTTTACCCACTGGGACAGTATTGACAATACCACCAAGGATCGGCCGTGGGAAGATACGGGCGGAGCATCCGACGGGGCTTCTGCAGAGCTAAAGCATCGTCACACATCGGCTCTTGCAGAATGCGGTAGTCAATCAGCCAGATTAGCCGGTTTTACCATTTACGGAATTCGATATCTCGGTGTAGTCGTTGCTTTTGATGTCCGTCCTGCAAGCTTATCCCAGCTTCTACCCCCCCAACGTTCCTCTCTAGAATCATGACTCTTCGGAAATAACTCGCGATGAAGTTGAAAGCTTCATTTGCGTACTCGAAACGCTGCCATTTACGCTGCTTATCAGCTTCATCCCATACTGCCAGACAGTTCAGCACAGCAACAATTCATCTCAACAAGGATGACGATTCCGCCAATGTATGGAAACTGACCCAAGAGGATGTGGCCCACTACTGGAAAGGCTACCTCGCCACACGCCCCAAATACACAGATGCGTTTTACAACCTCATCTACAACTACCATACCTCACACTCACAGTCAAACCCGCCCTCATTCTCCGTCGCCCACGATGTCGGCGCTGGACCGGGCCAAGTCTCCGCGAAACTCGCCCAGAGGTTCTCCCATGTCGTTGTAAGCGACAATAACGAGAACCACGTCAATTATGCCAAGCACTTCCTGCCAACAATCAATGGTTCTGAATCCCGATTCTCCTTTGCCGTCGCAAAAGGAGAAGACCTGGGGTCCAAGTATCCGCCCGCCTCCGCTGACCTAGTCGTCAGTGCACTCATGTTCCCGCTGATGGATACTCTGTCTGCGCTGCGAAGCTTCCATGCCCTCCTAAAGCCTGGCGGCACCCTGGCTGTGTGGTTTTATGGACGTGCGCACTTCGCTGAGCTCGAGTATGCGGCACGGTGCCAGCCACTCTTAGACAGGATAATCAATCATCATTTCTCGGGCGTGATTACTGGAGGGAGCCCGGAGCACACGGCGGGATGGAAGCATGTGGCGGATGGCATAGCCAGTTGGTTGGATTATATCCCCTTTGCGGAAGAGGACTGGGGGTCTGTCGTGCGACATAAGTGGAATACGAAGTGGACTACTCTGGGGTTCTTTGGTAACGAGGCGTGCGATTTTCCCGTGGAGCCGAGGAGTAGTGTCACAGATAAGGAGGTAGTTATCGAGAGGGATGATAGAAATCTCTGGAGGAAGCACTGGAATGTGGGTCAACTTCGTGAGTTCGTTGAGTATATATACCCTTTTCAGGGGATGGAGGAGGAATATGTGAAGCCGTTGTGGGCGCAGTTGGAGAGGGAAATGGGCGGGTTGCACGCCAGGCGGGCATTCTCGTGGCCGGTGGTTTTGATTTTGGCAACGAGGAAGTGATAGGAAACGTGGTTGACATTGCTTGTAGGATGGATAGATGGTGGTTTTCATTACTGGGTTTGATATTTTGGAATACACACCTTCAGTGACTTAGTCCCTATCGGGTGGTGAGAAGGTACGCCGTCTGGCCTGAGGCAAGTCTATAACTCACTTAAACGTGACGATGTCATGACTACCACTTCATCATCTATTCACTGGATCATTCTTACGGGCGAAAAGTCTCTTCTCACAACTACAAATACCCTTTAATTGCCCACGCCTTCTATAAGTACACAGCGTGAAGCCACATTGGCAACCACAAAGTCTTCCTTCCAATACCTGCCTCAATGATAACCATGATAACCAAACCCTGAAGGACACAGTGAAACCAACAGAGAAAAGCATCGACCAGAATAAATCTGGCTATCTGGCTGAGCATAAACCTTTTCCCGTCAGTTTCCGTATTTTCATATCCTAATGATGAGCATGAGATGCATTCGAAATGGTCATGGAAAGAAAAGGGCAAGACGACGTCACCTGAAGCTGAGCATGAATACCACCTTGGATTGAAACCAAGTTGAGTTCACACATGACCGAAGCTGAATAAAACGCATACCTCAATGACGACTATGATATCCCGATATTCCAAAGTACGGGGCCACTGAGGGGCATCCTGACTACATCATATACCCGTCTGCAAATCGTAACAAGGATCTCTTGCCTTAATGATGATACGATCCTGATACCCTGTGGGCAAAGACAGGATTACTGAAAGACTATCCAATCCCTGATATTATTTTCTGTACTGAAGCCACGACAGCATTTTGACTATCGTTTGCTTTACAAAGTGGAGAAGTCTGAGGGGGTGCAAAGAGAGGGGAGGAGCAAGTTCATGAGCAGATTCTCGGGTTTGGAAATATCCGGCTTGTGTTGTTCGTACCCTCTACTGACAAACTTGTGATAATGTTAGGTACTGCTGATACGGTTTCATTATCTTAGAGAAGTACTTGCGCAATGGCGATTACTGATTGTATAGGAGATCCCGATCTGAGAATGATTAGGTATTAGCGTGACCATGGCTTAAGGACGCTGGTCATTCTGCTTGCGGACAAGAGGAGCTAATAGACTGCAAATGATTCACTAGCGCTTGTTGCGCGGGCATTCGATGATCTTGTCGTGATACATGTATACGTTAGTAATGACTATGCCAGACAGGTTATAAGATCCTGACGTGGTAGCTAGATAATGATATCCTGCCTTTACTTTTGACTCTCCTGATATCTCTTTGGTTAGCTTGGCCTGTAGACCCGTTGAACTTTTCTCAAGTTATTACCTACACAGTTCGTATCAAGACAAATAGGGGGAAAATGTGAGACTTAGAAGGATGCTCAACTATCATACACGCATAGGAAAGAAATTCTACGGTCGATCTAAAGCCCGCTTTGTATAGAAACATAAATACAAAATGGTAGGCATTCTCATGGCCATATCAACCCAAAGTAAACGTTGTGCTTAATATCAAATCATTCCTAATCCGCTGGCATTTCCATCGTCACTGTCATAAATCATAAATTTATCCTGAGGCCATCCCGGGCTCCTCCCACTTGGTACACCTGACTCACACATTTGTCTGTGGTGTCAAGAGTATACTCATAAGGTAGCTGCTGATACTCCTTCAAACTAAGTAAGACGTATACAGTTGCAGAATCATCGATGTCTCACTTTGATCACGCACGTACCGCGTTTCGAATTCTGTCTGGGCACCTCATTTGGTATATGAGCGTAAGTGTGTATTTTTTGGTGGAGAATATCGTGGTAGTGTAGCACCGTGGCATGGCTGCGACCAAGCAAATTCTGTCTCTCGCCTAAGCCCCATCATTCTTTCTTGAACGGCACGCTGCAGCTTTGAATTCCTTTCCTGCTCCTCCTGAGGAGACAGAAAGTAGGGAAGCCCGTTACAGTCCACTACGACGGAGCCGCTCACGGAGTTATAGCCTGGAAGAGCGCTATCCATAGCGGCTGTATTGCTGTTGGGGAGCATCATAGGCCTCCACTTGGACGACCGTCTCGAGAGTCGATTATTGTAAGAGGAAAGGCGTTGATAACGGTGAGAGGGCGCCGGGGGGTCGATATTTTGCCAATAGAACGACGGCTCTTGGGACGATGAGCTAGATACGGGCTCCGGCCGTGCTTGAGGTTCTTTTGTCGGTTGGGCGGGGTTGGGTATGTGTGACTTCCGTGTTGTTGGGCCAGTAACAAATTCCCCGTCGGTAGGATAATAGGTATGGGTTTCCACAGAACTTGTTTCAGTTGCAGGTGATGACGACGAGGAGAGCCGCGATCTCAGATGGCGGAATATAGGCATTGGGGCGGCTACACTAGTGATATACACTGCCAAAACAGGATACAACTGAGGCAAAATACCTGATTTTGAGCCTAACGATCAAAATAATTTTCCGAAGAGGGGTGGCAGTTAGAGAGGATGAAGAGTGCGAAAGATCGACTTGCTTTTTACCAGCGCTAGTCTGGTGGTGCGTGATTGCCAATTATCACTACCCCGAATGCAAGACACACATAATCCTTGTCAAGAGCAATTCACAGGGAAGCCAAGAATGTGAGAGAGCAGATTCCAGAAGCTGGTTTTAGCACATTGCATTGAAAGCGTAGAGCTTAATAAATTCGGTGGATACACGTAGAGCCGTTATCGGAGCGACAGACAAATCAAGGTTGTGCTTTATACGCCTCGCTGATGTGATTTATGATAGGAGATCTCCGGAGGTCCTAATTTAGAAATGGGTCAGAGCGCCAACACAATGCAAGATCCATGGTTTTCTCGCCGTATATTATCCGGTGGCTGTCAACCTGATAAAAGAGACCATTGTGATAGGTCAGTTGGAGATCGTTAGGGCGTTAGGGCTAATGCAGGGTATGGTGTCGTCATTATACTTCTCCATCTCAGTAGTTTTTCACCGCTCTCATGTTTTCGTTAGCAAACAAACATAGCAACAGCGGGAATTATAGACGATAGGGCTAGAAACAAATCCTCAGTATCCGTTGTGACAGCGGAGCCTTTGTATCAACCGAGCGACTGGTCTGGGCTACTAGGTAAGAGGGTTTGATGGGAGGAAATAAATGAGAAACAAAAAAGAAAAGATATATAATAAAACGAATAAAAGTCTGCCCAATTTTAGCGGCATACGAGAAATCACCAATCGATTTCCACAAATACTGCAGATTCCTACTTGCCCGACACGGTTGGGCTCCTAAAGTCAATTATCATCGGATCCATCACACCACTGCTCTCTCAGTGATTGAATTGATTGGGACACGTCCCAGCCAGTCCTTGTCTCCACGTCTCTTAACAAATTCTCGGCAGCCTCCTGATCTTGCCTATGTCGGAGTATCCAACCCCCTACACGTATATGATTAGAGTAGAAGGCAACCATGTGAAAGACAAGAGACAACAGCAACAAGGTGGGGCCAACGTGGTTATACTGGTGGTGGCAACGAGGATCGCATAAAACTCACAAGAAACTAGACTATGCCGCGCGGTGAAAAGAGTGTTTTCGGCCCGTGGATTGGACTTTGCTAAGCCAAGCACAGTAAGAAGGTGGCCTCGAACGACTTTCTAGCCAAGAAGTCAGTCACTATATCATCTTTCCACAACAGGAGATTGATTCAAAAGACTGACCTCTATGTTGCGCGATTGCTTGAAGCTCTCGTATGCCAGAGATGGGCTCGGACAATAGGAAAATGCGAGTATGATTTTAGCGATATGGTAATACTGAACGCCAACCACTATGATACGCATATGTGAGTTGGCGTGACTAGCGAAAACTCGAACTGGGGACCAACCGTGGACGGGCAGCAGCATCCAGATTTCCGGAAATCTTCTATGCACCTCATTGCTACGAGGAACATGTTGGATGGGCTGGAATGTGGGCGGCTTCCTGGTATTCCAATTCTCGATCTCCTCACCAATGTCTTCTAACATGGAAGGATTGACAGTGCGATCATAATTAAATGCATATTTGAGTACCTTGGCTAGAAGAAAGACCATACGACTCGCCCAAGCAAAATCGTCCTCCCGGCAGAAGACATTCGAATTTTTGAAACGGTGCAAATCCGTTTGTAATGGTCGTTGCGAAATGAGTGATATGTAAATGTCCTCGCGCAAGCATAACCAAGCTGCTGCTTCACCGAGACCTCCGCTCGATCCGAATGATGATACTGTATTCAAGATCTGTGTTGTCCCTGTCAAATGGAACTGATTGTCCTCACCTAGTTTGGGTAAGTCTGGAGCAGATGTATTTTGTTGCGTTTGAGCGTACAGTCCATTTCCTCATGCTGCCGGAGAATCGCGACCGCAGCAAGAACCGTATCTGTGATACTGTTTCTGGGTCCCGACAAAACGGGAATCAGAAGCTGGAGGCAACGGTTATGGTATTGTAGGGCTTCCGATATGTCTTTTTGTCTCTGTCTATCTATATGTCGAGAAGAGAACGCAAAGATTGCATAACGTAATACTGGCTCCTCAAGTGCCCTCAATGGAACTTCGATCTCAAAATGTCGTTGGGGATCGGTAATATCGGCCTTGTGATCTATTAGTGCCTTCTTTGCGTCTTCAACAGACACATTCATCTCTGTGATTCACTCACCCAAAGGGCCATATTGTCGACATAGTTGCGTATAAGTGCGGCCTCCCTCCCACTGAAAGAGGTATTCTGAGCATCGGTGGATCTGCTCTCATGCATATTCCTATGCGGCGATGAAGGTAAACTAGGCCCAGGATCGTTTCCATGGTACAAGTGTATCCCTTGGGTTTGAGAAGCTGCTCCGTTACCGAACACACGGTTAGTTGAAATGTGCCAAACTAAGGCGTCAAGAGACAATATGACTAAGAGAAGATCCTCACTATAAAGGTGTGGTGTGGAAGGACTTGTAGATGATTGAGGCCCCGAGGGAGGCTCCGACACCGGCAGTTCAAACTGATCAGGACTCGGATATAGCCCAGCTGGGGCTTTAAAGCTGGAATCGTACAAAGAGTCTAAGGTGCCATTGGGGTGAAAGGAGGTATCCGAGCTATCGACACAGTATAGCTCTTTGATAGCGATAGTTTCATCGTGGAATTGAACTTGAACGGGGTTAATTGAAATTCCTACATGATATTGGTCAACCTGGATTACTCACGGGGCCCTCTCGGATGTGGCCAAATGCCTCTTTCTGGAAATACAATGTCGTGGTCATTGTTCAGATCTAAGCCTTCACGAAACCTCACATTGAAGCTTCTATCACAATCGATCCCAGCTTGTTTGCAGTGATGACAGATAGGGGAATCGGTGTCACCTAGAAACCGAGTAAAACATTGAGCTGATGATGAGGGTGTGGATCATACATACATTTGAGATGCCGAGCTGGGACAAATTCCAGGTTAGCCTTGCTATCCTTGTAGATCTATGAGATAGTCACTCTTCATCCTACCTCTACATCTCCGACTAGGACAACAGTTAGCTTTAATCTATGTATGTATTAGTGGTATAGTAGTCCTTATAGACAAGGAGAATCAAGAGGAACTCTTATTGGACAAGTAGTACCAGCCACTGACTAGACGACTCCTCTTTTCTCGAACAGGAGTCATAACGATGCAAATGAGAATGAGGAACGGAGAGAGTTGCCAGGAAGTGAATTCCACTTGATGGGTTTCCCCACATCCATGGTAACCCCGCATGCATCTGGGGATCGGCGGTGTGAGTGCCTGAGGTGTCGGTAGACCCCATCGGGATGAAAGGGAAAGTATCTCCATCTATGCGAGAGAGGGCAACTCTTTCCGTTCCCCACATACCAAGTATACCCTCAAACTTCAGTTTGACGAAATTAAAAGTGCGGGGAGTTATACAGCCAACAGTATACCGACCAGGCCTATTGTGGGCCTTCTCCAAGATAGCAAAGATGAATACCAGGCGGATATTCTTGCCTCGCACCAAAAAGGTCCAGTTTTCCATTTTGCGAGCTCCATGTGTTCCTGTGTGTATATAAGGCGCGCAAAGGTACACCTCAAGTCACAATAACCAGCTCAGGAATTCCTTTCGCAACATCTCTCTCCTCCATCTTATCCCACAATTTTCTTCTTCTGCTTGTATAGTGATTGTGGTTTTCATCTGAAACGCCGCCTTGAAAGATGTCCGTCCACAGGCTCAAAGTCGGTATGGCTGGTCTGGGCCGTGTTGGCAAGATCCATGTCATTAACCTTTTGCATCACACTCCTCGTGCTGAGCTCGTGGCAGCTTTCTCTCCTGACCCTGCAGAGATTGCTTGGGGCAGGCAGAACCTGGAGCCATATGGTGTGACTCTCTATGATAACTACGACAGGATGCTCGAGCATCCCGGCCTAGCGGCAGTAGCCATTGGTACAGCGACATCTGTTCATGCAGAGCAGACTATTAAAGCCATTGACCGTGATCTCCACGTCCTCTGTGAGAAGCCATTATCAACCGATATTGAAGTGGTAAGTCTAAATCGTTAACGTTGGCTTAAGCCTTGCACCACACGTATATTAACACCTTTCACAGTGCAAAGCGGTGGTGCAGAAAGCAAAGACTAAGCCTCATCTCAAAGTTATGTGTGGCTTTTCTCGCCGATTCGATGAATCTTACCGCGAGGTCCACGACAAAATCACTCAAGGCCTGATCGGTCGACCTTCTATCATCCGAAGCCAGACATGTGATAAATTTGACCCCTCAGGTTTCTATGTTGCATATGCAGCATGGTCCGGAGGTGTTTTCGTTGATATGTCTGTCCATGACATCGACCTCACCCTGTGGTTCTTCGGTGATGACTCAGTCCCTAAAAGCATTTCCGCCCACGGAATTACAGCTGTCCAGCCGGAGCTGAAGAAGTACAACGACTATGACAATGCAGTAGGGATTGTCGAGTTCCACAACGGCAAAATCGCCTATTACTATTGCTCTCGTATGATGGCACACGGTCAGGAAGACACGACAGAAGTTATTGGCACTGAGGGTAAATTATCTGTTAACACCAACCCTCAGCGCAACTTTGTCAACTTTTATCACTCCGGAGGTATCACACGAGAAGTCCCTAGCAACTTCATCGGCCGATTCGGTGCTGCTTTCGTTAAGGAGGCGAATGAGTTCACTGCTGCTTGTCTAGACAACACCCCTCTTCCGATTAAACTGACCAACGCGGTTAAGGCCGTGGAAATCGGTGCCTACCTCCAGGAGGCCCTAGTAACTGGGAAGCAAATCCACTTCGATGAGCTTGGAAGGAGGATTGAGAAGCCTATGCTGTGAAAGCGGGAGCTGAGTGAAATCACTATGGGAAGGGACTGTTTATTTTGTGTTTTTTATGAGCAAGGCATTTTCATAGCATAGATGTCGATTTCTCAAAATGCCGAATTTTATTACTGAGGAAGCCGGAAAGCAAAAGTCGAGACAATTGTCTAAATGAATCCAACGGATAGAGCCATCGAGTTCAAGCGGCCAGCAACTCCTGATGGGAATGTCGCTAGGTTGAATCGCACTTGCACCTAGCAATTTGCTTGAGCACCTCACTTCGTAATGTTTCAAATACAACGTTGGTTTTTATAAATGTGTAGTACTAGTATTTATGAACTATAGCATTCAAGTTTGTATAGCTCCCGAAGACTCCTGTCAACGTACCCCACATCCTTGGGCTCTCTTGGCAGTCGATTGAATAAATCCTCAGAAAACTAATGTATTAGGATTCATAGCCATAATTTTCCACTGTACTAAGAACAGCCAAATGAACAGATTTCCACTACTGTTCTGTCACAGCGATCGGCATGTCCATCAGCCCACCGGACGTTCCAATGCATGACGAATCACCCCAATGACGAAACCGATCGACGAATTCATTTGTTTCTCCACGCCAACTGCCGCGTGGATTTATGTAATCTGAGCCCTCCTTGTCTTTCACGGATTGTTCGCCTGGGGTTCCTCCGGACGACCATATAACCAACAGTCTTATTCGCCCGGCTGACCGCCGAGTCACCATATCTATCTTTTTTATCCTTATAATTGTCGACAGGAAGGTACTCCAAGCTTCCAGTCATCATGTATCTTGATTTTCGAGATCGTTTAGGGATTGGCAGCCTTTTCACGACGGTCATCTCTATGTTTTCGCGTGAGCGAGATTCCGTAATTTATCGACCAGCCCTGCCTCCTTCCTACCCTTTGGCAGTTCGAAACCCGTATCTCTCGACATGGATGCCTAGCGATCAGGTCAAGACTTTGCCGTATGCAGAGCCTCAGTTTTGGACTGGACAGAGTCTCTCTTGGTCGGTGATGGCGCGGGTTGACGGAGAGACGTACAGCTTGATGAATGGGAAAAATGCAGGTGATGACGTTCTTCCAGCTGTCGTTTCTAGTGCAGAATATACTTCTACCCATTCAATATTTACCCTGTCTGCTGGTCCCGTGACTTTCACCCTAGATATCTTTTCACCTGTGTCACCTTTCAATCATCTCCGACAGTCTCTCCCTTTCAGTAAGAAACGCTATCCATGATCAATGATAATCCTGTCGATAGCTGATCCAGGTGCTTGTAGGCTATCTAACAGTCTCATTGTCAACGGCTTCTTCCAACAACATTCAGATATATTCTAGTATTGATGACCGATGGGTAGGAAAGCAAGAAAACACCGACCGAAACTTCCAGAGGAAAGATACTACTGCTATCTTCTCCCTTGGGATCAATAATTCTGTCCTGTATGAAGAGCGTAATGATATGGCAACATGGGGTGAGGTTATCTTTGCATCCCGTTCAACACCCACTTCAAAGCTTTCCTTTGCATCGGGAAAGTGCGAGTACGTACGCTCCAATTTTATCAAAACAGGGCAGTTGAATGGCGATGATGCTTGGTTTCCTGGGGCAATTGTAGCTCTGTCACATGACTTAGGGATAGTTACTGGCAGTCAGTCCGTGAGATTTGCTGTTGGCTACGTGAGAGAGGAAGCAGTCAATTATCTCGGGACGCCATATACGGGATACTATAGGGCCAACTACCCAAGGACAGTTGATGCAGTCACCTATTTTCTGGATGATTATCAGGATGCTCTCCAGGAATCGCTGAAGTTTGACCTAGAGCTGTCTACTAAAGCCAAAGCAATCGCAGGCCAGAAGTATGCGGACATCGTTACCCTATCGACCCGTCAGGCTTATGGTGCTATTGATCTGACTATTCCTAATGATTCACTTGACATCGATGATACAATGGCGTTTGTAAAAGAGCTCTCCAGCGATGGCAATCTCAATACTGTTGATGTTATTATGCCTGCCTTACCCATCTTTTACGTTATAAATCCTGACTACATACGATTATTGCTAGAGCCGATGATGAGATACCTTGCAGCGGGGCGCTGGCGGAAGCCATATGTAATTCATGACATGGGCTCCCATTACCCCAATGCTACTGGGCATGACAACCAACAAGCAGAGCCAATGCCTATTGAGGAATGCGGCAACTTGATGGTCCTAGCACTAGCATATGTGCGCGCAACCGGCGATACAAATTGGGTGGCCAAGTACCAGGATATCATAAGGCCCTACGCGGACTACCTGGTTGACAATGGGGTTGACATTGCGGAGCAGCTGTCTTCCAATGATGCTGCAGGGCCTCTTGCTAATGAAACGAACCTGGCCATCAAGGCTGCAGTGGGCATTAAGGCATTCGGCCAATTAACGGGGCTTACTGAGTACTCCCGTATTGGCAAGGAGCGTGCAGACCTCTTCTTCAACCAGCGGCTTGGAACCGATAGACAAAAAACACATTTTGTGCTACAATATCCGGACAAACCAACCTCCTGGAAAATTCCATATAACTTATATCCAGATGTACTGCTGGACCTTGGCACTTTTCCTCCAGAGGTTCACCAGATGTCCAGTGTATTTTTCAAGTCGGTTCGAGGAGAGTATGGAGTTCCTCTTGATAGCCGTCAGGACTGGGCCAAATCTGATTGGAATATGTGGGTGGCTGCCACTTTCGACCTGGACACCCGGGATGAGTTTGTTGAAGACTTGTGGACGTTTATGACCAACGGAAAGCATAATTGGCCCTTTTCTGATCGTTATGTTGCCACGTCAGCTAAAGGAGCAAGTCCCGGGGTGCCCGTCTTGTGTCGTGCTCGGCCGACTGTGGGTGGGCATTTTGCGCTGATGGCTTTGAATGGGCCCAGATCTCTTTGGAGCACTGTGCCTGGCGCTATGGAATTACCGAACACTTTGGGCGACGAGGATTTTGAGACGCAAAGAGAGGAGCTGTGACATTGCAATGTGTTGGTGGGGCCGCTTGTCAGTACAAAGTCGAATGTTATTCTGCATTGACATTAGATTTGCCATGAGAATAACATAATCACTATGAGTACTGAAGATTACTATGACTCCTTCATTGGTAACAGTGAATAAAAAGTAGAAGGACGGTAGTCAAACCTTGAAAGTGAATATTTATACGCTATATTACTAATAAGCCAGGTATCGTTGCCATAACTCAGATACAAGACCACTGAAGTCGTTTAAAAACTCATTCTCTAACTAATTGGCCATGGGCGACCGCTTGCACTGATGCAATACTAGTAGTAGTACAGAGTAGTAGATAATACGATCCTTTTCAGGCACCAAGGAAGCAACGAAACCCCTGGAGATTACATAAGCGGTCGCGGCCTCAGGTTGTTGTGGCCCGTCAAGTCAGTGACACTCTTCCCCAAGAGTTTCGCTGCATCCAAACTGCTTCGCCGCTGTGTTTTGCTTTCCTTCTCCCTGTTCATTTGCCGTCTTGTCTTTTGCTTCTTCTCTCTCTTTCTCTCCCTCCTTTTCGCTTCATCGCCACCTATAAGCCTTCGTCTCTCATATTCCGCCCCTTGATTAGATCCTACTCATGGCTTCTGTATGTATTCTCTCTGTTTGACTTCTCCGCCATTTGCTCTCCCGTGCAGATAGCTAGCCAACGTCATGGCTCGCCCACCACGCGTTTGCACGCGCCAACAGAACAAGCATGCCTACTGACACCTCTGTGCTCCTCTTCTAGCCCCGTCCTCCGCACAACTTCGGTCCGCAAGGCTATCCTCTCCCTAACGGTGCCACTGGTCCCGTACCTGGCGCCACCCCTCTTCTGCCAAACAACGGCCGAGTCATTCAGAACGGCCCCGTCAGAGTTCTGTGCATTGCGGATGTTCGAGGTAGACTTCCCTAGCATATACCCATAGAGACATGGTGATAGAGATGCGCTTGGCTAACTGGGGTTTCTTTTTTCCGTTTGTGTTACGCAGGTAATCTGAAGTCTCTGAATGAGTTGGCCAAACAGGCCCGTGCAGATCATATCATCCACACCGGTGATTTCGGCTTCTATGATAACACATCGTTGGATCGAATTGCCGAAAAGTAAGTAATGCACTTGATATTTGAGCTTATCTACTGATCAGATTACGTTGGGGCTTCGGTGTCTGGAACTGAATTCACTGACGGCTGGGTATCCATAATTAGGACCCTTAAGCATGTGGCCCAATACTCTCCACTGCTTCCTGAAAATGTGAAGCGGGCCATCGCACAAACTCCTCCCCAGCAATCCATTAAGCAACGATTCCCCCCCGACCAGCTACCCCTCTCAGAGCTTTCTATGCTGCTCGACAAGCGGCTCACACTTGATGTCCCTGTATACACCGTTTGGGGTGCCTGTGAAGATGTTAGAGTGCTGGAGAAGTTCCGCTCTGGAGAGTATAAGGTGAATAACCTTCATATTATCGATGAGGCCAACTCCCGTCTACTGGATATAGGTGGTGTCAAGCTTCGTCTGCTAGGATTGGGAGGTGCAGTGGTTATGCACAAGCTGTTCGATAACGGCGAGGGCAAGACCACTATTGCCGGTGGCCTAGGCACCATGTGGACGACTTTACTGCAAATGGGTGAGCTAATTGACACAGCAAACCGTGTGTACGACCCATCGGAAACTCGTGTCTTCGTCACTCATGCGTCACCCGCGCGCGAGGGAATGCTTAACCAGCTATCTGTGACCCTGAAGGCTGATTTCTCCATTTCTGCCGGTTTACATTTCCGCTACGGCTCGTCTTACAACGAATTCTCCGTGAACCCCTCATTGGACCATTATCGAGGCAAGCTGGCCGCATCGAAGGCTTCCTTCAACGATGTTTGGGAGACGGTGCGCGGTGAGGTCGAGGCTGCGATTGCTTCTAACGAAGCCCAGAAGACGCTCTTGGATAATGCTCTTGATGTGGTGCAGAAGATGCCTACTATCGCTAACGGCGGGAACCCGTTCGGCGGACCTACCGGCCCCGGAAACGCAGCTGGTCAGGTCGATGAAAGTGCTTTCAAGAACATGTGGAACTTCAACCTTGCAGATGCAGCATTCGGTTTCCTAGTCCTTGAGATCGAAGGCGGCCGTATCGCGACGGAAATGCGCGCCCAGGGTTTCAATTTCGCACACCGCGGCGGAAAGCCTCCTGTGCCTGCCGTTGCTGGACAGCCCAACCCGCCTGTGCCTACAGGTACCCCTGGTGTAGCCTCCCCAGCAACCCGCCCCGCTGTTCCTCAGTTTGGTCAGGCCCAGCCCGTTGCCGGACGTCCTGCCGCCCCTCAACAGCCGCAGCCTCAACCTCAGCAGGGACAGGCCAAGGCTCCCGCTGCAGCCCCCGCTCGCACTTCCCCAGTTCCCGTTATCCCCAAGCCTGCAACCCCCCAGCCCTCCGGCCCAGCTGCCTCGCAACACGCCCCTACATCGCCTGAAAAGGCTGCAGAGGCCAACGGCACTGCACAGCCTGAGAAGCCATCCGAGTCGCCTATGCCCAGGCCTGAAAAGAAGCAGAGCAACGGACTTTTCGTGTCGAACGTTGACAACGAACAGGCGGTTCGTGACCTGTTCCCAGAGGAGGACAAGACAAAGATAGTCAGGTTGGACAAGTGGGGTAAATACAACCATGTTGTGATGTTCAACAGTGTCGAAGAGGCCAAGGCTGCTCTCGATCGTCAGCCCCCAGAGCACAAGAAGCCTACACCCCCCGGTCAACCTCGTAAGCCTAACATCAAGTTCTTTGAAGACCGTGGTAGCCACCGCGGCAATGCTGGCACATGGCAGAGCAGCAACCGGGGAGGCAACACTTCTCAGCGTGGATACCAGAGCGGTGGTGCCAGCGACAGTGAAGGAGGACGGGGACGTGGTGGATTCAGCGGACGTGGCCGCGGTCGTGGCGATCGTGGTCGAAGCGGACGCGGTGGTCGCGGCGGTTTCAACAAGGGAGGACCTACATCTGACTCGCCTGCTCCATCGACATCGACACCGACTGGTGAGAAGCCCGCTGCGGCTGGCGATGCTTGAGCATAGCTGAGTCGGTTTAACGTGTTTCCTTGTTTCTTCTGTGTTGAAAATTCTTAACGCTTTTTTTTTTTTGCCGGCCATGTCTTCACATTCAACTTTTCTCCACCGTGTGTTCTGTTGAAGTCACATCGGTCCCTCATATCCTAATTTTTATTCTTGTGATATTCTCCTTTCCCATTTCTTTGTTTTTCTCTGAGCGAGATGTACGTGAAACACTACACTTCATTTCCTTGTTCCTAGTAGACGCTCGTCACACCCTAGGATTCTTTAGCCCGGGCTACCGGAAGGTTGTTGGTGCAGTTCAGTGCAGTACAGGTTGAGATGAAGATGGTGCGATGATGAAAGGGAATGAGACAAAAAAGCGACGGATCAAAAGAAGAAAAAAATCATAAAAAAAGCGTCAACATCAACGCAACTTTTTTGTATTTTAAAATTTTTTTCCTACTTTCCTGGACGCACCAATATCGATACCCTTGTAGCTTTATTGTTCCCTGAGCTTCGAGTACGGAACTGTTTGGTATTCTCTCATCTACTTGTAGCGTCGATCTGAAAGGTTGGTTTGGATGTTCCAATCTTACACGGAAGTTGCAGATATTGTCAAGTCAGAGTAGAGAATAGAAGAATTATTCCAAGATCAACATGAACAATTCCCTTGATGGTATTAACAGAAGGGAAAAAGGGATCAATCATGACTAGGCACAACCATCGTAAACCGTGAACCAAGGAGTATGTAAAATTAGAGACCCCAGTCCTTGGATATGATCATATCCAGCACAACGCAGATGCGCCTTATCCGAAAATTTTCTTTAAATAACCAGCCGTCCAGCCGACAACTTACTGTACGCCAGTAAGGGGAAATAAAGCACGCGTGATCTGATCATCGGTGTACATTCTTTCCAAGCCGAGACCAGTAATCAGTTTATAGCCAAACTGTGCCTCCCCATTCGCCTTGTATGAAGCCAAAGACAGAAGAGAATTAAGGAAAAAATAAAGTAGGAAAAGACAGATACCTCACAAATACATATCGTCGGATAATGTTGATCCCAAAATAAAAGTAGATGGTACATATACCAGAGCGTATGTGACTCAATTTTGCGAGTACGATAGTTCCCAGATCCCTTGCTCGTCATGACGTCAGTTGCAGTGTTGTTATCATAGATATGGGTATCAAAATCTGCAGCACGCGATTGCGCATTATAGTCAGATGGCGAAGAATATTATTTGACGCGACCCATGATATCCTCCACATCCTTTTGGTTCACAACTACACCACCCTCCGAACAGCGGGCCTTTGTACGCAGCTCGGAGCAAAGGTTGTCAACGTCAATTTCGCCATTGCGGAACTTCTCCATAGACTGCAGGCGATCCCTACGGTAGATGAAAGTCAGTACACCAGTGATAACTCATGGAACCAAAATCAAGCCGGACATACCAAATCTTGGTGCAAGACAACATCTGTGATTTGTCCTCCCCAGGCACCACCTCCTCATCCAACTTGTTGTCAATTTCCGCAATCAAATCCTTCTTCGGTGGCTGGGGGTTAGCCGCCTCATTGAAATTGTGAGATGGACTTCCCAGATCTGGCAAAGGGAAGGCATCGTCAAAGAAGGTACCGAAGTCCTGCGACAGAATAGCATCTTGAGGTTCTCGCCAGTCTCCGAAGAGCACTGGATCGAACTGACCCCCATTCTGCTGCGCCAGGAGGTCAAGTCCAGGTCCGGGCGTTTGTACGTCGTTGCTGCTGGGTTGGCTAGGGGTATTCGACACGCTCTCGCTTTTGCCTCTCACAGCTGGAACAGGGTTATTGATATTGCCGCACGCCATGCCGAGTTGTGCGCAGAAGGAGGCCTCACCATCAATGGTGCTATAGGTACAAGCATGATGATTTTGAACACTGTCACTAAGCTTCGTGGCAGGCGAATTTGATGTCGGCTCCGGCGATGTGCCATTTGAAGACAGCATCTGACTCTGGTGCGAGTCCGATGAGGAGGATGGAGAACAAGAATTGGACGAATCATGTGACGATGCGGACTGTCTGATATTGTACACCGATGGTACCTTAGGAGAGGGGTTGTTGGAGACTCCATTGGCGGCTTTGGCAGTTGGCACTCCCTGGTTGTTTGAGCCGTTGAGTGATTCCCGAGTCATAACACCTGGAACTTGGGAGTCGCTTGTCGCCGGAGAAGAACCATTCCTAGGTTTATTTTGGTTTGACTTGGTCAATGGGCCATTAAAGATGTGTCCTCCGGGAAGGTCTCCGAATTTGGGGAAGTCGAACATGAAGTCGTTATTATTGAGGCCATACAAATTCCTAGAATGAGCGCTTGGGATAGCGCTCATGGCAGAGATTCCACTGCCGGTAGTCAGCCATGAGAGACGCTTGCGGTACTCTCTGAGTTCCACTTGCAAACGCTCGACCTGAGCGCGCAGGAGTCCGTTCTCCTGGTTTGCATCGTCCGAGGCCTTCTGTAACTCATCCACTTTGGTCTCCAAGTCCTTCAAATGCTTCTCCTTGCGCTCACGAAATGCCCGCTGCGCTGCACGGTTTTGCGCCTTGCGCTTCTAGAAAGCACGTTAGTAACACAAACCCCGGTCAATCTACTCCACAGATTTCGATGCATACCGAAGTAGGCTCTGAAGTTAACGGCTTTCTACCTGGTTTTTTCGCTGCTTTGTCATCGCTTTCTCTGCGCTTCTTTCCCGACTCTTCGTTTTCGTTGTCCGACATATCCTTCCGCTTTTCGCCTACCTCGTATTCCTCAGATGGGAGACTTCCCGGCAGGTCACCAATTAGATTCTCGGAGCCCGGAAAATCGAAGTCAAGCTCCGGATTGAAGTCTAGGAAAGGACTCTCATCATCTCCGTAACCCAACCCACCGGAGCCATGAGTCTTATTGAATCCGGGCGACATGCTAAAGCTGCCAGACGACATGTTTCCAGGAGTGCTGTCTGGGTCTGTCTTCGCTTGGGATCTTTGCTTATCGTTCTGTTGCTTTTGAGGGGGTTGATTTGAGGAAAGAGCGGCAAGAAGAAGGTCTTGTTGATCGGGGGAGAGGTAGAGGCCTTGATGATAGAGGGTATTATAATCGGCCATCGTGATTATCGTATTTTCCAGAGCGGAATAGATATGCGTTAATATCCTGACGCCGGGCCCACTCGTTTCCTGAGATAGACCTGCGATCAAATCCGAATCAAACACTCGATTTGGCTGTTTGGACCGTTGTGATAGCAAGGCCGGGCTTCCCGCCCGTTTGTTCTATCGTATGAAGTCACCAGTGACGAAAAGATATCTGTGTGATGAAGGATTCAAGATGAATAATCAAAGCGGCAGTAATTGAAGCAACGTAGCGTCGAGAATTGGCGTTACAGCGATTGTGGAAAACGCGGTAAGTTTTGTAAGTGTTCAAGGATATATCAACTGAGGGATGCTTCCAACTACAGTCTGTGAAATGGGAAGCGACTGGCTAAAATCCGGCAAAGGAAAATACAAATAACGTATTTTTTGTTAAAAAAAATTGGGCGTGGTCGGAAGAGGTGTACAGACACCGGGCAAGTAGCAGGATGATCCGAAAGTAGCTCAACCCCGGCGCACGGTAAATAGGTGCTCCAAGACACGCAGAGATGATCAAACAGAGAGTGAGGTGAGAAGGTGCAGGTTGATCCAAAGGTATGTTCAGGGCAAGGTGTGAGAAAGGAGGGGCTCGGAGGGAGGCGAATGAGGCTAGAAACGGAGCAGTAGGCGGAGCAGAAATGCTGAGAATGGATCGAAATACGTCAGATCAATTGGTGCCTACTTCAGGCGGACAGGGAACCAATCGAGGGGGGGGAAACGAGTGCTAGAGAAAAGACCAGGGGAGGATGAAGAAAGAAGAGAACGGGTTGGTGTAAGAGGGGAAGAGATGAGCCGCTGCATTGCAGTCATTCGATAGCGGTACAGCAGTGACTAGCCTGAGGTACCACTCTTTTGGTCGTCGAAAGAGCGGCAGCCCCTTTAGCGCATGGCTATTGGTTGCCTAACCCCAGGGTTACTGATCATGGCCAATCACCGCAACGGATCGTGAGTGCTAGTGCGGAACCAGAAAATCCCAAATGCTGCTTAGAAATCAGGCCAGACCCTCTTTTTTCTTTTCGCATTTTCTGCCGCTTTCCATTCCCTCGTGTTGAAAGCCGTTTGGTTCCCGCCACTCAGCAGATCCCATCCCGAAGTCTCCACATCGTGGCTTTACTATCGGGTGTCTCGGTCGACTGATAAGATGGACTCTTCCTTCTTTTTTGTGGAGATATTATCCTCTTTTCTCTTCACCTCGTGTTGATTCCTTTCGCAGTTTTCACCCTCTCTTATGATATCATTTGTCTTGTTCGTTTTTCTACATGTAAACAGTCCAGGAATATCATCAGGTTCTATCCCCATGGAAAGATGTCAGTGTGAAGCATCCGTCCTTATCGTCAGATCCTCCCAGATGGGTCCAAATTGATCTAACAATTGGACCATTTTCCTCCGAGTTCGGGTCTTCCGTGACTCATCAACAGTTTTATTTTATGTAGATCGACGAAATGGGGAGGTCTCAAAGAACACTTCCCCCTGTAACCCCGACATCTGCTACCATTGTTGGGTAATTGCTACAATAGTTTTGATAGGTGAAACAAGGTATGGACCTGGATCTCTCAAGGTGGTTACGCCACAAGTAAGCTCGTGAGCACCAGTGGCAACAGGATTTAACTCTGTTCCACAAGATGAATCTCCGTTAATCGGTCAATTCTTTCGAATCTCCGGGGTGACGTGATATTCAATTTCAAGTCATCGCTTTGAGATCGTCATCAGTGCCCCAATTGCCTTCTAACTACAATGAGTGTAGTTTGTAGAGTCTTAAAGTAATTAAGCTAATGGGGGGGAAGATCCACTCCTATATCGACTGATGGTGAAGATATCTGGAGTGCATCCGACCTGCAGAGGGCCCCTCACGTGATGCACTAACCACAAGGGGAACGTGCACTATCTTATCCCAACTTCTCTTTGGGTCTTATCTTTGCCATCGCCATCTGCAAATAGTGTGAAAGATCCAACGTTGGTCTCCTTCAATAGCTAGCGCATTCTCTCATTTACTTTCGCCTGTCCTGGCAATTCATTATTTTGTTTGTTTGTTTCTTATTTGTTCCCTTTCAAAAGTTTTATTATCTCACAATGTCGGACGTGGCAGCTCTAGAGGCCGAGGTCAAGGAATTCAAGCTACAGGTATATCTGTCGAATGGTTGTTGAAACTTTGATCTCTAACCCAGTGGGTGCAGCTTGAAACCGTCCAATCGAGTTTGCAGGTAGATCCAGATAACACGGAACTTCAGAGTCTCAAAACTGAGCTGGAAGAACTTATTAACCTCACCGAAACCTCCATCGCCGAGCTCAAACCTCCCGCACCGTCCACGTCGAAATCATCGCTTCCGGTAAAAGAACAAGGACCCCGGGATAACTACCTTACGTCTCAGACGAGCTATCGAAAGCCAACAGTTGAGCAGACGGAAGAGTCCGCCCCACCGGCATCTTTCTCCGTCAATGAACATGTCCTTGCCCGTTGGACATCGGGCGACAACTCCTTCTACCCTGCCCGTATTACCTCCATCACCGGTTCCTCCAGCAACCCTGTTTACCTGGTCTCCTTCAAATCCTACGGCACGGTGGAATCATTAACTGCAAAAGACCTCAGGCCTATCTCTGGCAATGATTCGCGTAAACGCAAGGCTGATGGAAGCTCAGGCAATTCCGCATCCCAATCCCCAGCACCTCAGCTGCCAAACTCGAGCGTGATATCTGCAGCTGCAGATATCAACCCTGCATTGGCGAACCAGGCGCGGAAAGAGCCAAGCAAGGTAGGCGATGGCCCCGCGCGTCCCGCAAAGGCGCCCCGGAAGGTCAAAGCCAACCGTGAACTTGAGGCGGGTAAGATGAAGTGGAAGGATTTTGCCAGCAAGGGAAAGTTAGGACGGAAAGAGAGCATGTTCCGAACTGGAGACAGTGTCAACGCCCGAGGTATGCCTCTCACGATTTAGTGCCCGATAGGACCATGGCTAATCTTTACATCGGTAGTGGGTTTCACTGGGTCTGGCCAAAAGATGCGCAAAGATCCCACCAGGACGCGACACGTGTATCAACAAGCCGAGGACGAAGGCTACTGATGACGTAGCTTTGGGTTTTTTGCAGGTCTTTCCATGATATGATGGGCTTGGTTTTTTTTTTTTTTTTTCTCCTTATTGTTCATATGCTGTTTTTGCTCAAGCTATCTATTGTTCCCATTACTAACAGGCTGTTGGTGGCAGATAAGTCATCTCATGATTGTCGAGGCAAGGAGTAGTCATACATAGAACGCGGCTTCAAGATTTTGGTGATTCTTTACCCCATGAGTCTCTGGCGTCCCTCCTGCACGCGATCATTTCTAATCCGCCATCCTGTTAGGTATTATGATGATACGTCTATCGGAAAATAGGTTTTGATTGCCCAACGTACTGCTTTTCCCGTAGTAGTGATCCGATACGGCGACCCAAATTCTGGAAAATTAAGACCTAGACTCTTGCGTAAATGTCACTATAAAACTATAGTAAATGACTTAGATGTTTAATTATACTATTTTAGGAAGATATCCCATACGTTGACAATTGCATATAGTCGTCCCTTCCATATCTATTGTCTATGGTTCCGTCTGGAATTCATGGGACATGAGTAGGGCATCACGAACTTCAGTCAACAGATTCCCACATTGTCAAACGGTATTCATCCGGTATAAGTGTATAGGTGAATTTCGTGTTAATTGAATCGAAAAGTATGACAGCTGAAGTTTGTTCCTTGCATCTTCCCAAATCTACATCAGAATAGAACTAATGACCGGGTCCAATATGAGCTAGTGTCTACGAGAACAACATTAATATCGCCATATGTCTATGATTCTGTCTCTAAAAATACACAACGATGGTCAAAGAATAGCTATTCCAGTATAGCAGCCGTTATCCCGCCATATCACTGTCTTCTTCCCATCATTCACTCGATATACACTTCCTCCCAAATCCGTCACATACACCTGCTTTTCCCGGTCCATTTTAATCCCGATGGGTTCGTGGAATTGCCTTGCTAATATTTCCTTCTTGCTTTGAAGCTTCGCTTTGTCAACCTTTCCACTAACATCCACCCGGTTTAACGAACACCCAGTTGGATGCTCGCCACGATCAGTCCAATATAGCAACTGATGCTCCCCATCCAATTCCAGGTCGATCGGTTCAGGTAATTCTTCCAACAATATCTCAATGTCTTGTCGATTATCCGCTGTCTGACCCGCTGGGATGTCAATACCTGCTCGAAAAATCCGTCCCTGGCCACTTTTGCTGGGCCCCTTCTGCGTCCAGTAGATGTAACCGCGATCCATGTCCAAGGTGATACCTACACACCATCGCGTCATATCCTTCCTTTCCTCGGGCATATCGAGAGAGCCAGTACGAACCAGAATTTCGTGATCGGTCCCGTCAAAATTAACCCGGTGCACGCCCATGCCCTCACGATCGCAGAAGTAAACCTTTTTATTGATATCATCAACGACCAGTTGCTTCGGCGTGTGCACCGTACCAGGAGGCAGGAGAGTCCGGACATACGTTCCGTCAAGGTTTGCCGAGTGCACAGAACCATCATTTGTGGCTGTCGAGCGACCCATATTCGTCCAGAAGATGCGAGACGCCGTTCGCGAGACGTCAATCCCATCCGGCAAGGACAGCCCTTCAACGAGAGTGGTCACTTTTCCAGTACTCGGGTGGCACTTGAGAATACGTCCGGCAGTTGGAACGAACGAGATATCTGGATTGTTCGATCCCAGACCAACGTCGAGTACATACAAGACCTCTTCATCATCCTTAACATCAGTTTCCACAGACTTGGGAGGATACAATCCACCCTTATTGCTCTTGAGTCCTAGTTTCCCAGGCGAGATATATTTCTCGCGCAGCCAGTCAACAGTCATGCGGCTGTCTAGTCCCCTCTCTTGAATATAGTTATCTTCAATGAACGCCACCGTATCCAAACCAATCTGATCCATCAATTGACACGGCGGCAAACTAGACGGAAGCTGGAACATATTCCCCCAGAGGAGATCGATTTCTTCAGGAGAACTAACATCTTCCGCAAGGATAAACATGATCTCACGCTTAATGGCAGCCCAGAGACGATTGAAGATGAACCTAACTCATATTAGCCATCATCCACAGACCATATATATTATACAAAGAAGAGATACGGTGAGAAGAGAAGACAGAAACTTACCCAGTTGACTCCCGTCTCGCCGTAACAGGAATCATCCCACAATCTTTCAACACACCCGTCAACAAATTGAACAACTTTGTGCTCGTCTCTCCATCTGTCATTAATTCCACTGTCCGGATAGCAGGCGGCATCGTGAAATGCATATTCAGTACTCTGTCTCTCCTCTCAGGTTTCACCTCGTCCAGCATAAACCTCGATTTAAAAGAACTGCTGTTCGATGCAATGATGCAGTCAGCCGGTGCATTGCGATCCACTTCTGCAAAAGTGCTGATCTTCAAAGGCAGTTTCTCTGGTACGGCTTCTACAACGAGCCAGGCGTCTGATACGGCGGCGGGGATCTCGGTGAAGGTCTGGTATGTACCACCGGTGCGTTGGGAAGGAGTATGGGCTATAAATTCCTGAAGATGACTATCAATGTAACTGGATGCGTCTGAGAGGGCTTGGGGGGAGGGATCGCGGATATGCACATCGTATCCACCTGCAAGGAAGACAGAGGCAATGCGGCGGCCCAACACCCCAGCTCCAAGAACCACGACAGGACGTGATGATGGTTGGGGCATTATGTATATGTTTTGGTGCAGATAAAACGATAATATAGAAGTGTGGATGAATGTATGAGGAATATGCTGAGTAACTGGGTTTCACATTAACACATATAAAAGCCCATTCTCTAAAACCCGCATCTAGCCCTTATATATCTTACCTATTACACGCAACAGGGCACCTAGATCCCCGTATATGGATACAAACACCGCACATGCCGATATCCGATACCCATTGTTGAGTCGGTCCAGGTCGCTCGGACACCCTCGGACTCGGTATGGAGGTACTTCGGAACGGGGACGGACCGGATACTTAACCCTATGGGCCAAACTTTGGGACGATATCTATGCTCACCGTATCGGCTTAGGGCGCTCATATGTCGGGACAAGTAGGTGGATGGTGTGTCTGTTTAGGAATGTTACGGTGGGTATCACTGAGGAATGAGTTGTGCTCAAGTAGTGCCGTTTAGCCGTGGAATGGGTGCTTGGTGTATGTTATGGTTGTTGGGTTGGTAATTCTGAGGAGGGTTTGGTACTACTCAATGGGGGTTTGTATTTCTCTGTTTTCTTAAGGCCATGACATAGTGTACCAGATTACTTTGTTTTAGTGGGTTGGAACAATGAATTACCTGCAAGCAACTATGTGGTGTTTGTGTGCCGATTTCAAATTCAGATTGTGGTAGCATACTGTGCATTCTAGGGTGGGAGTCCAAAAGTATGTGACGTGACTACAGTATCAATGAAACATCGATTAAGACTGTGTCTGTCCAGTACTCCGTATACAGTGTGCTAATTAATTTTGGTTACCTGGCATTGTCCTAACAAACGACAAAACCCCAGCAGTAGATGAACCATTTAAACAAAGCCAAAATAAATGCATTATATATCTACAGTGTACATTCTAAAACAAGAAAACCTGATCCCCAACTTTAGCAACAGCCCCAGGCATCGCCCACCCCATTCCCTGCAAGTTCTTCTTCATCGCCGCCACCATCGGCGGCGGCCCACACAACAACACTCTATTATCCAGCGCAGGAGGCGCCAAATGCTTCGCAATAACATCCCCATTCACAAACCCCCGGTAACCCTGCCACGTTTCTCCAGGATGGCTCAACACATACTGCACCTGGAACTTATCGGGATGACGCCTCGCGAACTCATCCAGCTCCGCACGCAATAAAATGTCTTCTTCCTTGTTATTCGCGTATAGCAATGATACCTGCGTCTTGTCGCTATCGTCTTCGCAAATTGCCCGAATGAGCTGGTACATGGGTGTAATGCCTGTTCCACCTGCGATCATCCCGACATGCTTCGCATATTGCTGTGAATATTGCATTGCGCCTTTCGGTCCGCGGATCTCGATCGAGTCGCCTACGTTCATCTGCTCTAGGTGCTGGGTCATCGCTCCGTTGGGATATACCTTGATGAGTAGCTCGATACGACCCAAGTCACTATTGTTGGATACTGGTGTGTACGATCTCGAGACGCTTTGTCCGTTGATCGTCGCTCGTAGAGCGATATGCTGGCCCGTCGGTAGGCCGAGGACATCGTCGGGATTTGGCAATGCAAAGATGAATCTATATACATGTGGCGCGACTTCGGCTTTGCTGGCCAAGGTGAATGGTCGCCATTTGCGCGGATCCAAGATACTCGGTTTCTTGATTGGAAGATTGGTCCGCGGGAGCTTGATCATACGTGCTGTTTTGGCTGGTCGACTGGGTACGTGATGGGTGAATTCTTGTTGCACGTCTAGCTTGGTTGAGATCCACATGCCCAGGCCCAAGGTTAGGGAGAACTGGACTGCGCTGGCGATGCCCACGCCGGTCCAGAAGTGGGATCCGTCGTGGCCTGGGCCCTGGCGCGGAGAGATAGATGTGACGAGGGAGCGCAGGGCGTGGACTACGTCGGTGGTGGTTATACCACGGTGGTAGGCTGTTATGGCAGCTTTGCCCGCTAGACCGGTCATGCCGCACTTTATAATCGTTTGAATTATGGATGACCAGGAGGTGGAGTTTTTGACGTTGACGGCCGCGGATTGGGAGACTTGCTCGTAGGTTGGACGGTATATCTCGACAGGTTCGGTTTGTTCCTGAGCTTTTAAGTATAGAGATCAATGATGAGTAGAATGGGTATTTACCTCCGTCGGTAAGTCGCCTACGTAGAAAGGCTCTAACTGTTCCCTCGCTTCGTCAGAGTGTCCGACTTCCTCAAAAGCTTCAGTGGCGTCGGTGCCGGCAACCTCGAGAAGAATAGCACCCCCACCAGGGTGATCTTCAAGGTACTTGGTCACATCGTAGACTATGAGCAGTCAATATCAGTCTGGCTGGATGATAGGAGAGACGAACCCTTATTGTGGAGGACAATCCAGACATCGTCCGGTTTGCAGTGTTTTTGGACCTGTTCAAGGGTGAAGGACGACATTTTGGTAAAGTATGCGACTTTACCCTCTAAAAGCAAACATGGACAACTTAGTCATTTATACCCTCAACTATCTTCTGCGACTCTTGTGCCGTTCTATCCAGATGATGACTCTCGGGCGACCCTCGTACGAACTTCGGACGAGGTCTCCGAAGCAGCCGAAGATCAAGCTGGGCACGGATATTCGGATGGCATATTCGGAGTCAACTTCACAAAGGTATATAATAATGTCGTTTCCAGGTAAGTCTTCGACCAAGTTAATTAGTTCAAGCATTGATGTTCATCATGAAGTGTCAATTCTATCTCGTGGGCGACGACATCGCCACCACACAATCCATAGATGTGGACTCACACTGGAAGTTTGAAGACCTACAGCGCGCTGTCGGGGGAGTTTTCCATGTCGCTCTGCCAACAGGTAAGCCTTTTTGACTGACACTTTCTCTTTACCAAAAGCCCTAACATTGCAGGTATCTCCTTCCACTCTGAAAACGAAACGTTGTCGTCCGTCGCCGACATGATCTCTGTCGATTCATCTCCCATCGGCCTCCGAATTGACGGCAATGCCGTACAAACTCCTCAAGGACCTCCAGGGCTGCCCCTGGTTGGCAGCTTCTACGAGATCTTCCCAGACCATCTGGGGAACCACTATCGACTCTTCCGCAAATATGGCCCAGTGATCAAAACCACCAACATGGGCAAAACCACCTACCTCACAGACGATCCGCAGGTCGCCTCAGTCTGTCTCGCAGAATCAGCCTACATGACCAAGAAGATCAACGAGGATCATCCCCTCTGGGGCGTGAAAGACAACACCGCCATCTTCATCGGCGACACAGAGACTGAAAACTGGCGTCTCGCCCACAAATACCTCCCACCAGCCATGGGGCCCAAAGCGGTACGCCACTACACAGGCCTCATGCAAAACTGTGCAAGAAAGTCTCTACCCGTGTTCGACGAGCTGGACGCCCGCGACGAGTCCTGGAACGTCTACCAGTACATGGTCAAGCTGGCCTCGCAGACCATCGGGTCCTTCTCCCTCGGCAAAGACTTCGGCCACTTCGACTCAGTCGACAGCCCCCTCCACCCGATCGTCACGAACATCGCCAGTCTCCTGTCGCTCAATAAGAAGATCACGTCCCGCGGCGAATGGTACCGCCACCTCCCCTTCGGCGACCCGGCCCGTCTCCGCCACGTCCAACATACCATCTACACATTACTGCAGGAAGCCATCGACGAAGTCGCTGGCTCCGGCATTGCCGACGCCCCCATGAACGAAGCAGCGCTCAGCGCCTCCTGCGTCGTCGACTACCTCCTCCACGCGGTCGACGATAAAGGCGAGCACTTCCCGCAGGGCCTCATCCTCGCTAACATGCTCATCGTCACGGGCGCCGGCTTCACCACCACTTCCGCGCTCCTCTCCTGGCTCCTCTACTGTCTGGTCACATACGAAGGCACACAGGACCGCCTCTACGCCGAACTCATAGAGCACGGCATCGTCGGGCCCAGCGGCGAACGCAATGAAACGCCCTGGACCCCCGATCTCGCGCACAGCCTCCCCTACCTCGACAAGTTCGTCAAGGAAACTCAGCGCCTCCACAACGCCAGTTTCCAACCGGGGAGAACCACTAAGACTGATGTCGTGCTTCCGGGCGGGTATCGTCTCCCGCCTGATAGTGTCATTATCCCTGCGTTGTATGCTATCCATACGAATCCCAAGACCTGGCGGGACCCGTTCCGGTTTGATCCGGATCGATGGGATACGGAAGAGGTCAAGGGAAGGCATCGGTGCGCCTATATACCGTTCGCAACGGGGCCGAGGGGGTGTATTGGGTTTAATTTTGCGTTATTGGAGGTTAAGATTTTGTTGGCGGAGTTGGTGAGTCGGTATGAGTTTGTGAGGGACGGACTGGAGGCGATTGATTATGATCCTGAGTTTCAGTTGATTCGGCCGTTGAACTTTTATGTTAGGGCTAAGCGGAGGGTGTAAATGTTTATATATCATTGATGGATTGATATGATGTACACTAGATATTAAATAGAGGTCTAGGAGTTAGGGTTAAGCTGTATTCTCATAATTCTATCATGGAAGTTGAGTTAGGGCACAGATCTCTTACGATAAAAGAATCATAGCTCTCACTTGGCTGTATATCACACCGCGGCCTCTTGGTAAATCTCTCGCAATGCTTTCAGCGCCCGCGAATACGGCCCAAAATACCGAACATTCGTATCAGCATCGCACCACTCGGAATCCTTCTCCTCTTTCTCCAAGACTGCGATCAGGCGCTGCACAAGTACCTCTGGATTTCGCTTGTCCTCCACGAGTAGTGCCCCTAGCCCCTTGAGCGTAATTGCACAGCTAACCGCGTTATGCACAAACGCCCATGATCGACAAACACTCGCTGAGAATCGATGAAGATCAAGAAAACTCTCGATCGCTTGCATCGCCCGGTTCATACAGTCCATCGCAGCAGCATTGTAAAGGGGAGAATGAGGCTCTATTTCACTCAAATACACTCGGCTCAGTCTGCAAATACCATATCCTAGATGAACTCCAAGGGCTAATCGTTCTAGATGATCTTGTACCGAGGTGCACCGTGCCTTGTCCGTGAAAAATGGAGCGGCGTCGTCCCACACCTCTTCTAATTGTCGTTTACACTTGAGTGCGCTCTGTTGTGGGTCTTCGACGTTTCCCGCTGCCTCTTGCCGTGCTTTGTTGAGGAGGATGTTGCAAATGGTGAAAATGGATTCTTGGAATGAGAGTCCTTCGGGTTGCTGTCTATATGGGATAGGGCAACTCATTGTGATTGTACTTGGAGGGCGGTCATATGTGAACGATAGAAAGGTATCTTGCCAAACGATTGACCACCTGCCCTTTGTTAGTGGTGCGGTCAGAGGTGTATATTGAGGGCCAATACCATAATCTGTTGCGTTGGTATTGCTCGGGTTCTGGGAGAGATGAGAATGCTTCGTGGAGACCGATACTCTGAGCTAATCGAATGGTTGCACCTGCTATAATCAGTATATATGCGAGAGATAGAGGGACATACACCTACCCATCAGTATCCACGCACTGTTGGTATCCAAGTTATTGCGCAGACAATGCCCAATCAGTGCCATAGCCTGAATCTGATCCAGGTTTGTATGATTGAAAAAGTTTGACATGCGAAGGCATTGGAAAGATGAGCAAACTATGTTTATTAGTTGGGTTCTAGCTTTTCCAAATAGAAGGTAGTATCAGCATACTGAGGACCTTTGACCGCAAATCTCGCTCCTTGATCGGATCATCCGAAAACTGCACTCCACAAGCTAGCACAGCGAATAATAGTGCCAGCCAAGACGAATCAAGTCCGAGTTCTTCGGTTGTAGCTGTTTGAGATGCAGCTCGCTCGTCTAAGAATCCGAACAACGCAGGGCCGAACTGATCGATAGTCACCAGCGATGGGTAAAATGGGTAAACAATTGATTGGTAGACTTGCCAGTATCTAGGACAGTCAGTCTTGGGGAAGCAAATATTGAGACTGGCCAGCTTTAGAATTAAAATCTATCAGGTCAGAGATGCATACCGGATGATATCCGAATCGTCCGGCAACGTTTCACAGACGTTCTTGGCTGTCGCCTCCGCCCCCCAAAGATTGGCAAAAGGATATGTCCGTGGCACAAATTGGTCGACTAGTGCATCGTGCAGCATCGTATCCCCCGTTGCTGACGCTCGACGGCACCCCAGGGCGAGAGGGGTGTCTGAGTGGCTGCCCAGATAAATAGTGGCACCAGTAGCATCTTCGACAAAGTAGCGTCCAGGCGACTTACTAGCTGGCCGGGTACGCAATTGACCCGTGTTACGAGTTTCACTTACAGAATGAGGACTCTGGGATGTCGCCGTAACCGTCGCGCGCAGGTCCGCCTTGAGCGAGGCAATTTGCTCCTCGATTTTCTCCAGCTTAGAGATGAGAAGGCTGGGATCAGTTGCAGACTGAGATTGCGCTTCTTCAATTGTACTATCTCTATCACCAAGTCAATAAGCTGTCGAGTATTGGTGAGTAGAACATACAGAACATCTAGATTTAGTTCACTCGGCCCTTGGGTATCCCTTTGTGTAGGTTGCGGTGCTCTCGCCTCGCTGCCGGAAGTAGTCGGCACACGACATAACTCACTATGGCCGCGCTTGACGCAGTTGGAGCATGGCTCTCTTCCGTCACAACGGACCTTCCGGTGTCTGCAAGGAAAACAGGAGCGGATGCCGCGGGTCTTGCGTTTATTCTTGAGCAGTTCGCGGATGACGGCAGTGTCGTAAGGATAGGCGTTTTCCGCCATTCTGAGTGCACGACGTGATTCTACTTCATTAATATCATTTCCCTATGATGTGTCAAAGCTCTGTGTATCCATTATGCGATAGAGAAGCAGTTGATGGTTAAAGAAACCTGCAGAGCAGCAGCAGTAAAGTTGATGAGTGTTGAAAGTTCGTCCCATTGATCGGGAAATTTAAAGTGTGCCATCTCGTATTGGTATTACCGCCTGTATCACACTAAACCAGGTTTGGAAGATACCTCATTCGGTTCATTTGATGAAACTTGTTCATGATCAACCAGCTTGATAATATTGGTACTCTTGACTATTGCTGCATACACTAGATTCTATCTTACCAGAGGGTATAGACACTGATAATTGTATTATACTGTATATAACCGAGTACCTCTCGATCTTCCAAATGGGAAAACGCACCAATCTTCATTACGCATCTTGAGACGGACTCACGGGACTGCCCTGGACAGAATGTTGTGTTTCGCCGGCGGAAGACCTCACAGCTATACCATGGTGTATTCTCAAGAGCTACACATCGTGCTAGAGGCGTAAATATCCCCGCAAACTGTGAATGGCTGTTCTCTAGTGCCGCTGGAGCCTCATGCATCAGACCGGTTCTGAGATTTCTACTTGCGGTAAAGCAGACATCGGGATCTGAAAGCGCAAGTCGGCTTTCAAACTCAGAAGCATGGCATCCTAGCCAGACATGCTGGACAGCGATCTTACTTTTGCTGATTAAGGGGATTCCTCAGCAAGACTTTCTTCGCTGAGTAGCCGATAAAAGACTCGTTCTGCCTCTCCCAAACTCAAACCCGAACTTCATTAAGCGTACCAAAGTCGGCGATATCCCCAACCTGCAAATCTAGCCCTAATTCCACATGTGAACTACTCGCATCCCTACAAACAACCTTCATCAAGACCTTCGATCATAGGCTTCACCATTAATTTATTTTGCTTTCGCATATATAAATGCCCAGGCTTTCCTTTTAAAAGTAAGTTCCCCCTCCTCTAACCGACAGGGTCTCCGCGTCGAGTTCAAAACTCCGCAAGCCACGACGAAAATCATTCGTAATTGTCGACCTCCGCCCGTACAGATCCATCCAGACCACATGGGTTCCCATGGCTCCGACATCTAGATCATATCAGAAACAACTGCATTCCGCATGACTTGGCGATGATGGAATCGTTACAGCATCTGTCAATCTCCCGCCCAGTTCCAGCCCTACTTGTACTTCCGATGTTCCCTCCTTAGCATTCATCCAAATCATACCCTCAACTATATATTCTAGAAAAGAAATCACGTACACCAACCAAACTAAACAGGTAAGGTTAACACAATAAAAAAAAATGACCACGCCCAAAGCCAAACCCATCCCCATCCGCCTCATAACCCACAACATCCGAACCATCCCCTGGTTCACCTTCCCCCCAGAGAAACCATGGCAGATCCGGCGAAACCACATCGTCAACCAACTTGACTTCAACACAACCCACAACCCGGAGGCCATCATCTGTCTCCAGGAAGTTATGCACAGCCAACTCACGGACATCCTGACCGGTCTCAACACCGCCCCGGACAGCGAGAGCATTGAAGACGAAGAGGTCTGGAAACACGTTGGGTGGGGCCGTGACGGCGGCCAGAAGGGCGAGTACTCGCCTATCATTTACCGGGCCAGGGTCTGGGAAGTGGAATGGTCCACCACGCGCTGGTTGTCCGAGACGCCGGATACGCCGTCCCGGGGGTGGGATGCGGCGTACAGGCGGATTGTGACGTATGCTGTGTTGCGGCATCGGGGAACGGGGAGGACGGTGTTGGCGATGAATACGCATCTGGATGATCGGGGGAAGGTGGCGCGGTTTGAGAGTGCGAAGTTGATTCTCGAGTGGATGGAGGAGGTCTTGAAGAAGAAGAAGGGATCGGATTCTGTGGATGGTGTGGTCTTATGTGGAGATTTCAATACGAATTCGAGGGAGAATAATGATGCGTTTGGGGTTTTAACTTCAGGTGCTATGGTCCATACGAGGGATTGTGTGGATGGGGAGAGACGCTATGGGAATGTGAATTCTTGGACGGGCTTCAATGATACTCCCATTGATGATGCGCTTCTAGACTACGTCCTGGTGGGACCTCTGAAAAACGGTCATGTCCCGTGGAATATCCGAACGTATGGCATCCTCACCAATCGGTTTGATGATGGGATTTTCAATTCGGATCATAGGGCGGTTGCAGCAGATGTGGAGTTGGTCGGTTCTCCCAAGCAGCTGTGATGAAGATATTGTAATGATCGGTGCATTGATTTACTTGACTTATCGCTTCGTTACTTTTTTTTCATATGGTTACTAATACTCGGCGAGGAACATCCGTTCTTGATAAAGTTTGCAATTTAGGGCTATTCACTGGACGTAATAAGGCCATGGTAGCAAACAGGATTGCATAGATATAAAAAACAAAAATAAAGACTGGTAGGGAGATAAAACGACGAAAACCCTTGTGGCGAAGTCATCCATCAAGATAATATAGCAAAAGCCCGGGTATGCTTTACTTTTGTAAAGTAAGTGAACAACGAACGACATCAAATGAAAGAAAAGGAAAAAACCACAGTGCGGATTCGTCATCAGTAAAAAGTCGTTCAACAGTCATGCAAATCGCAAGGAAATCCCCATCCCAGTCAAGCAATCAACCAGACGCCGCGCTCAAAGTAAAATCAATCCATCCCTAACATACGCCCAGTAAAGCAGTCAAACTCGATACCAAGTCCCATCCTCCAGATACCTTTTGAGGACCACCTGTTGACCGACCTTGTGCCCAACCCTCGCGTGATCATCGTGATTCCGCTGAAACGGCATACATACTCATACAGTACATGGTGCGCACAAAAATAATAGTACAGACGAAAGGATGCGAAGACAATGGCCCAATATCAATCATCAAAGATAGAAAGGAAAACAAAACATCAAGGAGCATCAACGGCCAAATTCGGTCCAGACGGTGCTGAGCCAACTGCCTGAGAGTCCGCTGTCCAATGGCATGATCCCCGGGATTTGATCGTACTCGCATCCCTCCAGGAAAGCCAGTACATCTTCGCCACCCAGGCTCGTAGACGACATGCTATTCGAGGGGAAGCTGTCCATCCCATCTATCGTCGCTGGAGGCGAGGCTGCCGGGTGCGCCGAACCAGGAGGCGGCAACAGCGGAAGACCATGCGACGGGGCGGCATTGATGGGGGGTAGTGATTGAGAGTATGGTGGTGGTGGCGGTTGCTGGCGGGGGCCCAGCCATGGGTTCAGGGGCTGAAGACGACCAGACTGGGACGCAACTGTGCTGTATTGCGCCGACGATGCGCCCGCTGTTGTGGCGGGCGGAGCCCCGTACGAACCGGCCGGTCCAATGGCCGGAAGGGTAGGGGATGAATTGTTATATAAGGGCCCCTCAGGGTGATGCTGCAGCGATGGGAGAGAGAACGGAGATTGGGATTGCAAAGACCGACTGGGAGGCAATGGGAGACTAGGACGTCGTTCGCCATCTGGTCCAGGGAGGGGCATACCGGGGCTGTTGATGGGTATCCAGGACTCACGGCGTCCGCCGGCGCCATCTAGCGGAACCTCCATAGGCTCACCTGGATCACTGCGAACAGCATTGCTGCCGGCATCGCTGATGTTGGTAACGCGATCACTGATTCCTGCCGCGCCATCCTCATCGCCGCCGATTTCTGGTAACTGGTCTTCGATAGAACCAAAGTCAAGGAACAACTTCTCGAGCATTCTGAATTCTTCAAGACCACCACCCACTCCACCCTCACGGACAGGTCGGACACCATTGGTTTGGATGTCCATAACCTCCGGGATCGAGTCTAATTTGCGAGAGTGCCGGCGGAAGTCCTGTTTGACCTTGGAGAAATAACTATGGAGTCGGTTGAGTGTACGGAACCACCCACGTGCCATCTTAAGGCGTGACCGCATCTCGCGGAGGATGTCAAGAGCTTTCCGAGTCTGGCCTTGGCCTTTTTGATTGCCATCACCCACCGAGTTAGATTTTGAACCAAGGATTCCCTCCTGATCCATGTGTGGAAAATGTGATGCGTAGATACCAATGAAAGCAGCATTGTAAACGGCGAAGCCGACCAGCGGGTTCTCGACGAGCACACCTCTGTCCTGACAGGTTACAACCAAGTCCATCATCTGCCGGGCAGCACTAAAGAGCTCGCGAGCACTTTCGCGCCAGAAACCATCGGGTACGCCTACTTTTTCGCCGGGAAATAGGGGCTCATCTAGAGGACCAACAGGCTCTGGACAGCGTACTGGAAGGAAAGGGATATAGGAGCGGTGTAGGACGAGGACTGAGAGAAAGTAGACCACATGCATCAGGGTATAGGGTGAAAGATTGGTCTTGTACATGATATGAGTATCCGTATTGCGCGTCGAGTACTGAAGGTTGCGGGACAGTCCATCCTGGAATTCACCCAAAATCGACCGAAGTTTAGAAAACTGCGACTCGGGATGCCATGGGGGTAATTGTTCATTTCTATGATTGCCGGTTAGCTTTATCTGATTGAGATACGAGGAAACAGTAGCGTACCTTCTTCCACCAGCGCAGGACCACTTTGCAATACTCCCCCAGATGCGAATGATGCGGATTACACGGCTCAACACGGCCTCCTCCGCGCCAATCTCCCAGCGATCGATCTCGTCCTCACTTGAGTCCTTTCTCCGAGAAATGGGGGACCAAGACTTTGGGTCAGGAGTGATATTATTCGGAAGCTTGTCGTCACCGAAGCCTCCTAGACTCTGACGAATGCTAGGTATCTGGACACCCTGAGCGCCAAAGCTCTGCGGGCGGCGAACCACGGGCTCACTCAGGCGCGAGGTGCGCACGCGCTCTCCAAAGGCGAATGCGTTATCACTGGGTAACTGAATGCCCAGTTCCTTAACCCGGATCATGCGTGGGCGATACTTGCCACTGCTCAGACACCTGTCAAGGATAAAGCATGCCCAAAAGGTGCGTCGCTTAGTTTCTTGCGCGATAACATCGTCGGAGGTTTGTTCCTTCGGCTCCATACCACGTCGGGAAATGCCGAAGAGATCTGTTTCTGCTCTAAACGCAGAAGGTGATCTGGGGCCATCTCGTGAGAAGACATCGTTCTCTAGTTCGTATGGAAGGCCCATAGCCTGGGACAATCGGATAGCCATGCCCACATATAACCACGCACTCTTACCACGACACATGCCCCATTCATGGAGCGCCAACATTAACAATGCTTGCACGCGGGTTAAGTCGGTTATGGCAAGGCTGGCACCGTCCACACCGGCCAGCCGGCTGCGCAGTGCTGTCGCATAGAATTCGGAGGCGAGAGCTGGATTGGAAGGGCTTCCTTGTGATGCGGGAGAGTGGTACGCAACAAGTTGGGGGTGGAAACGAGCGGTGAGGGCAAGCACTCCGAGGGGAATCAAGGGACTTGGATCTGATTTCGTCGCCGGTGGGCTCTGAGCGTTTTCTCGGGAATTTTCTTGATTGGTAGGGGCGGTAGATGATGAGGATGACTGAGGGCCGGATAGCTGTCGAATGTGACCCATGAAGGTAGCAGGATGTAGGAAAGGGAGAATGGTCGCAAAATGGGACTGGAATAAGTCGAACACCGCTTCCCAGACCTTAACCGTCAAGATGGACGAATCGAGCACATCGAGGGTTCCTTTGGCGGCATCCTTCGCTGCAGATGACGAGACCGCAACGGACTTGCGAGGCCGTTGCCTTTTCGGGCCATCCATGTCTCCATTGCGATCATCTCCATCTGCCAAGGCAGCGAGATCTCGCTTGGCAGCAGCTCCACCAACACCGATGGCTGGCGTAGGATATACGCATTCTCGGCCGGACGATTCGCAGGCGCGACAGGTGGTGTCGATGCCGGCATTGACACATTTAATCTTGCTGCGACGACAGCGGGCGCAGGCGATGCTGGACCGCATTATGAGAAAGAGTCAAGGCGCGCGAGACGGGGTTTCCGTCTCCCTCGTCGATCGGATAGAAAAGAAGGGGTACAGATCAAAGGGAGGAAATCCAAGAAGGGGGAGGGACAATGCAGCCCCAACGACTGCTGGCGACACGTGTGGTGATGCCTCCTCAGCGTTGTTTCCCGCGGTATTTCTCCGGTATTATTTCCCCGGGATTCCGAACCGGTGTCGTGATGCTTTAGGGAAAGGGGTGACAAGAAAGGACCGACCTCCCCCAGCTATGGTATTTGTGTTAGTACAACAGGCGTGGTCACGCAAAGTCCGAAAAGTTGACCGACCTTCAGTGCCGTAGCGTACTTTTTTTTTTTTTACTTTCCTTGTCTCTCGAGTATGTTCCCGTGCGCAGCACTGGACCCCTTACAGACAATTCGGTAAGTGGTGGTAACTGGCATCCAAGTGACAAACAGGCGGAAGAGTAATAAATGAGGCGGAAGAACAAGAAAGAGAGAAGAAATTAAAAAAAAAGGACTAGAGTAATGTGCGACGTGGGTAAAAGCACGCCCGCAAAGGTGTGTGGAGTTAGGTGACGGAGCAGGCAAAAAAGCACAGTAAATCCACCGCCAGAAAGTCTCACTCACTCACACACTGCGAGACGAGAGAAAAAAGCGGGAATAAGCGGAGTGTGGGGGAAACTCACAGCCCAGGGTCGGGGCACCGGTCCGGCAAGGCGAAATGGTTGAGGAAATGGGGAAAGTCTTAACACCCGTCCGTCGGGTACTAGGTAAGGTAGTGTGGGGGAGGAGCTAAGGGAAGAAAAAAGAGGAAAGAATAAAAAAAGAAAAAAGGGTAATCAAAGGGGGAGACGGAGGGAAGGCGAGGAATAAGAATGGTTCCTCTCGTTGTCTCTCTCACTCTCTTGTTCTCCTTCCGGCGGACGAGCATACTAACTAGGCATAAGACTAAAAGGAATCTCAGGCACATCCACTGGGGCAGGAATTGCGGAGGCCCGGCCAGCGTTAGTCCCCAGTGGGTCTAGTGTAGGTGAGCAGCAAGTCGATGCAAGGACGCGACCGAGCCGCCGGAGAGTGGGAGGTGGAGCCCCAGTTTCCGAGAGCCGATGAATGTGATCATAGATGCTGAGGAACAAGTGAGTGCGAGTGCATTTTATTTTGGAGGGATATAGTTTATAATTCAAATCGTAGTATCACATTGATGTGAAGTATCCAATCGTGAACAATTTCCATGTCCAACCGGACAAAACATGCCAACGCAGACAGAGAGTAGTAGGTCACCATACTCACAGCAGCGTGGGGAGGCAAAGGCAAAGAATGGCCGAGAGTCGGGTAAATTACCACAATTTTACTGGGGTTCCGTCCGGAGACGCTGCCGTCTGGCTGTCATGGCTCGTAATAATACGAAATCCTTCGGGAACTACCAGTTGGCGGCCAGTAGACCCGACCCGATCGATAGGAAACTCTTACAGTGACTACTGTCTGACATCCACCTTAAACGGTTACTTAAATCCACTAGGCATGGTGGTCGAATTAGAGGTATAATGCAATTAAAAAATCATGAATCATGCAAGAATCTATACTGATCCTGGACCTGGGCTTGTGTACGGGGTATGAAAAAAGAGAAAAAAAAAATTTGGGAGCGCTCCCTATCTAGATTCCAATCTCATTTCCCTACCGACCGACCGAAGAAGCCGGTTACCAGCAAGTGTGTGGAACGTCACTTGACACCGCAAATTATTTCAACACTCAAGCTATTACATAACCAATTTTCTCTTCCCCGGCTTATTGTCGTCCAAAAAGGCAAAACGGTTATCCAGTTCTTGGGGCAACGCACATCCACACTTTGCTAAAATAAATAAATATCAATCATAACATTTATCCAGATCTGTCATCACTCCTATTTTGTCAATTACAACCCCCCTTTGAGCTTCTTCCCCATAAATTATTCGCATCTATAATCCCGATCGGTTATTATCCGGGGTTGGGAAGAAGGCACAGTAAGAAACATCATGCCATCCACCTATGTCTGACCTGGAGCTCGAATACAAGCTCACGGTTGGACCCTATAAGTTCACACGGATCCCAAGCTTGACAGTACCCCAGCTGCATCCTTACTCCAAACTCTAATGTTAAGATCCAAAAGTTGCAAAATGAGGGGAAACGGCAAATGAATCACACTCTCCAACTAACGAACCTCGGGTATCGACATCATGTTGATGGGATTTTATTTTCGTCCGTCGGGTATGGACTCAGCTGTAACATCAGCCACGCAGGCTGACTTTTTTTTCATTTGCATTTTTATTTATTTTTTTTCCCCCAAAAAGGCTTTCCTGCACTGGGGCCTCCCCGCGGGGAGGGAAGCGAGATCCTAAATGGACTACTCATCCTTGTCTAGATACTGATTTGAGGACCATGAGCTACAGCAACGGAGATTGGCTGGCACTCACAGGGATGGAATCCCGATCGACACGGAAAACGCTGTCTGCACATGAGAGTTTGTCCATACAGAGAAGATCATGTTATATTATATCATGTGTTAGGTCATGTGTACGACCTGAATCTCAATTCTCATACGATATAACATCACCTGTACAACTCATAGCCCCCTAATTTCTTTTATTCCTGTATTGTTTTTTGTTCTTGTGTGGATTAATCCGTACGGAGTATGAGACCTTTGTTTGTCTACGGGAGTCGTACAGTATTGACCCCACGACTCTGGGAATGAATCGAATCGAACCCGACCCGACCAGCATCGGAATTCCCAGACCGGCAACTCCCCGCCCTTTGCGCAGTTCCATTTTAACCGGTCCCGTGTCGCTGCTCGGCCCCAGCCGCCACTCATGATTGGTCTCCAGTTACCACCCGAGGCTAGGACAGGCGAACCGATCCCCGCAAATGGGCTCTTCGTTGATTCTTCGTTCATAATTAGGTTATGATTCGTTTAAGTAATATTAGTTAGGCCGTGGGATAATCGGGGATCCCCGGAGGAAATCCGATGTCAATGAAGGTGGAAGGTGGTACGGGATGCCCTAAAAACACAAATAAAAAAATAGAACGGGAAAATTAAAATTAAAAACAAACCAAAAAAAAAGAGTAGCACCCTATTGAAGGAGTTTTATTTCCTTTCCTACCTGCTATATGAGGAAATACTACCCGCAGCCAAGTTCTCCCGTGTCAGGTGCTCTGCAGATTTTGAAGCCTTACTCAAACTGTACCGTAGCTGGGATGTAACTATGTACTGTGTAGGTACAAAGTACTTGTGTAAATCGACCCGGACCTATACCTAGTACATCGTCGGAAATTACTTCTTCTCTACGGTAGAGAGTGCGACGACACGGCGCCAGTCACAATAAGAAGATTGGATGACACGTTGTACCCTCCAATGGATCAGTTTTTCGTACTACAGTAGTATGTCGTAGATGCAGGGTACCACGCAACCTGGACATATACTACCTATAGAGGAAGTACAGGACACACGGGCTGAGTTTGTACCCCCAAAACCCTTGACTAACCTCTCACTTACCCTTCATTATTACTCCGAGACTAAGGTTTCCCGAAGAACAACCCCGTGATTCAACATGGATGGCAATGAAAATAATCGACCATAAAAGCAAGCGTAACGACCAGGATCCATCCTCCCACGCGAGATCCCCACTCCCTCACCCTTGGAACGGCATGGTCGGCCCCATCCTTTGAAGTACTCCGTCTGGACTCGGCCAGTGGCCGCACGGCTCAAGAATAGCCCCATATATGACCCGTTTTCATTTGTCGCGACTGGCCGCCACGCCTCGTGTATCCATCTGTCCTCGGCCTAGCCCAGTGCCGTCTGAATCGAATCAAAACGAAGATTTTCCGAAACGGAGGTCTATTACCTACATGGGATTAATCTAGGTTTTTAAACATCTGTATCGAACTCACTAAACGGAACTAAGAAATTTTCCGGAGTCTGGGGTCCTGTCAGTAGTGCCTTTGAACCAACCGAACCTCTTCTGGACGGAGTACGGCGTCTTATTTTATCCAGCATCTCGCTGCACTTTACCCCGAACCGTCATTGGATACGTACTACGCTTGGGGGAGGGTTTATTTCTCTCTCAGCTTTCAATTTCCCGGCGAACTGCCTAAATATCGGTGAGCGCTGTTTAACAATGTGTGCTTCCCATCGGATCGCATACGGAGTGTTCCGTGCTCTAGATAGCTAGGGCTTACTCCATTTCTACGGAGCACTCAACTCCATAGTGCTCTGTCCACGATCATATTTAAAAATATTTACCATGAGACCAATCGTTCCATGGCGCCGTAGTGCCACTCTGGGCGCTACATCAGTAACATCCACTATCATAAACGGCGGTGCTCGAGTCTTTCAACCACTCTCGATAAAAGAGAAAAGTACGCACGACGGAAAGGCACGCTTTGTGCCTTTCTTTGTGCGTCATACCATGTGCCTACTTCGTATGCTAGATCCGGCCGTTTAGCCTTTATTTTACAAACGCACAAAAGAAACAAAAAACCGTCAGACGGTATCCAACAGTCGGACCTTACCAGTTGCAGGACGTTGCGAGTCTTCACGGGCCCTTGACATTCGCCGACCCGGGACAGGAGCTCGCCGAATCTCAAGGTCGACGTGGACTCATGGTGGTCCTAACGGGGCCTGACGCTTCAGCCCCAAAGCTAATTCATTTCATCTATTGGCGCCACAGGTACAGACCCCATGGGATCCCTGGATGGCAGCCATTCACGTCAAGTTGGCCTTTGCCCAACCGAGCCCAGTGGCGTTATTTCGAGCAAGCGCTGGACATGCGCACAGATTCGGGCAAATACTCCCTCCCTTCCCCCAATGTCCAGGGTCTATCAATCACGTGGAAGTTTCATTTACCAAGGAATCCACTTGCTGGAGGCCAGATCGTCCATAGGAAGAGCCAGAATCTGTCATGATTCACGAGAAAGAAATGAAACCAAGTGTCAAGCACTCGATGTAACTCGTCCACGTAGTCCAGTCATCGACCTCTTCTTTCTCCTCCTCCTTCTCCTCCTATGCGGTAACGGCCTGAAGCTGCAAGGTTAGCTCGGCAAACGCTTCCAATGCGGTTTTTTGAAACCTTCTTCCGATTTCATCCTCGGCTTAATTCCCGAGATCCGGCATCCTTGCCCAACTATATTCTCTCTCGCGTACGTAGCACACCAAGACCACCTACCGGATGAGAAGAACGGACAAGAGGCCAGGTATATTAGGTTGCCATTGAAGTAATTCCATCCCCTGATACCGCGGCGCGCACAATACTAATGCGTCTCACTCAATCCTCTCCCCCCTACACCCCCTACTCATCGTTCCGAGACCATAACCTTAACACCCTCCCTCTTTAGACTCCTCCGTCCGTGCTTGGTACATACGAAATAGATGAGATCCCCTCCATCAAACAAAAGCCCCAATCACAAGCCGCCAATTACAACAATAGAAACATAGTCTGGCACCGATCTTCATTTTATCTGGGGGATTTTCCATTACATAAAAATAGACCTCCCGTCCGAGTCCAGAATATTTACCCGAGACCATCAAAATCCGGGGGACGAGCATCGCCCCCGGCGAATACCGATAGCAGCTGAACGGCGGAACGGAGCTCCGTAAGCGCTAAACCGCCCAATGCCCCAATGCATGAGGGAGGAATAGCAGGAGGCGACCGAGGAGAAGGGGATTTTTTCCGGCGTGGGTTGCCTTCTAGCTTCTGTAACTCTGCTCGGTAGCAGTTGGAGAAAACGCAAATTTAGTGTTTTGTGGGGTACATTTTAACACGTGCGCTTGGGTAGTGATGGGTTGGTAGGATGATAGGCGGTTCCTGCCGAGGTATTTGATAATGAATTGGCGCGTGTGGGTTTCCTTTTTTTTTTCTCTCTCTGTATACGAAGTACTACCTTACCATAGGTTTTTTTTGAGAGAGGTGAGACGAGATGTTCAGCAAGGTGCTGGGCTGGTGGAGGGTCTGTGGGTGTGTGGTATGATGGGTATTCTCGGATGTTACTCTCTAAGTTTGGAGTCTTATGAAAGGAGTGGGTTGTTGAAGTATCCACAATCGTATAGCATTCTGTAGTGATTAAAAAGCGTATGACAGAACCATAACCAACATCGGGTCAATTCAAAATAAGTGGTATCATCGTATATTGGACGGCGACATTAGATGTCTTCGGAAGTCTTCGTATCATGCTTGCATCTCTTCCTGGGTCTTGGGGGGATAGAACCTGCTCTCGTTAGCTTGCATCTTTCGGTTGTGAGGGTGGGTACCTACCATGCTGCCACGGCAATGATCAAGTACATCATCATTAGGAGGACGCCCTCGAGCCAATGGGATTTTCCGTCGGCAATGAGATAGTTCACCTGGCTCTGTTTAGTAAAGTTCTATTGATTAGGAAGGCTTTGGCATACCAAGAGAACGGCAACAAATAGTAGAATCACCTGGAACGCGTCCATGTACAAAGTCTGCTACAGTCAGTCACGGGCTATTATTACTAGAATGCGTCGAAGTAGCGTACCATGTCATCGTTGCCTAGCGCACGCAGTTAGCAACGGACAGCTTCATAAAACACAACTGAGATTCACTCACCCATGCCCCATCCAATCACAATGATCAGCGGAAGCACCAGCAATGCAATTTGCATGCTGGACCCTACGGCCACGCCAATTGCCAAGTCCATCTTGTCCTTGCATGCCACCGTCACGGCCGTGGCATGTTCGGCCGCGTTGCCCACAATCGGAAGGAGAATCAATCCAACAAAGGTCTTGGAGATACCACCACGGTCCGTAATCGCATTGATAGAATCAACCTACGCAATCAGCTTGGTGTGACTGATGGATTCCAGGAGTGTATCATACCATGTACTCAGCGCACAGCGCAACCAGGGCCGTCGAGATGGCCAAGGTTAGAACAGCCACCCAGATGCTTAGCTGAGGCTCTTCCTCCTCCTCGCCGGGGTCTTGCAGCTGCATTTGCTGTGCGTTCTGTCCCGCCAGGGTGGCGGTCATTTTGCCTATCTGTGCGATTCCCCGATGGGTGTCGCCCTCGCTCACTTTCACACGTCTCTTTTCAACTTTGGGACTCGGGCTGTTGTACATCTCCGTGTGTGACCCCAACTGGAAGAACAGATAACATCCGTACACAACCAGCATAATAATACTGGTTCCTACGATTTGTGAGAAAATGATCCATGAGCTGCCCACGAACGTAACTTACCTCGTGAGAGTTCTGCAACACCACTGTTGCCCGCTGGAACCGAGTTAGCATTAACATCCCGCAGGACTGCTTATTAACTTACCGTCTGACCAATTGTGGAAGGCAGTGGGAATAATCAAGCATCCCACTGCCAACGCAAGAAGACTGGCTGCTGTTTGGGCAACGACCGGGTTGAAATGCTGCTCCAGGCGGTTGACGCCTCCAAAAAAGAAACACATTCCCATAACGAGGAGCAGGTTCGACAGCATACTTCCGATAAGGGAAGTCTGTACAATCACGACTTCACCGTCGACCAGCGCAATAATAGCTACAATCAGTTCGACGGCATTGCTAATGTTTTATTAGCTGGTGTAATAAGTAGAAGTAGCAGAAATTCTGGGGATGACTTACCCAAAACTTGCGTTGAGTAGGCCACCGATTGTTTCGCCAGTGCTAGAGCCATCAGCTATCGTCTACTTCAAAAAATCCGTATGTCATACCGCATGGCAATCTCTTCTGTCGCATAACCCAACATAGCTGCAAGAGGGCTGTCGTGTGTCAGTTACGTAACGTGAGGTCCATTTCGAGACGGGGGGAACACACATAATGGCAATAAAGTTCACCACGAACACAGCAACTGGATCGACATCGACATAATTCAATGCGACTCGGCCATTGTCAGCGGTGGATCTTGGTTGGTGGAGATATGTATACTTACTTCCAGCTGGAGCAGCAAGCAGGAGGACGTTGACCCAGGAATTGAAGAGAGTCGCTTTCAACTGTCCTATGGCGGTAAACTTGGACTTCCCGTTGACACCTTTGGCCGAGTTCGAATCCATGTCCTCATCTAGAGATTTGTCTCCAAATCCACTCGCAAAAGTCCTCCTCTTTCGAGGTCCTCCCATCTGATCTTCGTCCAGTCCGGTTTGGGCTGAAATGTTAATGGGTTCATTGCTGCGCACTGACAGCTCACGTCCCGCTTTATCGGGAGTAACCTGATCGGTCCCAGACGACTCTGGTGGGAAACTATCCGAATGCTCTGGACCCACCAAGCCGTCTGTCATATCCTTCCGCCGGCGACGCTCCGAGTCGAGGCGTACATCCCCTGCAGTGCGGATGGGGGTAAGTTTGCTCTCAAGCTGGATAGAATCCGTTCGGCGTGGCCGTTGGCGTCGAAATTTCTTGAAGGGGTTGTGAGTTGACGGCTCTCCATCCTGGTCATACCATGCCAGGTTTCTGGCTTGACGTCGATATTTATCTGCAATCCCAAGCAATGTTAATCATGATCAGGAACCTGGAATGAGGGAGTGACAAGACATACGCATTGTTCGTATGAGTTTCTCGCCCGTTTATTATCGTGGCAAGACTAGTTGATACTTATATACTACATCAAGATTAGAATGGTAATTCGCGAGTATACTAAATATAGGCTGTCGAGCCACGAGCGAGCCCGGTGACGAGAGGCGCCATGTTGGGGCACAGTTGCACAACCGCCGCAGCCAGGGAACCATCAATGCTGAGCATTGATAGGCAGCAGTATGAGAAAACGTACTAACGTGATGTTTGCCTGAGCGACGATATCATACAGAGGGGCCTGTGGCTTGAGTGATGGGTCTGAAGAAGCTCAGCCTCAGTTATGGCCACCAAGAAATCCAAGACCAGGACAAGAAGTCTTAAGTACGACAAGCCTTCTCGGCAGAACAGCGATTGTGGTTTTGGTCTTGTGGATAAAAAAAAAAAAAAAAAAAAGAGCGAATCGACCGGTTCTAAAGGCAGGTGAGAAGCAATAAAAAAAATTAAAAAGAAATAAAGAGACTCAATTAAAATGACTGGACGATAATCAAGGGGGGTCCCTCTTTCAGAGCTCCTACAGTAGTGTCAAAGAATGTCAACGAAAGCAAAACAACCCAAAAAAAAGGGTTGAAAAAAAAAGTAAAGAAAAATTAAGACAGAGAAGCCAAGACGACAAGAAAAAAAAATAAGAAAAAGAAAATTAAAGGGAATTTTCCATATGGAGAGAAAAAAAACTATGATTGATGGCCGACGTATGTTGTCCCAGACAAGCAATAACTCATTTGTACACAGCCACAATGGGGGTGCGCATTTTCGGTAGTCATGGTAGATCCTCCTCAAACCTGGCGCGTGTCCTGCACTCTTTGGTGGGAATTCTAGGGCTCTCGTGCCAATGATTGGGTAGACGTGCTCTCTGAACAGCGGTCTGAGCATATCATTCGTTTTCCAACTTTAAAAGCCATCAATTGTTCTGGCAGCTGGTGTGATACCTCGCAAGGGATGATGCCAAGTGTGGTGGTTGCATCCATACCAATTCGAACTAGTATAAGACTTGGTTAGTGGCCGCGCGATCCAGAACCCAAATTACTTGAACCACAAAGTTTTTGTGTGTTGGAATCATCAATCTTGTAATCTGAGAACTCTATGATCTCAGGCCTCACCGAAGTGCATTTGTCGCAACCAAACAACTGCCAGTCTAAAAAGAGATGAAGGATTTCCATACCTGGAACAATACATTGGGGAAATTGGATCATGCTGGTGGGTACATAGAAGTTAGCTCATCCAGGATCAAACCTCTTAAAAACTTTCAACCCCTGACTCTGACCCATTTTGGTACACTTACTGGGCACGGAAGCTTATCCTTCCTGCTGCGACTGACAGAGTCCTTGCTCGGGATTGGCCAATGTGTGTGGCTGGTGACGTTCTTTGCTGCGCCACATGTCAGCCACAGTTGGGCGGTGATTGTTTGGCTGTTTATCGGGTCCCAACCATTGACGTGGGTATTTTCTTAGTCGCAGCGTTGATAGGATGTGGCTCTTGCTGTATCCGATGAAAAAATGATGAAACTTTCGCCTGCCCTTAAGGAAGCGAACTCTCCTCCTTGTACAAGGCGCTTGAGATCCATGTTGGTCATATAGAATATTTCAGATGCATAGTTTTATATGTTAAGCACTTGAACGAACATATTTGCAATCTCTTACTCTGGCTTCTTTCCACTACCATCCACTGGAGGTAACCGAGCTCTGGATAACTGCTATTAGCGACTTATATGCTTAGAAGGGATGGATTTATGATATACTCAACAGCTTCAATAGCTTTTCCGGGGTAGATCTGATCTCTTCCATCACCAACACAAATATGAAATGGCAAATATGCACTACATCATAATTGCCTTCCGCTTCATCCGGAACGTCAGTTTTGATATCCCAGTGGATGAGATCTATGTTGGGAGGGACGGCTTTGAATGGGATGTCGAAACGGTCCAGTTGCACCGATGGCGGAAGGCAGCGGCTAAAGGTCCGTGAGGACGACACTAAAGGAATACAGTCTTGAAGGTGGCAAAGTGAGTCAACACAAACCCCGTCAACATCCGCGATTTTGAGATTAGGGACCTGTAATGGGATCGACGGGTGTAGAAGGTACCCGTAAAGCTCAAGCCAGAAGTAATGAAGAAGATTAATCCTGTTTATTTCTGCAGTACTTAGTATAGTTCACGGAAGTTGTAGCGTCTCGTTCATCTACTGACTGGTTATTATTGATATAATCGTGGGCCATGATATATTCCGGTGCCGGTATAGTGATAAATACTGATAGACTGAAAAGTATAGCAGTCCTGTTTCTTTCGTTGACCTTCTCGAAGCAACCCCATTGCAATTATATATACTGATATATGAGCATTTGGACGCCACCGGAATAACATTCCTATATTCTTTCATAAGTTGAAGCCTGTATCAAGCCAATGTTAGTAGTAGCAGCTCCGAATATGCGCTATCGTGATCAAGGAACTTTTTTCTTCCATCACAACTTACGTTAAATCATACAACTATATAGTTCGTAGGCAATGTAGGTAGGTTAAATTCTCCTAGTCGACACTAGTTCAGCACCAAATGATCTTGTTTTTCGCCAAATCCTCGGGATGGGGCAAGTGACGTGGAGGCATTGCTCAAATCATATGCATATTTGGGACCCCGAGTATGAGTCAATTAGCTGCAACACCGTCTCGATGTACTGCGAATCATCTGGTATGTCCGTCCAGCAATTGGCAAGCTACGCTACCAACGATAAATTCTTCCCTGGTTCTCGTACATGAAACTGGGTTCTGGAGAGAGGATACACACTGATGTGATTGTCGGGGCAGATGGTATACCCGGCCGTGGTAGATTATTGTACGGCTTGGTATCAATGGGCCTAATGAAGGGTGCAGGTCTGTATTTAAATTTCCGCGAGGAAGTTCTAGGGTGCCGTCAGGATCCTGCAGAAGCGGGTGACATGGCCGACCGAGCTATCATTGCCTGAGAGCAAATAGAAGAAAATACTGGGCAGGTCAATCTTGCCTGATTCTTATCTTCGGACTTGGACAGGGTTTCAGCAGCATGCAGTTGAATATCCGGTTAGAAGTAAGCAAACCTATAATTTGGTTCTACTCCATGTACTACTACGATCTCTCTTCAGGCGACAAAACCAATCGCCGACTCTTTCGTTGCCCTTATACATTACCTGCCGGTATATCCAGTAGCGAAGGAAATAGCCAGGAGATACAAAACGTATTCAAGGGGTAGGATTCATAGTAAGAGTTCCGAGCTAACCACCCCGTATTCTCATAATATTCCGGGATCTTGAGCTAAACAAGCGGCCAACTCAGAGTTAGACAGCGTCCTCAAATGGAGGTTCCGCCCCTTACAAGGGCCAGACAGTTGGTGCAAGGTACGCGAGAATTAAAACGATTACTTGCGAGTCCGTAAGGTGAACTAAGCAAAATCACAGGAATCAATCACCCTCCTTGGAGATGCATGCCACCTGCCTCTCCCCTATCAGGCCCAAGGCGCAGCAAGATTCTAGATCTCCTTGGTCTTTACGAGCTCTTGCACAAGAAAGGACCCACTATTGATATTCAGGATGCGATGGGGAATCGCGTGCTTATTAACATGGCAGATGGCCCTGAGGCTGGTGCCCGGAATTCATGAAGCATTTGCAAGGCATGATTGGGATGACGACGATATTGAATTTCCTTATAATTTTGGTAATATATGTATCAGATGCAACTTATGGCACCTGACACGACGATGAAGATGCGGCGTTTTGAAGAATGGCCGGACTGAGAGAGACCATTCCGCAACTCCATCCACGAAAATATACGAATCATCACGAAGGTGAGAAATTCAATGGCTTGATAGGAGCTATGCTCATGGAATGGAAAATATAAGAATAAAAGAGATCCAGTAAGAAATAGGAATATAGAAAACGGCATGTTAAACAAACAGCAAAAGATATAAAACGTAGCTTACGTTCGCGATATACTGTTTTTTACTCCGTACATTTTTACAATATTATACATTTTCTACATATTAATCATATGATTGTAATCTAACCCTTCAGGCACTTCCAATATCTGTTGGTAATGTGTATATCTCATGTGCATGGTTGTCCTGCATATGCTGTACTCCGTGGCAGGGTATACGAAAGCAGAAGAATTGGTAGGGCTGTCGTTTGCCGCCCACATATTTGTGATGATATTTTGAAAACCATGCCTTGTTCCATGCAGGGAGGAGATTAGTAATGTTTTAGACAACGGTTTTGCATCTGAATGACGGCAGAATAGAGGAGAAGATATCAGGATGTCAAAGAGAAGGTTCCACCTCCTTGCTGAGAGGATTCAGGTATGATTCTTGACGTCACTCCAGTACTGGGTGGATTCTGTCCTTCAGGAATCACGTTACACAACGTAAATCGTGCATGCACAACAAGTTATGGAGGATTATATCCTTCTATACCCTTCTTTTAAAATGTTAATTGTTTTATTTCTCTCCCCCCTTTCGTTCAGGCTACTGATTTTCCATGTACATAGCTGTACCTGTATATTCATGGGGCCAGATTCGGACGGATATTGAGGTTCCTTGAAAACAAATGCGGACACATAATCTTTCAGACTAATTACATTCAAAGGACAAGCCCTCATTCACATCAGACAAAGCAATTATAAAATCTTTACTCCGTCTTAAGGATGCAATGCCTTATTTGGCACTGTTAGTCTTTCTTATCTAATTTTTACTCCGTAAGGGCAGTGAAAAATTTTCCCGCCACCAGTGTTTCACTCAGCTTCAATGGGTGGACCCCATTCAGGGTCATGACCCTCGACATTGGAGAGTGAGACCCTGCCATGGACCCCTCAGGTGTCCAATGGTGTGTTCCTGGTAATCACAATGTATTGTTGGTGTTATCCGTGTTACCAACCTAATTAGGTATTGTACGGAGTAGCGAACCTTCCTTTACCCCCTGCGACCGGAGAGTCAGATAGGTTACCTCTTCGAAAGGGAATCAATGCATTGACATGATATAGTATTTGACTACTGCATCGGTGTCTTGTGTTACACCAAGCAATCATCGTCTGGCTTGAACTTGTATCCTCAGGAGACTGGAAAAAGAGGCCAAGGGGCCTCGGCCCCACCGGTCAAGAATCACAAGCAATTATTGGCAGGGAACAAGACACAGAGCCAAGGTCGGGACCGAATGTAATACAACGTAAGATTGGTGATACAGGGCCCCGGGGACCACCGTGACCAATTAAGGATCAGTCTCCAGCGGCTAGTTTCAGGGCCCACTTGCACTAGTAGTTGGGTTTATCCTGGAGTTATTGCAAAGGGTCTAGTCATTGGGCAAAGTAAAAATATGTACCGAATCCCAGTGCCCCGAGTCCTCCGTTGGCGTTTATTCTTAGGAATTAGAGGCATATGCATGAGCGCAGTGGATGAATTACTACTATGTACTATGTACAGATTTGCTCCCTTTGATCCACTGGCATTCGTGCTTTGGGCATAGGAGTATGAAGAAGATGTAGTGGGATGATGACATGGCAGGGACACCAGTTGTTAGCGGTGGGTTTTTGCCCAATATTTTGATGCTGATCATTATAATTACGTCGTTGCCTGTTTATTACCACAAACAATGAACCAAACAGGCCAAACAGGGCGATTGATTCTATTCTAAGTAAGACAGGCCAGGCAGACTAACCTCAGGCTCCTCTCGGCTCCTCCCCCCCCTTTCCCACTCTCCTGTCCATTCTTCCTTTCTCGCCTCCTCGCCTCCTGCTATTTCTTGTTTCTTTATTCTTCCCTATCACTTCCTTCCCTCGTTACATACCACTTTTGATTCTTTTTTTTAATTTCCCGCAATTCCATTCCACGGCTCCGTGTGTCAGCCGTCAGTCACTCGTTGTAGTATATATACTCTTCTAAACTTTCTCAATCCACTCCCCGATTCTTTTTCCATTAATTCGACCTGATATCACTGGGTCCGCAGATCAAGTTGATCGATCCCTCGTTGTCTTCCGCTGCAGATCATTAACTGTCGTCGTTGCGGCTGGTATACGTTTTTGAACGACTGTCAATAGAATCTCGTCATGAAGGCCGCATTCGCTCTTGCCGGGGCTTCGCTCGTGGGCAGCGTCCTGGCGACCTTGCCTGCCATTGAGACGAAGGTACTTATCAAGTGTTGCGGTCATCACGGTCGCATTCATCGCTGACTTGGGAAATTCTGCTGCAGGGTAACAAATTCTTCTATTCCAACAATGGCACTGAATTGTAAGTGGAAACACCAGTGCGCTCAAAGAATCCATGAGGTAGCGAAACTAACATGATATTAGCTTCATTCGTGGTGTTGCCTATCAGCGTATGTTCCATATCGGAAAATCCTGGGTCAAGTTAATCGGGCGGGAAACTAATGTCGATTCATAGAGGAATATTCTTCCAATGGCACCAGCAGCTCCAGCACAGGCTTCGGCAACGAATCCAACGGCGACTACACCGACCCTCTGTCCGACCCCAAGAAGTGCGAGCGTGATATCCCTTACCTGAAGGAACTGCGGACCAACGTCATCCGTACCTATGCCGTTGACCCCAAGGCCGACCACACGGAGTGCATGAAGATGCTTGACGACGCTGGTATCTACCTTATCACCGATCTGTCCTCCCCCTCGGAGTCGATCATCCGTAATGACCCCAAGTGGGACGTGGACTTGTACGCTCGCTACACTAGCGTTGTCGATGCCTTCGCCAACTACACCAATGTTATTGGTTTCTTTGCCGGTAACGAGGTCGCTAACGACAAAAACAACACCGACTCTATCGCGTTCGTCAAGGCCGCCGTGCGTGACATGAAGAAGTATATCAAGGCCAAGAAGTACCGTGAATCCCTCCTCATCGGTTACGCCACCGATGATGACGCTAGCATCCGTGATGACCTGAAGAACTACCTTGTCTGCGGTGATAGCGATGCCATGATCGACATGTTTGGCTACAACATCTACGAATGGTGCGGTGATTCTTCTTTCGAGAAGTCTGGTTACAAGGAGCGCACTGAGGAATTCAAGGATTTCCCTGTCCCTGCATTCTTCTCCGAGTATGGATGCAACAACCCTAAGCCTCGCAAGTTCACCGACACCCCTGTCCTGTACGGCCCCAAGATGAACGACGTCTGGAGCGGTGGTATCGTCTACATGTACTTCCAGGAAGCCAACGACTATGGATTGGTGAAGGTCGATGGTGACAAAGTCGAGACTCGCGATGACTTCTCTAACCTCTCTGAGCAAATCCAGAAGGCCACTGCCACTGGCGTCAACAGCGCCAGCTACACTGCCCCGGCTGCTGCTACCGCATCCTGCCCCGCGGTTGGCAAGGACTGGGAAGCTACCAGTGAGCTCCCTCCTTCTCCTAACCCGGATCTGTGCTCCTGCATGGTTGAGTCTTTGTCTTGCGTCGTTAAGGATTCCGTCAAGGAAGACGACTACGAGGACCTGTTCAACTACATCTGCGCCAAGGATGGAATGTGCGGTGGAATCCAGAAGGACGGCGCCAAGGGCAAGTACGGAGCGTACAGTGTGTGCTCTCCCAAGCAGCAGCTCTCGTTTGTCATGAACCAGTGGTACGAGAAGAGCTCCAACAAAGACCAAGCATGTGACTTCAATGGTTCAGGCCGTGTCCAGAGCGCCTCCAAGAGCGATGGCCAGTGCTCCGACCTGCTGAAGCAGGCCGGTACCGCTGGTACTGGCAGTGTCACCGCTTCTCCTACTGCCGGAAGTGCTACCGCTGGCAGCACTTCTTCTTCCACCTCCACTTCTGACAGCGCTGCTGGTGCCGTGAGCCCAATGGCCGTCAAGGTTGGTGGCTGGCAGTTCGGGGCTTACATCATGACTGCCTTTGTTGCCGGTGCTGGAATGCTCCTGCTGTAAAGTAGTAAGATGTATGGGGCCCAAGAATGCTAGGAGACCGGTGAAATGTGACCGGGGGTGTTTTTTGTTGGTTGGAGTGTATTCATCCATGTGATTTTTGCAATCTTAAGACGTACATACTTTAGCCGATAGCTCAATCGTTCATTCTTTGGAATATACCTTATTATGTCCATCGCCTGTCTAATCGGTGTAACTGTATAGCCTGTACTCCTTCATACATAGGCATTGAAGTGCCAGTTGTAGATGGTTATGTCGAGCTACGTCTGAGGCCGGCTACCTCTACCGACTCGGTGCTGTACTCCGAACTTCGACAACAGCGGTGTCCCTCATCTCGGCCACACAAACGGCATGCCGACACATTGCGGAAAATAATCCGGATCTGCATATATTTATAGCTGTTAGCTGTCCAGTAATTCTGTTCTGTAGTTATTCGGACATCATTATCCATTCTTAGTTGTTCCGATTTTGTCCTAAATTTGGATCGTTCAGAGAATTTGCGTATTTAGATCAACGGTTAAGATCGAACCCTAATTCTATGGCCGGCCATGGGTGAACCCGACCTTGAATCTCAAATCCCCAAAAGTATAGACGGGGCCACGGCAGGAAAGGAAGAGAAAACTACCAAAGTGGAAAGGGGCTACGGTCTTCCCATGTGGCGAAAATGTATCATACTCTTCGTCGTTAGTTGGATGACTCTTGCAGTTACCTTCTCGAGCACATCCCTTCTTCCTGCGACCCCCGAGATCGCCGAGGAGTTCAACACCACAACCGAGACCCTCAACATCACTAATGCCGGCGTTTTGCTGGCCATGGGCTTCTCGTCGCTTATCTGGGGTCCCTTGAATAATTTGATTGGCCGAAGGCTCTCGTATAATATCGCGATCTTCATGCTCTGTGTATGTTCGGCGGCGACGGGGGCTGCTGTAGACATGAAGATGTTTACAGCGTTTCGAGTGTTGAGCGGTTTGACAGGAACCTCATTCATGGTTTCGGGACAGACCATCCTGGCGGACATTTTCGAACCGGTATTTTCTCGCTACCTTTCTTTATGCCCTTCATAATCAATTAAGTACTAATAATGGCTGTCAGGTTGTCCGTGGTACAGCCGTGGGATTCTTTATGGCTGGATCTGTCTCCGGTCCTGCAATTGGTCCGTGTATCGGAGGCCTCATCGTCACTTTCTCCAGCTGGCGCAATATCTACTGGCTCCAAGTCGGCATGACGGGATTCGGCCTGGTTCTAGCCATCATCTTCGTTCCCGAAATCAAACAAGAATCCAAAGAGGACCCCGAAGAAAAAGAGAAGAAGACTGTACTCTCCGCCCTACGCCTCTTCAACCCTCTCCGAATTGTCAGACAATGGGTCTATCCCAACGTCTTCTTCTCCGTAAGCTACCAATCCAACACTAAACCAGGCCTCATCAACTACTAACAATTACCTCCATCCAAACAAAAGGACCTCACCTGTGGCCTCCTTGCCACATTCCAATACTCCCTCCTCACATCTGCCCGCTCAATCTTCAACCCCCGCTTCCACCTCACAACAGCCCTCATCTCCGGCCTCTTCTACCTCGCCCCAGGAGCAGGCTTCCTGATCGGCAGCATCATCGGCGGCAAACTCTCCGACCGTACCGTCCGCAAGTACATCGCCCTTCGCGGCTTTCGATTACCCCAAGACCGCCTCAACTCCGGCCTCGTCTCCCTGTTTGCCGTACTACCCGTTTCGGCGCTGATCTACGGCTGGACCCTCCAGGAGGAGAAGGGCGGCATGGTCGTGCCTATTTTGGCAGCGTTTTTTGCGGGCTGGGGACTTATGGGCAGTTTTAATACATTGAATACTTATGTTGCTGGTGAGTTTTGCTTTCCTTCCTTCCTTACTTTCAATATGTCTTTTCTTTTGTGTACAAAGGGTGTTGTGTGCCTGCTAATGCGTGATATAGAGGCTCTGCCACATAAGCGCTCCGAAGTCATTGCTGGAAAGTATATCATCCAGTATATCTTTTCGGCGGGGAGTAGTGCACTTGTGGTTCCTATTATTAATGCAATTGGCGTTGGGTGGACTTTTACTATTTGTATGTTTTACCCTTTTTTTTCCCCCTCCTCTTTCTTCTTCTTCTTTTGTTTTTGGTTTCGTGTGGTTAAAAGTGTGACTGACTAACTAACTAATTGTGCAGGTGTGATCTTTTCCATCATAGGTGGTCTGTTAACAATGGCTACCTCGCGATGGGGCCTTGATATGCAACATTGGGCGGAGAGGAAGTTCCGCATTCATGATAAACCTGGGTTTTGATTCGGTTGATCTTATGATTATGGTTATGGATTTGAATATGGTTACGATAAAGCATTTTGCTTTTTTTTTAGACACTAGCGATGAGATAGATCTAAAAGTATAGAGATAAAACTTAATAGACTGACAAATTTCTTGTTTCTTTTACAACCCATGGCACGTGTACAGATTCTCATCGTTCATGAATGTATCGACTGGATGTAACAATCCCAGGTCGAAGTCCGATTGAGCCAGGAAGTCCTGCATAGTTGGTTCGAGGAACGCCATTGCAGTTGTGATTCCGCCTGCTGTTGTTGGGAAAGTTAGGTTGCCTGGGGGTATAGTGGTGTTACTACTTTGAGCATGACTATACCCCGGGTTATTGCTGATCAGATCGGCCTCTGCTGTTGTGAGTAGGGAGGGAACAGGGCCGGTCGTAGCTGGGGGTGCTGCTGGCGTTGTTTGGGGTAAAGTAGATGGAGGTATCGTCGAGCCCGAACCTGATGCGGTGGTGTTTGGTTGGCCGGCGGCAGGGTTTGATTTGGGTTTTTTTGATTTACGTAGGTCGAGACACTGCTTCACTTGTTCAAGGTTGTGGTAGAACTCTGATGCCGCTAGGTTGCCGTTCTCGCTCATGGATCGGAGCACTTCTAGACCGGATTCGAATGCCCCCAGGTCGGATGGACTGCCGATTGGGAGGAAGCTGGACATCGCGAGTACGAGCGCCGAGGAGAAGAGATAGTGTGCGTGAAAATAGCCGAAGACCGGGAGGGAGCCGTTGATCCATTTTGTCAGGATGAGGGAGTGCGAGTGGCGGGCGGCGTGGATACAGGCTTCGCCGAGCGTCAGGACAGGTTGAGAGATACTTTCGTGGTTGGTTTCGTTGAGTTTCATGAGAAGGTGGAGGAGCGTTGGTCGGGTGGTCAATATGACGCACTGTTTCTTGCTGGTTAGAAGAGGCTGATGCGAACATCCAGAACGAGTAAGGACATACCTGATTGAAAGAAAGATGTAAAGAGCTGATATGTTTCACGTAGGTTCCCGGATCGTCGTCGTTAAGTCGAAGATGTTCCGGTAGCGTTTCCACCCAGTTTTTCAACGCCTTCAGTAGTTTCTGCACCCTTTGTAGAAATGTCTCGCTATACTTTCGTCGACTGTATAACTTTGCAATGGTTTCGCCCACGATTCGGGCCAGGTTAACATTAGCTGTCAGATATTCCGTATCTGTGAATTGCTCCTCGTGCAGCTGTACCGGACTGACGTTGGATGGCATGTCCAAGTGGATGTCATCGTCGGGGATCTGCGAAGGATGCCCCATTTTAGATCCCCACATGCGATCAAAGATGTATATCGTCCACCATATCCGGATACGGTGTTGACGCTCCACGGGGTCGATTAGCTGCGATTCAGGAATATTGTGGTTCAACCCAATCGACAGCCCCAGCCGCAAGGCGGTTCCGATCAACACCAAGGCCGAATGACGTCGGTTAAGGTAGTAAGAGAACAGGGACTGATTTCTTAGCCGAGTTCGCACTTGCAGGAAAAGGGTGCTTACCAGTAGCAAGAGAGTCTCTAGGTGCGTGATGCTTGTTCTTTCAGGTAAAACTTGCCCCAAGCTCAAGGCGCGCGCAAAATATGAAGTCCCTGGCACTCTAGACCCAGATGAGGGTTCAGCTCTCATCGAGTAAGCTTCTCCGAACGCGAAAAGAGCAAAGAACTTGCATTGATTGACAGTGCAATCAAAGTCACCTGTTCGATATATCTCCTCGAGCTTCTCCAACGTTGACTTGCGAAGAACTAGATGATATATCGAGCCAACCTGACGTAATGCTATCTTTACCAGCAACCGAGCCTGCTGAAAACTGGGCCATTGAACAGTGGTAGCATTGGCCTCCGCGATCTGCTCTTCCTTGACATACTGTGTCCGAGGGATATGAGGTAAGGCATTGTTTCCCGTCAGAAACCGGCGAAAGCGAGTAGCAAACGCTGTACAGGCCGCCTCCCCTACGAAAAGTGGAGGCGCAGATGGATCATAGCGATGAAACCATGCACGGTCGCCGATCAAGGGATTGCGCACACTGGTATTGCTCTCATCCGGCGCGTCTGCTGGTGGCACCGGCTCTGGCTCGGCATCATAGTCTGCTTCGGTCGCGTTGGCCGAGGAAGCCGACTGTTCTTTCAAGCGTTGATTTTCCGCTTGAAGAAAATTCAAATAGCTTGGCATGTAAGCTCTAATGCCCAATGATGTCGTGTCATCTCCAAGGTGCCAGCTGGTGAGTCATACCTCTCGCTCACTTTGACCTGTCGATCCCTTGGTGTGTACTGGCATTTGTCCGCACACCCAACCTGCCGACATTTGGAGCACGGCTGGTCTCCAGAGCACTTGATTTTATGGTCATGACAGCGTTGACAACTGCAGTTGAATTAAGGTAAGATTAGTTTCGATCGCCAGTTGAACCAAAATTCAGGGTAGCGGGTCACGTACGCAACAATCTTCCTTCGTTTGGACGGGCTACTACTGGCCGGATCGGTGGATCTGCTCTGTCTTCTGCGGTTCATCGCATGGAATTAGCTGTAATGAATTGAAGGATAAGCACTGACCCTAACCTATCTATCCACTTGAGCTGTTGGCAAAAGACGTTGGTCGGAGTTTACTATTTTCGGGTGCATCGACCGTCGGTTGTCGGCATTCTTTTCCTTTCGCCGAACGTAGTCTCGGTCCACTCCGGAGCCTTCAAACCCTACCCTGCCAATTATTACGCTCAATTAATGTCTGTTGTATGCACATTAATTTACACATATACTGTCGCCGGAAATCATTTACAATTCAATCAAATCAGTGCTTCAACCCCGGTTTCTCAATCCCAAATTCAAACAGTTAAATGATCACACAAACTGCTGCCCGCTAGAAGGAATTCCAGGCGCCCACGGCGCCCATATCGAGCCCTTCAATGAACAAGTCAGTCCACGGTAAATCTACCCTAACATCAGGTAAATGCGAAGACATGCCCACAGGGTCTCTGAATATCGCATCTTGATCCCGCGCGGAACATATGTTCGTCTGCAACCCAAACCACGATTGGAACTCATCGTCCACGGTAGAGATTGGTTGCTCAGTGTCGTCGAATAGAGTTAATATTGCGGTCCCCAGTCGCTCGATGATGGAAGAACACTTCTCTCCTACTGCACGGCCGTTTGAGATGCCGCGAAAGAGGGTCAGAAAGGTGGAGATGTTCGTACTGATCACAGGTTTCGTCAGATCCTGCCGAAGAGCCGGTGATGCTCGAAGGGCATAGAGCATGGTCAACGCAGCCAAGAAAAGAGAGTGAATCGCCACAAACGTGTACTTTATCTTGTTCCGCGCATAAAGTGAGCTATAGGAGCTGATGAGGCCAATGGCTGCTTCGGTGCAGATGCGGAGGTCATCCGCTGAGAGAATTGGCGCGGTGCGAGATGGACGATATAAGGACATGATTGCATGATTGAAAGCAATATAGAACCATTCAAGAGATTGGAAAGTGGAGTGGGTATGAGGGTATCTTGGGGCAGTGACGAGCCACATGTTCAATTCAGAATAATAATATGATCGCAGGGCGTCTACCCCATCGCGCGCCGATGAGCTACGTACGGCGGGATGAAAGGCCTTATAGATCTCGGCATTCATTCTGCGTAGTTTTATGATGTGAATAAATGTTGAGGTGTCTGTAACCTTGGGAATTGTCACGGATTCTGGATTGGGAGGCTCAACTGCATCACGTAACTGATCATCGGATAACTGGAGCGGCAAAGGGGTAGATATATCTGTGTCTTGAATGCCCAGCGGTCGCCCCATATTGACCGCAATGCTGCAATCCATGACATACGCGCACCAAAACACTCGCTTGGACATCTCCGTGCGGAACAATTCTAGACCCACAAGACTCTCGCGGCGATGCAAATCGATCCCAGTTGCCAAACGGAGGGCAAGTCCGGATGTGTACCATAAATTCACTGCCTGTGGTTCATTGTGGCCATACATGCAAAGAAGCAACAGGCATTGCGCGCATTCAAAATCATCGATGCGCATAACGTAATGTAACTCCTGCACAGCCCGACCAAAGAATTCCCGATGGATCAATCGGTTTTCTTGCTCGACCCAAGACTTCTCCGTCGCCGCAATCGCCAAGACCATATATACAAAGAAATTCGATATTGGATCGACCCCAATATTAGTCATGAAAGGGGCAAGATATTTGGTTTCAAATGTTGGCCGATGGAGTACTGGGAGGTAAGGCCAGCGGCGCTCAAAGAAGATATTCACAAGCTCTACATAGGCGACATCATTGAGAAGACTCGAAGGAACACGCGATTCTCCTGGCACTGAATCATCCCCCCAAAGGTTCCAGGCGCAACTCAATGTGCTCATATTCATGCCTTTAATATTAATACTCTTGGAGAAGGTTGGTCGGAGAATGCGGCCAGAGTAAGAACAATTGGCGTTACGCTGTAGGTCTAGACCCTGAGGCACAACAGGTTCAGAGGTCTCTATGGTATCGTGGTAATCTGATGAAGAATTGGCCAACGTGAGGCCATCCAAGGCTTGAGGGTTGGCACCATCATGCAGATGGTCCTTATCCTTCTGTGCTAGCAGCTCCTCGTGCTGTTGAGCTAGAGCTCCATAGCGACGCTCCAAGGATGCTAACTGTTCACGAAGTGACTGACATCTACGGTCGGCATCGCTTTGTCGGATCAATAGTCTTTCTGAAGGTACGCAAGTCGCACCGGCCTCCGCGCACGGCCCGCATGTTGGAGTTTTACCATCACACTGGGGGTACGGTCATCAGCCAAACTTGAGAGATGCGGTCCAGCAAGGCGAAAGAAAGGCTTACTTTTTGTTTTCGCCGTCGACAGCGCTCACAGGCGGCAGCGCTCCGAGTGAGTCCACGACGATGTCGCCGAGGATTTGGGCTGGAAAATGGAGTTTCCATAGATCGTCGAGAGTTCATCTTTCTCTCCTGAGAGCTATCACTTTATTGGGCATATTTTCGGTGCTCAGCGCTTTCTCCACATTCTGTGCTTGAGAGAAAATGCAATGGAGCTAATCGACCGTTTACATTTGGATCCATGGCACGTGATCATGATGGGCCAATCACGTTTTGAACATTTTACTATCACCCACATAAGAATATGAGAATACTTAATCATTGGACAACACTCATGCTGCAGGTGCCAATACATATGCAACTGGACTCTTAGGATGTAAATCAAGGATGTTTTCGCTTGTCTATATGTTGTCTAAATATCCAGTAGACTCATGCATTTCAGTATGTTTACAACGACTCATCCTTCCAAAATATGCGTCCTTCAAAGAGGCGACGGGCTGTCCGGAAAACGGTAGCAGCCGAAAGTGCTCCATTATGATCAAAATCTGCTCCAACCAGTATATTGCCACTGGCATGTCCGATGCTGATACCCGCCTTATCCACGGGTTGTTTGCTAGCCACATCTGCCACGGTACTCCCCTGGACTCGAGCGGCAGACGCCAGAGCCAGAGCCACTGTGATAGGGACCGCCTTATGAGGTTGCCCGACGGAGATTGACCGGGCGAGAACATCCACGTCACTAGCAGTCTGTTTCTGTTGGATCGCTCGCCCATTTTCGGGCGGGGTTGACACTAGACAGATTTTGGTACGCTCCCAGGAACAGTCTCTGGTGTTGATGCTAGGCCCACCTTCACTCCTGCTTGACGACGGATTGAATCCAGACGTACTAGTAAGTCTGGATGCGCTTCTATTTCGTCAGGGGTCAGAGTACCATCCACGCCGAGGTCACTGGCCCGGGCAAAGGTACAAGGGTTGGCAACATCAATGCATGTTGCTGCTACCCCATCGAATGTACCAACTACATTCCCCGTTGGAAGTAGTTTCCCGGTTCGAGACCCAGCTGGGCTCAAGAAATCGAGTTTAATGCGTGCTGCTGTGCTTGCAACGCCATCGATGGAGAACGTAACGGTGAGGAGTATCAGAGCTGAGACCGAGATTGGTATTGCGGTTTGTCGTACTGTAAGCACTGTAGCACATACGTACTGAACACTATCATATTGTCTGGTAGTCCTTTAGAGTACATTGAGACAAACCTGTCAAGTATGGAACTTGGGACCTATCTGGCCCCTTTGTCCTCTTGCAATATTGTTGATCGTTATTCTTTGACCAGGGATAACATGTTATTAATATTATCCGTTTGGAAAACGCTTGAGGCGGCTTCACCATCAACAACTGGAAAAGTCGCACGAATGACTTTGCCCGTGTTAGTGTTATGGATCCGTACTGATGCATCAGACGCGTCGGAAGACACCTGAACAAGCTTAGAATCAACGGCAAAGGGACCAGCTGCACTGATCATGTTCCCACAATTGCTTGAGTAATCAACATCTGGTTCCTTGACTCCCAGGGAAACGAAAGTGTAGTCGACGTCAGCTTCTGGATGTTGTGACTTGCCGACGATGCAAATTTTGGAGAGACTAGAGATACCTCCACCAAGCCCATCAAGCTGGCGACCGTAAGGGTCGGGACCGCCAATCACATCCAGAAAAATAGGATCCCAAGACTTTACATCACGAGGTAGATCTTCCTGTCGGAAGAAGACCGCCCTCGAGGTGCCTCCTCGATAGTAAGCTGCAGGAAGAGCGCGCTGTTTCTTCATTCGTAATTGCTCAGTTTGTTGCTGGCATAGATTATGAGAATGAGAAATCCATCGTCTGGCAGAAAACCCTGAGATAGACAGATGCCCTGAGAGACGCTTTGGAAAGGGTGTTGCGCGTGATAGCATCCCGGTCAGGATAGTGTCAAGGTGCGGAAAGAAGAAATGACAAATACAATCTAACAAGGCATGGAGTATTCAATGAGACTCTCTTCAATGCCTTTGTCGGTCAGAATTGAAGTTTCATATAAGATGACCTTTGGTCGGCCGTGGATGTCGGTCGAGCTTCGGATAGATCCGATACAGAGTCAGATGATCTCAACCCTATATGGAAGTTGAACCATTTTTTGCCCTATAGAGTAGATCCCATTGAGACGGACCATCTGCAAGATAGATTATGATTACAGGGGATATATCAAGGCTATTATTGGACATGATAGGAGCCAAGCATTGCTACCAACATTGGGGCCATGCCAGTATTCCCCTCGCATTTCAATGTCTCTGCGTAGTTACTCAGTCCAAGCTTTGCTTGATTATATACGGCCAATACCAGATTCATCTACAGCTAACCTTTCTCTTCGGATGGTTCCGTTTCCCCAAGTTGCAGCAGAATCTGGGGAATTTGACATCTAGGGCTATACTACGTTGCGGGGTCTCGGCACTTCATATCAGTAACATAAAGGTGCAATCACTCTCAGCCTGATGCCTTGCTCCGCAACACCAAGTACGTGTGAGATCCTGGGCTGATAGTTTGCCCTTACTTCTTTGTCCTCGTGTACGACAAACATCTACAACAATGACTCGTTCTACTACCTCGCTTGTGAAGTATATTCATGCTATCCGTGATTCTCCACGGGAGATATATAATCATAACCTCGCTGTTGTGGTTGTCTCATTTGCCCTCTGTGGCTGTGCGAAGGGTATGTTGTCTGACTGAAGATCTCACTGATTATACTTCATCTGGTCCTGACCGCTCGTTTATTCATAGGTTGGGACGAAGGATCTGCATCTGCTATCACACAGCTCGAGTCTTTCAAGCGCATGTATGATTTGGACAACAACACAATTTCTAATATTGTCTCGTTCATCAATCTTGGGGCGGGCGTCGGTGCTTTGCTCTCCTTCTTACTGAATGACCGCATTGGTCGCAGGTGGTCGATGCGACTTTACCAGTTGGTATACATCATCGGCTCCTTGATATCTTGCTTTTCCTATGGCAATGTTGGGGTCCTCTACGCTGGCCGCCTAATTGCCGGCCTGGGAATCGGGGCATTGACTGTGGTAGGCCCTATGACAATTGCAGAGGTGGCACCCAAGGCCACAAGAGGTCCCAGGACTCTGTTATTCAATGTCTGCATGCTTTCTGGGCAGGCGTTGGGTGTTTTTACGGTGTATGGCTGCTCCAAACACATATCACCAGCGAAAAACCTTCAGTATCAAGTTCCCTGGTTTATCCAGACCTTTGCTCCGTCAATCAGTGTCATCCTCTCCTTCTTTGCCGTCGAGTCCCCTCGCTGGATCATTTTGAGCAATAAACGACAAAGCGCCCTTGCTAGCCTGCTACGTCTTCGAGGTCTACCCGCAAACCACCCTTACGTGGACACTGAATATAATGAAATGGTGCGGCAAGTAGAAGAAGAAGACACTTCTCTTGGGCCAACCAGCTCTCTGAAGATAGTCAAGGAAACGTTTTTCATTCGCAGCAATTTACGCCGCGTGCAGCTCTCCCTTGTGGCATATATTCTCGCACAGATGTCGGGGGCGAATTCAGTAACAAACTATTTACCATCGATCTTCGGAATGGTAGGTATCAAAGGATCTGGAGCCAAAGTCTACACTACAGGTCTATATGCAGTTACAAAGCTCATATTCTGCGTGGCTGCCTCGCTATGCTTCGTTGATGTGCTGGGTCGGCGCAAGTCTCTCATGGCCGGTATTACCATTCAGATCGTTTGCCACTCTTATTTGTCTGGATATCTGAGGTTCTTCACTAAAGAGCCTTCAACTATGCCCAAAGGAGCTTCAGATGTGGCCATTGCCTTCACATACACTCATGCCTTGGGATGGGCAATTGGACTATACACGCTGCCTTATCTCTTTGGTGCCGAGCTGTGGCCTGGCCGGATTCGCTCCTTTGGGGGTGCTCTGTCTCAATGTTTCCATTGGCTTTTCTATTTCGCCATCACAAAGGCAACACCTTCTCTACTGACTGGCCTTCACACATGGGGTGCGTTCGTATTGTTCGCCGGGTTCTGTATTGTTGCGTTCGTATACACCTTCTTCCTGGGTCCCGAGACTAGCGGTCTAAGCCTCGAGAAAATAAACAAGATCTTTGAGCGACCTCTCTACCGACTGGGTCAGCCGTTGACTCCTGAGAGACGGAATGATGAGGAGAATAATGAAGAGTAGGTCTCCAACTCGATTTAGGTTTTTTGCATATTGCTAATGTCGAATCGCAGCGAGAAGCAGAGTACCAGGTACATCGAACGTGTATAGGTTATAGCTAGTTTATAGTTGCATGTTTTAGATATGGCCAATGATTTATTTGGTGGTGTAGCTTTAGTATCCAGTGGATTGAGTTAAATACTAGACGAATTACCAGTTATGCACCCAATCCATTCTGCATTTTTTGAGTATAACGTATTCTGCTTCCATTCTCTTCTTCCTCAAATCCCACTTAACTAAATGATGATGGTTACAATTGTCCAAGATTTGGTGCGTCTCGCTTTGATTTATTATATTCTGAGTGTGAATATACCGGAAATTTGATGATAATCTTGTACTTGCTAAGAAACTTTCAAGTCTAGTATCGGTTTGCGAATTCCTTCACCATATCTCCAAGCCCAACCATGCAGATGGTAGCCCAGCCAGCAACACCGATTCGTGGCACAACACCTCGGAAGAGACCCTGGAGGCCTGAAGTGCGAAGAATCTTCTTTAGGGTAGACATCATTGTAGGACGAGCTGTTCGGCCGGGCTCCTCTTTCATTGACTGCATTTCCACTCGAAGGACCTGTTCATGTTTCTCAGCATATCACCCTCGAACAGCTTGGGATACGTGCCAATTAACCTCGAACGGCTGTTTCCAGCAACTCAGAGTACCCCCAATCGTGGAGGCTAGGATCTTCTCACCAAAGCCAAACTTCTCTTCTTTTCCTTTCCCGTTCATCCAACGAATACGTTCCTCTGCAAATCGTGCGATCCCAATCCTCGATGACCAGCCGGTGATCTGGCGTAATGCAACGGCGTTTACTCCCTTATTCACCCCTCGAATTCCCTGTTCGTGAATGATTTTGAAGAATATCTCAAAGGTCCCCGGCACCTTAGCGCCATTTACCGAAATCTTTGTCCGTGTCACTTCTACAGTCTTCATGCAAGTGGTCATTCCCATGGTCTAGTAGGCTTGTGCAACTCCGCCCCCGATTCCACCTAGGGCACCACAGACAGCGGGCGAAGCACCGAGCTTCATTTTAGCATGTTACTCAATCTCAGTAGACGTGATGATGAGTATTGCCCCTTTGGTAGAAGCTTCCAGCCAAGCCTGTGAACCAGTTCTCCTGTTAGCATGCCTAGCCAAGCCTATGGTTAGATTTCTATATCTTACCCAAGGTATCAGGCCTTGGTAAAAGGCAAGTGGTCCCCCGCGGAGCCATGTATTCTGTACTGCAGCCCTTAATGTGTCATGCCTGTTGGCAGCGAGCTAATGCGTTTAATGGGGTGTTAATGATTTGGCTCTAGTTTGTGCCTCCGCAAATACTAAACGTAACCCACTATATCAGAGGCAACTCACATGTGTTTTCAGAACCTCCATCGGTTGACCAAGAGTTGTAACTATAATCGCTGTTAGAACACCAACTTGATAATATATTAAACCGATATCACTTGCCCTGAAAGATATTCATCAAGGCTCCAACCCCTAAGTTTCGGAGAGGAATCTTTCTCTTTCTCTCGCCTGCCTCTTCTAAAGGAAGAGCAACATGGCCCTTTGGTAATGAACTTTGCACATCCATTGTCCGCTTGGTATGTTGTGGAGACACAATGACTGACGTCCAAGTAATCTGGTCAAACGCAAACCCGATCACAGCTGAGAAGAAACCTTGTACATATGACCATCTGTCTGTTTCGAATTGAGCTATTTTCGGTTTAAATCGCTCTTCTACTTGCAATTGGACAGACTTATAGACAAATTAAGATTATACCAGCGTTGCTATTTCCGTATCTCAATGTGTTGGAGAGAAGAGAAAAGGATCGGAAGCATCCGATATGAGCAATTCTTCCCGCAATTTTCGGGAACTGCGACCGGTCTGGAGAAGTGGACCATGTGCGCCCAAGGTATATGTTACTATGAATGATGCTGCATATTTGCTCGGTGTTTATGTTGATTCTTGACTCTTGTATACCTTGACCAGCATTCAATGCAGACGCTGCCTCGGGCCAGTAGATCAGTCAAGATGTATCAGATTACCCGAAGCACAATGGGCACCGTATCCTCCATAGTACAGACGAAACATCCGACGCACAGCTTTAAACCTGGGAAAGACTTCCAGACAAAGTAAGCAGTCTTAAGGAATATCGAAGGAAATAAGGAACAGGATCTTAGAACACCTCTCTTACCAGTGGGCGCTTTCGATACTCATGTCCACGTCTTCGATGCCAGTCTGGGTCCATATGCCCCGGGTCGAGCATACACACCGGAAGATGCTCCTTTATCAAGGCTAGTTGCTTTCAATGAACATCTAACACAAGACGCTCAAGTGGGGAATCTGGTCCTCGTGCAGCCATCACCTTACAAGACCGATTGCACAGTATTGCTACAATGCTTACGAGACTTACAAAGCCGCAATATCAATGCGCGTGCTATTGTGGTAATTGATCTGGATAGTGTGACTGACCACACCTTGGAGGAGATGCATCAGCTCGGTGCTCGAGGAATACGCTTGAATTTCCAAGCGGACGGCCGTGAAGTCGACCTAAGCTGGCGGATATGCTACACAAAACTACCCGACGCATTCAACACCTTCCGGGCTGGATGGTTCAGCTTTATGTTCCGGTCTGGGTATGGGATGGTAGGTTTTTATTGCTAGTGGATTGTATTTGAGCCTATTTGTTAATGGCCGTACCTAGCTCTATATGATTCTATCCTCGATTTGCCGGTCCCCGTCATCGCAGACCACGTGGGAGGAGCACTGGGCCGGTCGAAGTTGTCGCCGGAATTCCAAGAATTACCCTTATCGCAGCCTGGCTTTTCATCTCTTACCTCCCTAGCGAAGCATGGGCGTGTGATAGTCAAGATATCCGGCTTGTATCGTTGTTCCAGGGACTCTGCATCTACTTAAAGTGATATGAAACCCATTATCGAGTCACTGGCGCATGATGTGCCGGATCAGTTGGTCAGGGGTAGTGACTGGCCACATACGGGAGACGGTGCGGCTCGCTTAAAGAATCCGGATATCAATGTAAAAGAAGGGTTTCGTTCAATTGATAATCTTGGGATTCTGCGAAGTTTGAGAGACTGGGTGGGTAGTGAACAGGCCTGGGAAAAGTTGATGAGGGATAATCCAGCTCGGTTCTATAGGTGAAATGCCTATTAGTGATATAATGACCTGTTGTATTCTTCTTGTATCCAAGATGTTACTAATAACTTATTATACGAAATAATATCATTCTTTTAGGTACTACCAGGTACAAATGATACTGCAATAGTGAACGTGAGCAAAGAATAGGACTATTCCATTGTGTATAAACCCACTCTCATATCATTAGGAAGAAGTTCATAGTACACTGGTTAAGTATAGTCGGGCCTTGAATCCGCATACTTCTCCTTGTAGACCGAAGGCTGGCTTCCGCCGGGGTTTGCCTGGTGCCTGTTAGCTCTTAGAGCTAAGCCATGGATAGGGAATCCATACCAAGTAGAGGAGTCGATTGCCGGGAAGATAATAGAGCAAACCTTCCCTTTCTCGTTTATTTTGATGAATGTGGATCCGGGTAATTGTTCTTAGGTGTGGCGTGGGGGGAACTTTTGGGACTCTATACTCGCGACGGATGCATCCGAGAATGATGGCGACTGCGAACTTACTAACGAGAGCTCGACAATAACTAAATACATTGAAATATAACCATAGTTAGATTCGCGAGATCTTCTCTATGCTCTGTGGGGTAACTTGAGGCTCCCTCTTTCTTGAAAGAATGGCGAACGAGATGGTCTCTTTAGCAATGCGACCCAGGATTTCCTCACAACATAGCCCGAGGCATTGGCTGAGGTCAAGGTCGCAGATTCATAGGTGGTTTGCCTCAGAAGCTTCACCTAGTACAGCATCTTTAAGTCGATTTGAGTGATATCGGCATGTTGACTTGCAGAAGTTTACGCGCAAAGTCAACGAGATCCGCCGTCGGTAGGTGCTATTCTTCCAAATTGTGTCCGCTCAAATCAGTGCCCGAGATTCGAATGCACATTAATCACAGCTCATTATAGTTTGGATCGACCGTTGACCTACGCTGGAAAGGTTCTCTATGCCCATCTGGATGACGCCTCAAACGATGAGAATATAGTATGGGGGAAAACACAGCTGAAATTGCGACCTTTACGAATCGCCTGCCAAGATGCTACTGCTCAAATGGCTCTCATCCAGTTCATGTCTGCAGGACTTAAATCTACTGCGGTTCCAACAACGGTACATTGTGACCATCTGATTGTTAGTCGGGATGGCGAGACCGAGGATCTTCCCCGGGCTCTCGAGGCTCACCAAGAGGTGTACAACTTCATAGAAAGTACCTGTCAAAGATATAATATGGGCTTCTGGAAGCCTGGTGCTGGAATCATTTATCAGATTGTGCTCGAAAATTATGCTTTCCCCGGTGGTATGATGGTTGAAACTGATTCTCATACCCCAAATGCTGGAGGTATGGGTATGATTGTGATTGGAGTTGGTGGTGCCGATGCAGTGGACGTCATGGCTGGTCTACCGTTGGAGCTAACAGCACCTCGTGTTCTCGGCGTTAGATTGACCGGAGAACTTACTAAATGGGCGTCTCCCAAAGATGTAATCAATAAGCTAGCCAGCCTTATATCTGTCAAGGGAGGGACCGGATCCATTGTCGAATACTTTGGGCCAGGCACAAAGGGACTCTCGGCGACTGGAATAGCCACAATTTGTAATATGGGGGCTGAGACTGGTGCTACCACGTCCATCTTCCCTTACTCTCCTCAGATGGCAGCATATCTTCGTCCAAACCACAGGCCGGACATGGCTCAAGCGGTCGAGTCGGTCTCCCATGAGTTGCGCGCTGGCCATGGGGCAGAGTACGATCGCGTCATTGAGATTGACTTGTCAACCTTGGAACCGCAGATCAATGGACCCTTCACCCCAGATCTTGCTACTCCACTGTCCAAATTTCAGTCGGCTGTGAAGGCGAATGAGTGGCCAAAGCTCACGGCTGGTCTGATCGGATCCTGTACCAACTCCTCATTCGAAGATATGACACGCGCCGCTAGTGTTGCTCAACAAGCATTGGATGCTGGCCTCAAACCAAAAGTGCCTCTACTGGTGTCTCTCGGCAGCTTGCAGACTCGGCGAACACTCGAAAACGCTGGGGTTGTTGATGTCCTCGAAGCAGTTGGGGCAACGATGCTGACCAACGCCTGTGGTCCTTGCTGTGGCTCCTGGGACCGTACTGACATGCCAAAAGTAAGTATATCTTGCCCTGATTACGCTCCGTATACTGAGATGATCACCTCCTAACAAGCGCTCAAAGGGGACGCCCAACTTCATCATCACTTCATACAATCGTAACTTTTCCGGTCGTTTAGATTCTAACCCAGCAACCCACGTATTCCTTTCCTCTCCCGAAGTTGTCATGGGCAAGATATTCTCCGATAATCTTTCTTTAAATCCTAATGTAGACAGTCTGACAACTCCTTCCGGGGAGGAATTTCGCTTTACTCACCCTGTTGGTCAGTCACTCCCCAGTCGGGGATATGAAGATTCAGATCCTGCATACCTAGCCCCTCCTATAGGTGACCGCAGTCATATACAAGTTCAGATTTCTCCCTCCTCTCAACGTCTGCAGAAGCTCGCCCCATTCAAACCTTGGTCCGGGAATGATTTTGAGGATTGTCTCATTCTCATCAAAACCAAGGGCAAGTGCACCACCGACCACATCACCCCTGTCGGCCCTTGGTTCCGTTTTCGGGGCCACCTCGAGAACATCGCCAACAACACCTTGATCGGGGCAGTCAACGCGGACACCGAGCAGGTCAATCAGATCCGCAATCGCTTGACAAGTGAAGACGGCGGCGTGCCCGACACGGCCCGGGACTACCAAGCCAAAGGTCGCCCTTGGGTGGTGATTGCCGACCATAACTACGGGGAGGGATCTTCCCGTGAACACGCCGCTCTCCAGCCTCGGTACCTTGGAGGCGTTGCTATCATCGCTAAGAGCTTTGCACGTATTCATGAGGCCAATCTGAAGAAGCAAGGCATGTTGCCACTGACGTTCGCCGATGAAGCGGACTATGATCGCATTTGCTCTTCGGATCTTGTCAGTATTAAGGGTCTGGCCGCCCTGGCTCCTGGTCAACCGCTCACAGTGTTGGTAACTCCCACAGAATCATCTAAGAGAATCATGGCAGGTGGAGGTTTCTCATTCGTTTACCCAGGAGCAGACTGAGTACTTTAAGGCTGGAAGTGCACTTAATCTGATGTCCAAGCACCTTTCCTAGCCTATCGTTTGGGAGAAGGCTTTCACTTGTGTACCATAAACAATAAACACTCAGGGATCCGGAGACTTTATTCCGACTGTGGGGAAATTTGTTTCAGAGTTGGCAGATCCTCCCCACATTGACGTAAGAGTTAGGTTTAAATCTATAGTTCCCCTTTCTATAGATGCATTCTAGCCCTACGGAGTATAACTCTTAAGCTTTCCAGGTGGCTCGAAATTAGACTTAATGGCGAACCCACAGACAACGATCGAGTGCAAATGCTAGTATTGGGACAACAGCATCGGCAGCTTTACGTTGACCAGCTGAAACTCCTCCCTGTTGTCCTAACTAATCCTCGTACTATGCGCTTCCGCTCATCGCCCTTTCCCGCAAGCTTTAGAATCCTTGCAGCATATTGTTTCGGGGATGTTCCCTCCTGGTACCCGTTCGGCTTCTTTTGGAGCGCCTGTTATTGTCATGGAGTATCCAAGGAATGAAACTCTCCTTCCGAATGAACATTTCTGTGATCGCTTTATCCAGCTGTGTGAGGCCTACTAGTGTCGGACAGCAGATAGATGTGAGAACACCACCTGAATCTTAGGCGTGTCGATTTGTACGCGGTATGCTGATTGAGATATCCTCGCACAAAGAATGATTCCGCTGAGATGGTCTAGCTCAACTTATTTCTGGCGCAATTATATGCCAATCCAAAGGATTCTTGCAGTAGGTTCGAAACCTAGTAATCCATGCGATCTATCCATGATATCATCTATTCCACGTCTGCCGCCCCAGAAATTCGACTACCAAAGGAATTCTACGACAGCAGCGTCATTGGGATGGTTGACAAGATCGCTTAAGAAGAAAGGTATGGTGCGAAATTCTAAAATAGCGAAACGCGACGGGTTTGAATCGGACCTCTCTTGGGGGACGTTACCGAGAGCCTTGTGGCTTGAGGCAGAGAGATCGGCAACAATGGAGACTTTAGAACAAAAGCTCTTCTTTGATGGCACTCATTATTCTGCCCTTGGAGCCATTATGGCATCTCTGGGGTCATGAGAAAATGACTACCATATGGACCTGCCCTTGCTGTTGAGATTCCGGGAGGATAGGAAGGGTGAAACCCAGATTCCAGGGCATGCACATCAGCAGGATAATAGAAACTTTTTACCCTCCTCTAGTTTGTCGAACTCAAACTCCATTGCTGGAGCCGAGCAGAAAGCTCGTTAGAGCAATCATTATGTTCGACTCCGGCATTATGGCTATTCGCTGGTGGGCCGGGATTGGAATGGAAATGACAGCTTTGCGCTTTAGTGAGCGTACCTACTTTTGATCATTTCTAGTTCACACTGACGTGTGATCAATCTACGGAGTATAGTCTGGGTCCAAAGAGGTTGTGGACCGTCTCACGCCGGAAAACTGGGGACAAGCATGTATGGAGAACCTGCATGGGCCGTGCTTCCCTCGAGAGGTGGAACCGGCTAGACATTAAATCCTTCCATGTTGTTAGGCTAGCCCCATTGGGAAAGATAGAGATTTCTCCAGCTCGTGTTTGAATATCATGCTTTTCTTCAATATGCACACAATCAAATATGTATTCCAATCATGATGAATTGAAGATCAATTCATATTGCAGATGAGGGCCGGAAAAAGGGATCATCCGGTACGTACTCCGAACATAGACATGACTGCTAGCGGTACCTCACGGGTGACTCGTCTCGGAAATTTAATCCGCTGATCTTCAATCTGGACAGCACAACGGATTGATGATGCGAGTTTGTGTCATGTTCAAATTGCCAGTCACCGTTCCACCAGTCCTATCTGCTTTCGAGAGCGCCTCGATATATTACGATTGGTTTGCATATTACACGACATGCAGGTCCAATATTCACATTGTTCAACAATCGAAATTGAGTACTCTGTCGAGCTCCGGATGAGGATGACAGAGAGAGGTTATAGGGTATTTCGTAAGCTGCCAGCGACCGACGACGTACACCACTATCATCAATTGTTTAGGGAGCTTCTGGTGGACGACCGACGGACGAGACTCTCTTGTAGCAAGATAGGTAGATAATTCCAAACCTGGACTTCTCCCGGATACTCGTTGATAGAGCGCTGATGGACAGGGGCTGGCAAGTAGGACATGGAGGAAATCTGGGAGTGAACATGGTTAATGCAGATTAGTTCAATCAAATACCAGCCTGACGTATTCGCTTTAGTCCCCTTCCTTTCTCGCATTCGACTCCATTCCGTCGCACAAAACCAGGCTGTTTGTTCAGAGATGTGAGGCACGGGTTTCACACGCTCGCTGGCTGCCCTGCAAGGCTGAGGAAAGCATTGCTCGTCGAGTAACCTTCTGCGTCCAGCAACCCGGAAAGATGAGCAAGGCGGGCACTTTATTTGCGTGCAGTTTGCCTCCGAGACTGCATACGGGGTCGGGGTCAAGTGTACCTGAAGGTAGTCAGAACGATAGCGACCGTAGGTACTAGTAGTAGTAGGTTAGTCGGTAAGTCGTAGGGACGGTCACCTGAGGAAAAACTATTGCTCCGCTTTTGGAGAGAAATCAATTCCAAGTTCAATAAATTGATCCAATGCCTTCGGAACATAATTCCTCGCCAATCAAAGGACTTTCCCAACGCACAACCGCTGGGGCAGCTGCTGAACAGGACCCATTTGTTCAAACATTCGGCCGAATCATAACCTAGTTCGGGTTTATAATCTTTTAAAACCCCCCTTCCTGCCATGGCAAGAGGGCTCGCCGGTGTGAATTGCTTTCACCCGCCGCTTTTCTTTCCTTCCTTTTCCATTCTCCCTCTCTCCCGTTTTCTTCACCCCCCTTTTTCGACTAATGTAGTTGGGTTGTTTCTCAAAAGCCTCAGCGCTGAGGACTAATCACTTCCTTAAACGTACAACATGCTTTCCCTATGAGACTTCCCAAGATTTGCCACGATGTTCCATGCAAGAGCGAACGAAACATCATAACATTCAGGGATGCATCGAGGACAGGTCCGGGAATGGACCCGTAAATGTTACACCGAGAGTTCGACTGTGAGACTGACATCACCCGAGCAGGACACGAGAGGACGAGTTCTGGAGGTAAGCAACAGGCAGCTATTCCACTGGTCTTCATTATAATGTTAAGTTTCACTAGCTTCAGTCCTGATTCTAGCCTGTTGATGATCGTTGCGCACATTAACAAGGCATGGCTCTGGAAACGCCTAAAAAGCATACCTCCAAGGCTCTCTGTCTTGTCCGCCTCAAGACACCTTCAGGCGTCCCTAGGTATCAACGGTTGTATGTAGATCCACAGCATAGTAGAATGACACGCAGAACTTTCCAGTGTTTGATGTTTCCTGCAACTGCTCAAATAAATGAGCTTGTGACAACTGCTGAGGAAAAGAGAATATGTCGAGTTCAAGTTGTTGATATCTCTCAGGAAGTCATTTCTCCGGTAATGACCCCTTCTTGGACTGCTGATGACCTCTGATAGACAGATGATCACTTTACGCCTAATCAGATCTCTGGGCTATCATCTTGATGGACACACACTAAAAGAGCCATCCTGAAGATGTGTCTCGAAAACTATTCATTCTTTGAGAAGAAAACACGAGAATCGGACACCGACCTACAAGGCCTAGCTAAAGGAAGTTCCACCGTCGGAGCTTTCCAACACTGATGCCCAAATCGCCTGAGTATTTTGGCTATTCAGCCTAACGTCGTTCTATATCCCTACTAGGCGCCTGCTTCCTTGCACTTATATCCATATTTGCTAAGCTAGTCATGCACTCGTTATGTTCCATGACCCTCGTGCGTGAGTGAATACTTTTCTCCGCCACTGGATCTATGGGAAGATGATATGGCAAGAGCGACGCACATATGCGGCAACATTGTTATGGCGTAAATCGTCCTTCGCCCTTCAATTACTTCGTTCTCGTGGGTGTTGGTGTCTCTGTTCGATGTGCAGAGAAATTCGTTGTCGGAGAGCGTGAGTTCTAAGAAAGAAACAAAATCTGTTCGCTTCTCACTCGATGCAAATGGCTTAAATCGAGCAGCGAGTGTATACCAAGGTGATATTAGGCCGATGGACTTTGACTTCACAGCGCTCAAACAAACAAACGTTCCGTGGATTAATTCCTGTGCCCTAGTTAATCGTGAGGTTTAGTGGCTGTCGAAGCTCCAATTGACGGCAGTGATGATACAGCCCTCTAGTGACACATTTGTCGCCTGAGTGTTTTCACGCTAAACGCCACACCATGATTCTAGAAGCTTCTCGAACTCTCGTGCCGTTGCACGGCCCTGCAATTGAGGGTGGCAATGATGCTTCTTGCACCCTGAGACCGATGTGAATAGGTCACTACAAGCGACATGACAGGGTGGTAGTACTAATGCACTTGTCTAAAAACCATCTCAGTTCATGATATGAACTCGGAGTCCGATGCTACTGCATCAGTGAACCAACCATGTTATAAAGGCATATGGCTCCTTCCTGCCTGAGGCTATCATGGGTATTTGGAACTTGTGCGACTATACAGCCATTGAAGTTAAGATGCAATTGTTGCCTCGGGGGGGGGGGAATCATTGGGTATAGCGAGGGCCTGCCTCCCTTGACCTCGCTGCCTTATATAATACGAGGTCCTGCCGTGAAATGTCATGGCTTCATTTTAAGGAGAACATGCTCAAGAAAGAAAGAACCAGAAAAAAAGAGAGAAGAAAGGGGGGGGAGAAAAAAAAGTATGAAGAAACACAACCACAACAGGGCCGCAGGTCGTCAATAAAGAGGGGGTAAAGAAAATTACACATAACAAAGAAGAGAAAGAAAGAAAGAAAAAGAATTCAAGGGGCAGAGACGCAAAAAAGAAAAAAACCCAACAATACCATAGCGGTGCCCAAAAATTTCCCCCTTTGCATTTTTTTTTTGATTGTTAGGTACAACCGTACCCTTTTGTCCTGAGCCTCTGTTGTTTAATACAGGGCTGGTACTCGGAAGGTATGTCCACGAGTATTGATACCTTGGTTACAAACTC